TACCTGTCACAGCATTCTGATTGGTTGGTTGAAATCCACCAATCAGAGTGCTCTGTGTCATTTTACACAGCGTGGGAAAGTTCTTTGGAATTTTCTCACGCTGTGTAATTTGACTCATAACAACACTCTGATTGGTGGATTGAAAGTAACCAATCAGAGAGTTATGAGTCAAATTACACAGCATGGGAAAATTCCAAAGAACTTTCCCACGCTGTGTAAAATGACACAGAGCACTCTGATTGGTGGATTTCAAACCAAGAAGGATTATTTTTTTTGCGCTTGTTTTTTTTTTTTTTTTTAATTGCGTCGGTTATTATGGTTTTTTATTTGCCCTTTTTTGGGGCTGAAAAAAGAAGATTTAGAAGAAAGAAAACATCGAATGGTAAGTTTTATTTTTTTTTTACAGGTACTTAGTTAACGGTCCCCCCCTCATTATTTTTAGGGTGAGGGGGGTAGGTAGGGGGTTAATTTTTTTTTGGGGGGGGGAGGGGGTGACTAGGGGTTTGGGGACCCCTAGTCACCTCGGGGGGGACGACATTTTTTTTAGGGCCCCCACCCGCCGCTCAGGGGTGGGGGCCAGGTGGGAGGACCTTAGGTCCCCCCCTTTTTAGTATTTATGGCCCCCACCCGCCGCTCAGGGGTGGGGGCCAGGGGGGAGGACCTTAGGTCCCCTCCCATTGTGATTTATTTGCCCCCACCCACCGCTCAGGGGTGGGGGCCGGGAGGGAGGACATTAGGTCCCCCCTTTTTAGTATTTAGGGCCCCCACCCGCCGCTCAGGGGTGAGGGCCAGGGGGGGGACAGAAGTTCCCCCCCTATTGTTTTTTTTAGGGCCCCCACCCACCGCTCAGGGGTGGGGGCCGGGGGGAGAACAGTAGGTCCCCCCCCCATATCATTGAGTAAATTTTGACAACCCCCACCCCCAAGCGGCAGGTGGGGGGCTTGTCAAAGTTTACTCAATGATATGGAATAGGGGGCGGACATGTTCGCCTGCCGTGGCGAACGCGAACATGTGATGTTCGCCAGGAACTATTCGCCAGCGAACTGTTCGGGACATCTCTACTCATGATTTTCTAACAAACAAGTAATTTTAGCTTTATTTTGTACAACAAAAATCTGTTTCTTAAATACATTATATACCACAAAAAGAAATGTGTAGGACTGAAGTTACTCTAGAAAGTCAAACTTGGCATTAACTTGGCATTAACAAGTGATTATAGAAGCTGCAGTAAGCATGTTCTGGGTCACGGTTTATGCTCAGTACTGGCTGTTGAATGGTGTTTTTCTCCCCTGCAGTTCATGTTTAGAAGTTGCATCATACTAGTTTTTTTTTTTGTGATCAGGATTGTTCATATTAATCACTTTAAACATTGGTGAAATAGAAGTGCAGCAATCTGAACCTATTAACACAGGGAATGCAAACACAAGCAGTTTAGTGGCAGACAAAGCAGTTCCTGTGTTTGCAAAAGCAATGTGATTGATACAATCACTTCTGGATTATTTAGTTTGTAGGAAGTGAATTTAAGGCGTGTTTCATCTTTTGTTTCTTGTTGTACTATGTACAGAGTGTCTGTGGATAATTAAGCTGTATTCCAGTAGTACTTTGTGACACTAGCAGAACATCCAGATTGTATTTTTTGGCTGCCTTAACTGGACCTCTTCCTGACTCTCAGAGAGACTGTTTGCCTGGAGTTCCACACTGGTGAAAAAGAATTGAAAGGTCTGTACAAGTATTTTTTTCTCTCTGATAATAAGTGATCTATGATCAGTTATTACAAAGCTAGATTGTTGAATAGTTTCAATGTTCCTGTGCAAGTTTCAAAGGGCAACCAAGTAACTTAAGCAAAACTAAGAAAACATTGTTACACAGATCCTGTGTATAAATAGCTTGGAAGGAAATGTAAGTCGAGTCTTCAGAGCACTGGATATTTCGTATGTATGGGTGTTGGGTAACTGAAAAAGGCAATATGATTTTTCCAGGCACAACCATTTTCTGATATTTTATTTAACAGAGCATGCTGGGAGTTGTAGTTTGACTATGCAGACTTAGTGCAAGCTTTGAATTGTAGTTTGTAGTTTGGATTGATGGGGGTTACTTATCCCTATGCACATTTAAATAACTGGATGTTTTATCACTCGATGGCATTAAAGTGTAAGCTCATCTGCCACGTCAAGGCAAAACCTCCTATGTGAATCCTGAATTAACAATTCAATTTGCTTCTTTCAGCTAAAAGGTAAAATCCTTAATTAGATGTTTTTTTTTTCTAAACCCTTATTAAGGGTTAATAAGGGAAGAGGTGAGTACAACGTGACAGTGCTGCTTTAATACAGTGACTCGAATGATCACTTTGAGGTAGTATTGTATCATATCTACAATCCTTTGTTATTCACATTCTTGCTTCTCAAGGGTTTGCAATGAGTTGTAGCTCACTTGTAAGCGTGGTGACCTAAATGTATCTGTCATTGGACTATAATGAACGGGAAAACCAATGTCATTATAATAACATAATGTAATATATAACCTGTGCTTGTTCTTACAGCTCTCACTATCCTTTAAATATGGCGCTCAGCAATGGGTGTTCTCCTGTGACAAGAGTAGCTATATTTGGAGGTACTCATGGTAATGAATTATCAGGTGTCTATTTAGTTAAACACTGGCTAAATCATATTGGGGAGATCACCAGAGCTGGAATGGAGGTGACGCCATTTATTACCAACCCACGTGCTGTGGAGAAATGCGTTCGATATATTGATGTTGACCTGAACAGAGTTTTTGACGATCAACACCTTAGGTAAGATTTCATTCTATACGTTAATCTCTCTTTAATGTGTGCAGCAAAAACATCAAGTTGTCGGGGGGTTTTTTGTTTTGTTTTTTTATCCACCCAGACTTTGAGACAAATAAGTTGTTGTGAGGCTGAAAACCACATTTCAATGAGCAAGAGAAAGGACACGTGATGCATTATTTATGTCATGTTTACTGGCCTAATTTCTGCCAGAAGCAGCATCTGCTTTTTTATAGTTGCATTGTTTACATTGCTGAAATGACATTACTACTCTGTAATAACTGTTCAAACGCACAAAGAAATTATTTTTGGAACACAATAATAAATAAAATATTATTCTGCATTGTGACCTGGTGTTGTGGTGATTTGGGCAACCAAGTTGTAAAATGTAGGCCAAGAACGCACGTGTTGAGATTGCCACCAAACCTATTACAATTACCTATTTATTTTTTTATAACAATTGTGAACCTGGTTGCAGTGCAAAATACACGAGTGTGACATAGTGTACTTCTAGTTTTCTCAGAGCTGTGTGTGTAGTGTGTTTTAAGTCAAAGGCTTGCAAATATTAATATATGTGTGTCTGTCCCCAAAGTGGTAGCAGCACTTACGGGGTTAAAAAGTCCACTCTTTATTTAGAAATGTTAAAACACGATCCACGTTTCAGTCCTATCTATAGGACTTTTGATCCTGAAGAAAGTTCTATAGATAGGACTGGAACGTTGATCATGTTTTTTTAACATTTCTAAATAAAGATTGGACTTTTTAACCCAGTGAGTGCTGCTACCTCTTTGGACACATGGATACTAAAGCCTTGGCTTACTAGCATCCGGCAATCAAGGAACATTTAAGCGTGAGTGCAAGAGATGTGTGTGTATGTATGTGTGTGTGTGTGTGTGTGTGTGTGTATGTATGTATGTATGTATGTGTGTGTATATATATATATATATATTAAAAATGAAAATCTAGCGCACTCCCTTATCTACTAAACAGCTACTTTGATGCTGACAGATTTTGTTAGTTTTATTAAAACCAACTAATCTAGGCAAAAAAATAATGGGGGTTTAGTTACATTATATGATCATACATTGCATAAGCCTGCACAACGTCAATGTACCCCATCTTTGGCAGGTCCTACACTAACAACCAACTGTGTGTGTGTGTGTGTGTATATGTATATGTGTGTGTGTGTGTGTGTGCGTGTGTGTGTGTGTATGTGTATATATATATATATATATATATATATATATATATATATATATATATATATATATATATATTTATTCGTAAAATAGTTGGCTGCATTCTCAGATTCCAGTAAAATTATAAACTTTTATTCCAGCTTCTAAAACAGATCAATGTTTCAGTCCTGATGAAAGTCCACAAGATGGACTGAAACGTTGATCTGTTTTAGAAGCTGGAATAAAAGTTTATAATTTTACTGGAATCTGAGAATGCAGCCAACTATTTTACTATTTCGATATCTAAGTCCTGGTATTGCACCAGGTTTGGCAAATTTTGGAGCCTGAGTGCAAGGTACAGTCTAATATATATATGAGAGAGAGAGAGAAGGCTTGGCCTGTAATTGTGAGAGGTACATGGAACCCTACTTAAACCCAGTGAGCCCCTGCTTACCTGTCGTCGACGATCTCGGAAGTGATTCTGTTTACGTCCGGTTCACTGGACCCTGACGCCATTTTCTCGCCCGCCGGCAGTCCGTTTGCAGAAAATTTTCTCTGCTTACTGAGTTCGTGACTATAACAAGGGAATCCAGCATACGAACGGCTAACTGTAAGTTATACTCTATCATTTCGTACGCACCCCATACTTGTCATCAAACTCACACGTTCGTTTAAAATATTTAATTTGGTTAAATCGCTCATGTTAATCTTTCATCCACATACCGCTATAATTTGTGCTAGCCGGCGTTCGTCTAAAGTTATCCATGCCCATAAACCCTTATGTTTACCCATCAGTATACACATAGCAGCCGTTCGTGTCAAACACACTTTCGTACAAACTTCCCTTCATTCGTATAAACTGCCGCTTGTTTCAGTATGAACTTTCATATGCTCTGTTCGTTTAGACTATCGGTTCGTTTCATGCACACTTTCGTTTATTTTCCACGCTGTCAACTCACTCATACCTAGCAGTACAATTCCATTTCGGTACCACAGCATCATGAAAGCATTTTACATTCAAATTTAAACGGCATTCCATGTTAAATTTGGTTTAGTTTAACAAATTCATTAAAACATCCTTTTTATTTTAAAAACATACAACAGCAACTCTGTTCGTTACTTTCATATGGGAGTTATAAACTGTCTTTTTTATTTTAACTTGCTGGCTTTGCATTAGAAGTTAAACTCCTGTTGATACAGCGCTGGTAAAGCTTTTCATTAAATTTAAACAGCTTTCAATGTCAGAGCATTTATTATGTACCTCTTTTTAACCCCTTAAGGACACAGCTTCAGAAGCTTGACTTACGCTTAATGACACAAGCAATTTTTGCATTTTCTTGCTGTTTGCGTTCAACTGCAATTTGCATCTCTCTCATTTATTGCACCGACACATATTATATACTGTTTTTTAAAGGACAGAAAGGGCTTTAATTTGATATAACATATATATATATAAATGCTTACTTATTATAAAAAAAATACAGAAAAATGCAAAAAAAATGAAAAATATTGTTTTTTTTTACAGTTTTTGCAATAATAATGTGTGCATAATTAGTGCAGGTTAAGGAAAGTAATTAAAAATAAATTTATTTATTTGTTCTGATTTACAGAATATATAATGTGTCTGGGATTTTAAGTTTTTTTTGGTAGTTACAGGTCACAAAGCACAAGGAGTAAAATAAACTTTTAATGTGGAGCGATTTTAGAATTTGGTATGTTTGTCTTGTAAGCTTAATAGCCATAAAAGAAAACAAAATTGCCACACAAAAGTATATATTTATATAAAGTAGACATCACGGGCTATTTACCTAAGGTTGTTTTGACACTTTCTACGTAGCCATTTCACCGCCAACCTCTGCTGAATATTGGAGTAAAATTGTGTTCTTTTTGGTTTTTGGCACACAAACTTATAACAGAGAAATTCCCGTGTATATTTTGTAAAATTGGTGTGTGCTATTCCTGTACAAAGTTTTATTTTGTGTTCAGTTACATCTGCTGAGTAAAATGACACCCCCATTGTATGTCTTTTGCACTATTTCGTGAAGTTACAATGCCATACAGGATACCTGTCCTTTTCAGTATTCACAGTAGAATTTTGAAAGATGGATTTAATGAGCCTTAGCTTCCATTTTGGGGTATTATAACAGTTTGGCTGTTCAAAAAACCCCCACAAAGGCCTACCATTTGTAAAAGTAGACACTCCAGGGTATCTTATAAGGTGCATATTGTGCCTTAACATGCCCCCATTTTTTCACCAATATATGCCAAAGTATGTGGTAAAAAATAATTTTGTGCATTTTTTACATACGGATTGCATTTTTGCTGGGCGTTTTGTATATTTCATATGTGCCACTAAGTTCAAACCCCCCAAATTATGCTCAGCTAAGTCTTCTGAGTAAAATGACACCCCATATGAATGTCTTTGGCACTATTTCGTGAAGCTACAGTGCCATATAGGAGACCTGTCCTTTACAGTATTCACAGTAGAATTTTGAGAGATGGATTTAATGAGCCTTAGCTTCCATTTGGGGTATTATAACAGTTTGACTGTTCAAAAAACCCCCACAAAGGCCTACCATTTGTAAAAGTAGACACTCCAGGGTATCTTATAAGGTGCATATTGTGCCTTAACATGCCCCCATTTTTTCACCAATATATGCCAAAGTATGTGGTAAAAAATAATTTTGTGCATTTTTTACATACGCATTGCATTTTTGCTGGGCGTTTTGTATATTTCATATGTGCCACTAAGTTCAAACCCCCAAATTATGCTCAGCTAAGTCTTCTGAGTAAAATGACACCCCATATGAATGTCTTTGGCACTATTTCGTGAAGCTACAGTGCCATATAGGAGACCAAGCCATATCCGTTTTTACCAAACTTTGAATTTTGACGCTGGGCCTATGTGCAATTTCCAAGCATCTTCGCAGGTTTTAAATTCAAACTACCCCACAAAGGCCTACCATTTCTTAAAGTAGACACCCCAGGGTGTTTCAAAAGGTATAGTTTGAACCTTAGCGTGGGATCATTTTTCCGCTAGCTTGTACCAGATGTAGTGGTAATAAGCGTTTTTTCTGCCTTTTTGACATACAAAGTGAGTTTGCACAGTATATTTTGCAAACCTTATGTGTGCTACGACTGTATAATAGTTCATATGTTGCTCAGCTATGTCGGCTGAGTACAGCAATACCCCCGTATGTACCTTTGCCAGGTATGTGTGGACATCGGAGGGGCACATTTGGGACACAGCCATTCCAGTTTTTTTTCAAACTTTGAATTTTTATGCTGTGCCTATGTCCCATTTTAGAGTATTTTACCAGGCTATATAATCCAAATTCCCCATAAAGCCATACCATTTCTTAAAGAAGACATCCCAGGGTATTTCAAAAGGCATATTTTGAACCTTAGCGTGGGATCATTTTTCCGCTAGCTTGTACCAAGTGTAGTGGTAATAAGCATTTTTTCTGCCTTTTTGACATACAAAGTGAGTTTGCGCAGCATATTTTGCAAACCTTATGTGTGCTATGACTGTATAATACTTCATATGTTGCTCAGCTATGTCGGCTGAGTACAGCAATACCCCCGTATGTACCTTTGCCAGGTATATGTGGATGTTGAAGGGGCGCATTTGAGACGCAGCCATTCAGTTTTTTTCTAACTTTGAAGTTTTACGCTGTGTCCATGTTCCAATTTGGAGTAGTTTAGGCGGTTGGTTATTGAAACTTCCCCACAAACACATACTATTTATTAAAGAATACACCCTGGGGTAATTCAAAAGGCATATTTTGAACCTTGGCGTGGGATAATTTTTTCTCTAGTTTGTTCCAGGTGTAGTGGTAATGAGCGTTTTTAAAATGTATTTTTTTACTTTTTATAACTTTTTTACTTTTAAAAACTAGTTTTTAAACTTTTGTTTTGCTTATAAATTTTTTTTAAACTTTCCTAAACTTTCTTAAAACTTTTTTACAGATTTAACATTTTTCTAAGCTTTTTTTTTTTACCGTTAACCCCTAACTAGCAGTACGCAGCAGTAACAGTAAATTCCCCATTTTCCCATAACTCCCACCCACCCCAGCTAGCAAAATATATAGTTATAAAATATTTAAATTAATTAAATAAATTGAACCCCTGAGGGTTAAAAAATAAATAAAAAGTTAATCCTCAGGGGTTAAAAAAAAAAATTAGATCACAGTATAATACTGTGATCTCTATTTGATCGCTGTAGGCAGTGATCGACTGGCAGGGAAGGGGTTAATTTTTATTTGGACTAGGTAAAGTGTGTTTTTTTTGTTTTTTTTACTTAAATGTTATTAAAACATTTTTTTAAGCTTAATTTTTAACTTTTTAAAGTTTCTTTTAAAACTTTTTTTAACGTTAACCCCTAGTTAGCCTAACGCCAGATCCCCCAATTCCCCACTAACTTCCACCCACCCCAGCTATCTAAATATATAATTAAAAAATAATTTAATTAATTAATTTAATTAATTTAACCCCTGAGGGTTAAAAAAAAAAGAATTAACCCTCAGGGGTTAAAAAAAAAAAATCAGATCATAGTAAAATGTAATCCCTGCCAATTGATCACTGTAGTCAGTGATCAATTGGCAGGGAAGGGGTTAATTTTTTATTAAAATGGGTAAGGGGGACTTTAAATAAACTTTATTTTTTTTTCCAGCAGGGGGCAGGATCAGCACTGATCCGGCTCCCTGCACTTCACACAGAACCCGGAAGTGCAGGGAGCCGGTAGGTGAGTATACAGAGCACATGTGCTCGCTCAGACTTGTGGTCAGAGCGAGCACATGTGCTGGGCAGCTTGACCGGGTGCTCCCGGTATGCCTCTAATGCAGAGGCATACCGGGAGCACCATTAACCCTGCGATCGCCGCGATAGCGGCGATCCGGGGTTAATTTTACCGCGTGACGGACAAGGTCCGTCACCCGTCGTTAAGGGTCTCCCCTGTGTGACGGACCTCGTCCGTCACCCGTCCTGAAGGGGTTAAAAACGTCCTTGTTTTTCTACTAATCAGTATGTGCTGATGGCAGTTAAGGTATAATTTTATTAAAGTATTTCTCCTCAAAGTATAGCTAATGTCTTTTATAAATATGTAAGTATGCTAATCAGGGTAAGATTATGCTTAGATTCTGTCTTGTGCATTGCTAACTGGCGTTTCGGTTAAACTTTCGTATGCATTATCCGTTCGCATAAAACGCTTATGTTTTCCCATTAGTATACATATAGTCACACTTTCGCACAAACTTTCGTTTATTTGTATAAACTGCCTCATACCTAGCAGTTCAAGTTCATTCCGTTTATACAGCATTGTGAAACCACTTTTTTTTTTTTTTACAATTGAAACGGCATTGCATATTGCGTTTTGTTTAAATTACCTAGTCTTTCTTTAAGTCATCTGTTTCATGGTATTTAAGTCTTAATTAAAAAACCAACAGCAATATCCTAATCAGGATGTCTGATGGCAATTAAGGTCATACTTTCACTGTGTATTTTTCCTTAAACCATAGCTAAAGCGTTTTATTGGTATATAAGTGTGTTAATAGGTTTATATTATGCTCTACTTCTGTCTCCGGCATCTCATGTTCCTAATTACACTAGGCTGTATATAAATAAGATGACAATTAAGTATGGTTTTTCCCTCCTGTTAAAGATCGTACAATTACTGTTACTGATTGCTAAGGGGCCTTATGGGTTAAATACACCACATTACTTAAAGAGGTAGGCCTTGGAAATTCCTACCTAAATTTCATGTATTTACTTCTGGTAACATGTACTATAAATAAATAAGTCACATTAGTTTCAAGTTATCACCCAATCGGCCCAACGCATAGTTATAGCCTTGCATCAAGTCATAGTTAGGGCCTCACCCGTCACGGCCAATCGATTTTACAATCTTTTACATGTCACCGAGAGGCCAACACCCCGCCACCCACCTCAGTGGCACAAAGGCCCCACAAGCCAAATCATAGGTAGAGCCTCTCAAAGCCATTTGGCAAGTAGTCAGGGTGTCACCTGTCACCAACATAATCTAGTTAATACAATTTCGCCTGTAGGCACTACTCTAGGAAGCTGGGTCACTGCAGATCTATACGGTACCTTACTAACCAAGTCATCTGCCGCACTTCCTTAGCATGTCTAACGCTTCTATACAAGGAGACGTTCTTTCAGTTACCAGCACCCATCTCGGTTCAGGCTCGCAGAGAGTACTATACAAACACCGACTGAGGTCAGTTACACACGGAACGGTTTCTAAGGCATTTTCGGGTCTCAAAACACCTTCCTGCGCCATAAGCTCAGCAACAGCCCATATGATCAAATTTCATCCTGGAAACGTAGCTATTCCCTCTACCAGTAAGCCAATGCTGATTATCAGTCCAACACATCCCAGAGGGATTTTGTTAAGACAAAGTAGGCAGGCCAATTTGTTTTCTAGGTGAAGCACAAGTCTGCAATAATTTAAATACCAGTGGTTGTAGTTATAGTGCTGGTAGGCTTCTTCACATGGGCTCACTTTGTTTCTGTGCACACGCCAAAAACAATGTGCCCCTTCAGGTGGTACCCTAAAATCTTCCACCCCAATAAACTTTCCTAATCTACAATGCTACCTGTCTACTCATCCTTCTTTATATCTGGTAGAATTTCTCACATCTACTAACGGGTTTTACACAGGGTTTGTGTCACTCCACATAGGTATTTTGGAACACCCATCCTACAGTCAACACTCACAGTTCCCATCAGAGTACAAAACTCTTACTTAATGAAATCACCAACGGTTTCTTGATAGGGCCTTTCACAACACTACCTTTTCACCTCCTGGAGGACAAACCCCTAGGAATTGCCTCAGGGAATTTTACATTTTATAGAGACTTTTATTTTTCTGCGCCTCACTCACCCACTTCTCCTAGCTTAAATACATTGTCCCTGTCATAAGTTTTCCTTCAGTTCGCCAGAATTGACGAGGCCATACAAGCAATCATTCATTCCGGGAAGGCTGCCTGGTTATGTAAATCAAACTTTACTAACGCGTGTAAATTACTACCCATTCTTCAGTAAATCTGGTATCTGCATGGAGTTAAGTGGGTAGACGGCCACTATTTCGTTACCAGACCAACATTTGGCGCCATATGTAGCCCAAGTTATGCGATATCTTCTCCAAAACCTTAAACCTGGCTCCTACGGAACACATGCAGATGTCCAGTAGTCTTACACTACTTAGACAACTTCCTCACCATCGAAACACGCCACACAGCCTGAATCAGATGTTCACTCTGTTCAAAGATTAGGAGTACCCGTAGCTCGGACAAAACACAGAGATCACATTCCCGGGGTTTACACTTATTATTTCTATGCAGGCCAACCTGCCACAAGTGTAAGTAGATAGAATTCTTTCTTACATCAACATTTGTACGTCACAAGACACTTGCACCAGGAATCAGCTACAGTCACTACCCGGTTCACTCAATTTTGCGGGGAGAATAATTCCACAAGGTAAGTCTTTAATTTCCAGAATCTTCTCTCTCTTGCATGGTCTCCCTGTCGACAAACAAGCTACAGCTGATATTAAGAAGGTGACATCTGTTTCTGTCCTCTTCGAATGGCAGGTCACTACTTGTTCCCCCTGTTTCTGACGATTCCCCTGTGGTCCAGACTGACGCATCAGGTGCTGTAGATTATGCAGCGAATGTTGGTTACAAATTGGTACAAATGGCTGCGTTTTTCCCACCTTGGCCAATTGAGTCTACCTCGCTAGTAAATTTCAGTACCACCTCAGCACTATTTGAATCTACCCAATCGTAGCAGCTACACATATACGGAGCAAAGAGTGGAGAGGGCAGTCGGTCAGATGCTTTTCTAATATCTTGGCGACATGTAATATTGTTAACAAAGGCCGCTTTTAGTCCCTCCCGATTATGAACTTGGTAAGGAGTCTTACCTGGCTAGCGGCAAATCTTCAATTCTGCATAACTTATGTTCACGTTCCGGGTATTCAGGATAACGCAGCTGACGCTCTCCCACACTCTAATTTGCAGGAATTTTTTTTCGGATGTCATCCATCAGCAAACTCGCAGCCCAAGGCGCCTCCAAGCTTCACAGTCCTAATTATGCGTTAAATACTGTGTTGCTCCATAGTAGGTCGCTCGCACAGGCTGGTTTATACCTTAATTTAAGAAAGCCTATTCCAAGAGCGTATTAGTTGTTTAAAGGTTTGTTCGTGTTTATTGTGTGATAAATGTTTCTATTTGTAACTTTCTCCTAAATTAGTTTACAATACTATCAAACCTTACTTCACAGGCATACACATTTGTCTATTACTCATACCAAAACGAGCCATACTGGTACTCCACTAGAGATTAAATATTATCCTACCAAATCGGGTCCTATCCCCGTTTTGGATAATCTAATGGAATTTCAACTAACTTTCATCCCTGATTCCCCACAAGTAGCTTTTCAAGGGAAACCCCTAACCAATAAACGTTTTATGCTTTACATTCGTACGATATCACTCCGACTAGGACATAACCCTCATTCCTTCTCGGGCCATTTATTCCGCATTGGAGCAGCCACAGCTGCCTCCGGTAATCACGTACCAACTCACATCATTAAAATATGGGTCGGGGGATATCATCCGCATACAACAAATACATCCCCAATCCTGAGAAAGAAATAAGATTGTCTTTCTGTGAAATGTCTAAATAATGATCTGCTGAATAAATGTATCTGACTTGTAAGAATCGCTTCTTATATTTTTGCCCTCTTTTACAGGTCTAACCTCATGTCAGTTTCGGCACACCTCAACTGACTTTGCTCTTACTACTGTTGCTTCTTTATTATTGTTCCTTACGTCCTCGAAATGTGACACACACACACACACACATGATTTGTCTAGCTAATGCCTTGATTTAACCCCTTCGTGACCACGGACTCTGCTCTGTTTACACTAGGGTTAATCCAGCCTCTAGTGGCTGTCTCATTGACAGCTGCTAGAGGCGCTTCCGCGCTTCTCACTGTGATTTTCACAGTGAGAAGACGCCAGCGTCTTGCCGCGCATGCGCATTTCACCGATGACTTCGGAAGAGGGAGGAGAGTCCACAGCGCTGGAGAAAGGTAAGATTTTAACCCCTTTCTCCCCGCTACAGCCCAGCAGGAGGGGGCCACGAGGGTGGGGGGACCTATTAACACTATAGTGCCAGGAAAACGAGTTTTCACTATAGTGGTCCTTTAACACAAACACAGCAGAAATGTAAAAACAGCCCTGGTACCAAACGGTAAGAAAATTGAAAACCGGCCTGGTCACTAAGGGGTTAATAAGCTTACCAAATAATTCAATACGGTTTTGAAAAACATATTTATCTGCTGAAGTCAAGATGTGTTATAAAGTAAGTAGCTTGAGTGCTGATGTAGATTAGAAGCAGGGCATTGCCCCTTTTAGTAGAAACTATGCCCTTTTGTTACAGACAGGGGTATATGGGATATATGACTGGCATGGGGAACAGTGAGTTTGCTGTTAGGAAATCTCTGTTCCTGGGCCTGTAGCCATGAACCTTCCTTATAGTTAGCATGGTTAAGTGTTGTTTTTTTTTTTTTTTTCCGGCAGTCAAGGGTTTAGAGGGCACATTTTCAGCAGACACACACTACTGGTATTGGAGCTTAGCTTGGTATCTACATGAAGTCACTCATGACTTAGTTGTTAATTGTTTTGCCCTGGCAGCTGATATTCAATTCCTTATAAAGGTTTTAAATAGGGGGGGGGGAGAGAATCTTTTTATTTTTCTTTATTATGTTTTTGTATTTTTTATACTAAAAGGAACATTGTTTGAGATTTACATGCAGCTAAAATATAGTTTAACGTGGATCAACTGTCACGGCACCAATCCAACATAGGTGTCTGTGGCGCATCATGATGCTGTCTGCGTGATCGCCACCCACGTCTCTATCAAAAGGCTCCACCTAATTGACGTAGTTAATGATGCAAACATATGTGTGTGTTATTTGGTGTCACATGGGGCAAAATTACCAATGGCTACCCTCTTAAAGGTATAAAATCCTTATTTTTTTTGGTTCTGTACTGTGCCATTTTGTGGTTTCTATTCTATGGTTATCCGAGAGCGCTTTTATCTTGTTTTGTAGCATTAGGTTTTCTGGCCTTGGCTTGTGTATGACTATTCTTCTTTCTGTGTCCCCTGACCTTGGCTTGTCTTATCGCACTTTGTCTCATTCTGTGTTCCTGACTTTGGCTTGTCTTATACTATTCAACATAGCGTTGTCTGGCCACTCTAAGGCCCGGTAATACACTTTATTATTATTATTAACAATACCTGTTAATAATACCTATTACCTGTTAAATAAGTACTGTGTGTTGGGTATTAATACAGCCTGTGGGGATATTTATGGGATAATAATAGTAAACAGTGAGAATTGCCCACTAATTCAATTCTCAGATCCCAAAGATCGTTATCGTGTAAGTGAAAAGTATTCCATACAATTAATGATCAAAATGTGTTATAAAAATATATTTATTTATTATGACCAATAATTAACAATAATATTAGGTAGCATGTATGATAATAATCAGCTAGTATTTAGTACAACATAGTATACAATGGAATGGGTATACACGTTTCAATGGCTAAACAGCATTTTCTGTCAAGACTTACACGATTTATGAGGTATCCTTACAGACACAGAAAGCGAAGCTTTTCACAGCGAAGGGCCATAAAACCCTGGCTAACAGTTAGATCAACTGAATAACCCTTTCAATGCTGGCTAGATCCTCCTAGGCATATAGTATCCTATACTCCAGTTGAGTAGATATTTTCATCAGATTGGTAGGTAGTCTCAGGAACTTATTTGGATGTCTCTCTGCATGGAGGTGTGTAGGAATTTCTGAGTGTCCTATAGTGTATATCTGTCATAGGCCTCTCTGCATTGCTCCCGACTGCTCACTTCCAGATAGCAATTTAGTATTTGGTCTATAGAGGGCAGTCTTGTCCCACTAAACATACCTATCCAGGAAAGAGTTAACTTTTCTTGGTGGCTATTTTGACGTCATTTTGCTTTATCTTTATAGTTGCCATAACTTACGTTTTCTTTCACTTCAAAGGGTTTTCTCTTAGTTATGTCCAGACTTAGTGTCCGCAATTCCTGCTATAATTTCTAATATGACAGTTCGTAAACTAAGTTTCACCTTAAACTACAATGGGAGGTTATACAATATAAAAAATAAAATTAAATTATTTAATCTCCTCTGTCACCAATGTCTGGGTTTAGAATTGATTATATTCCATTAGCATTTGGACAGTCTGTCCAACCCCCGTTCTCCTTATCACTTGGTTTGTATATACTATGCATTCCTTTAGCTCTGGGAAAGTGGTTAGTTTTACAGATAGAAATCTATGTCTCTTGTTACCTTGAAAATAACAAAATGGAGTCTGCTCTATTCAGAGTGACTCAGCATATACACTTTTAATTTCTATCATAGCACAAGATGTCTGCCGATTATAAACACCCTGACACCAACAGACTGTTAAGTCAACCTATTCACTTTTGCATGTTCACCCCAAATATAATTAGACATTAAAATTAGTTTGTCTAAGTTTCAATAAAACTTGCACAAATGTATGTTAAGAAAATGTACATAAATGGTATTGAAGTATAAATTTGCTAATTAATATACACTTCTTTAAAAATAAAGAATTGATATTAGATACTTGATTTAGTATAAAAAAGAAATCACCATATAGGATAAAATTCACAACCTTTACATTACAAGTCTTACTTTGTACCACAAACTACCAACAAGGACGAGTCACCATCAACAAAAGGGGACATAAAGCGGCTCCTTGTGGACCTACAGAAGGTCTGGAAGGAGGATCTCCGGGTGGTCCAGCCTGAAATAGGAGTCCAGGAACTGGAAGTGCGACAGACCTCCAGAGATGAGAAGTTTCAAGCCACCGATGACCAACTGGAAGGACTTACCTCTCAGGTGCAGCATTTGAGCTGAGCGGTGACTATGCTGGAGGTCCATCACAGGCAAAGGAACCTGCACCTCAGAGGCATTTGTGAAACGATCCACAGTGGGAGGCTCCTACCATATGTCCACGACCTGATAACTTCCATGGGCATTAAAAGCAACTGCAACTTGCCACTCGATCACCTTGGCGTTTTGAGTGCAGAAATCTGCTGTGCCACCCATTGAAGCACCCAGGGACATTATTGCGGTGACCCTGGATGTCAGCAAGGTCAGAGATTATGAACTGAGCTAGGGGTCACAGAGTGGATATATACTCCACTATCCCATTCTCCATCCTAACAAAAAGGGGAGGTTGGCACCAATAGCCAGAAGATTGCAAGACTCTTCCATCCGATACCGCTGGGGTATGGAGTGATCCCTCTTAGCTGACAAGGGAGGCAAGGGTTTCACACCCAGTCACGACCAGAAACCTCATCGTCTTCACAGAGGCCAGATGAGCAGGGGGACATCACCAACCGCAAGCGTAACATGACACAAAGAAGTGCTACCAAGAGGCAGGAACCACAGCTCAGAGTCCCAGTCATCAGTTCCAACTGTCATCTGACTGTCTACACAGCGCCTAGCACTATCGGATGCTCCTCATGATGAGCCACATACAGCCGCTTGGCCCTTTTTTAATTCCACTAACACTTTCTATATACAGTAGCATACGCAAATGTGAGATATATAGATAATGCAATACAAAATTCTGTTTGAGTTACTGTACCCATCTGTGTCCCTATCATGCTCAAATATGTTTTTCTATTCATATATTTTGGAAAAGTTGTATAATGCTAACAACCATAGGCGTGCCCAACCTATTGCATTAGGGTGTGCACCCTAAAGCACAAACTCACGCCGCGTGTATATGTATGTATGTATGTATGTATATACATATGCACACACATACATACACTGCTGTGTGTGTGCTGTGTAAGGGAGCTGTGTGTGTGTGTGTGCGGGTGCTGGTAGTGTGCTACATGGGTGAGGGTGTATGTGTGTGTTTGTGAGGTTGCTGGTAGTGTGCTGTTTGCGTGTGTGAGGGTGTTTGTTAGGGTGCTGGTAGTGTGTTGTGTGAGGGTGCTGTGTGTGTGTGTGAGGGTGCTGTGTTGTGTGTGTGTGTGTGTGTGTGAGGGTGCTGTGTTGTGTGTATGTGTGAGTGCTGTTTGTCTATGTGTGTGTGCTGCATGTTTGGAGGGATTGTGGGGGTGGAGGTGGTGGCAGATTAGTAAGCATCCCCCCTCCCTCCCTACCTTATGTAGGGAGGGGGATCCTTGCTGCCATGTGATCCAGTGGAGAGTGAACTCTAGCCTGCAGGGCTAGAGTTCACTCTTGCGAAATGGCAAAGCTCAGATCTCGCGAGAGGAACCCGGCGGAGCTGCTGGCTAGAGCTCCCCGGGTCCTCTCCTGCCTCCCTCCATGCTTCTGTGGGTCTGTGAGGTAGATCTTTGATCTCCCCACCGGCCTATGAAGGCTTAGAGCAGAGCCGGCGCTCGGGTAGCGCCAGCTCTGCATGAGCCGACAGGGGAGATCCTGAGATCTCCCCTGCCGCTCTCAATCCGTAGGCGGGCTGCGGGGATTAGGATGTGCCCAGGCACACCCCGTACATACGACTATGCTAACAACTTAATAAAATACTAATTAAAAATAAGAAACCCTGCCATACCCAATTCTTCAACTTTAGATGGCTGGCTCTCCAAGTTTGAGCTTTATTAATGCAAAATGCCACTTTCTACTCTGTCTTTATAGCACTAGTTGATTGTAGCAAAAAAAATAAACTGGTGTCTACATATTTCAGAGAAACATTATAAAACCACTTTTATATAAATCTAATTAGAGGTCTGTCTGTAAACTGTATGGTATTAAATTCAATTGATCACAAAGTGATTCCATTTTCAATATACCCAATATTGCAGAAAAGAAATTACACCAACCTTGCCCTATGAAGTAAGAAGAGCTAAGGAAATTCATTGCCGATTTGGACCTAAAGGTAGTGACCAAGCATATGATGTGATATTTGATCTTCACAATACAACATCACACATGGGTCCAACCTTAATCCTGGAAGATTCTAAAGATGATTTTGTTATACACATGAGTCATTATATCCAGGTATGTGTGTGATACCAGTTTCTTCTGTACTGTATTGTAATCATTTGGTCTAGGAATCCCATTTTTAAAAATCTATTTATTTATGGAATGCAAACGCTATAACTTAAAAAGGTGGACTGCTAACAGCAGTAGTACCCCTTTAATTCAGTTATAGGCTTACCACAAAGTCCACTGCATTTGCAGTTATACCATTTAAAAAGAGATGCCTTACCAAGTGCAGTGAGTGCAGGATCTGACAAAGGCCTCGATTTGATTATTTTTGGATAAACTTTTTTAACATTTTTTAAACTATCAAAAGATATATACATATATCAAAATATTACAATATTTTTCATAATATTAAATAATTTTAAAAGTTAATAAAAAAAATATTAATTAATTTGAAAAGCCAAAGTTGGAAAAAGTGATATTTGTATCGTCAGTTGATTAGACTACACCATATCGTTTATTTTTGGGTAAGACCATGTTTTTAATTTGTGCCTGAGATGACTGTTAATTGAGGCATAGAATAGTCATTATCTCCATTTTTGTTTGTGTTTCATCCACAGTTCATGCGGACTACAGGTGCAGTTGAGGTTGATGTACTAATGTAGAGAAGAATATTTTTAGGCCCCCTCTAGCACAAGGGTGGCCAATAGGTAGATCTTCATTTGTTGAACTCCCACAATGCAATGCCAGCTAGGGATTTACCATTTGCTTATTCTTGCAGGGTAGTATTTGTGAGCAGTGTTTGTGCGTTTGAATGTACCATGTTTTTGCATAGAGTTTGTGTGCATATAGGAGTGTATTTGTATGTAGTGTTGCCATTGGAATGCAGAGGTGTACTTGTGTGTAGTGTTTACATTTAAATGTAGGGTTGTGTTTGTATGTAGTGTTGGGGTTTTGTATATAATTACATAGCTGAAAAGAGACTTGTGTCCATCAAGTTCAGGATTCCTCACATATGTTTTTGTTGTTGCTCCAAAAGAAGGCAAAAAACCCAGTCTGAAGCGCTTCCAATTTTGCAACAAACTAGGGAAAAATCCCTTCTTGACCCCAAAATGGTGGTCCGATATCTCCTTGGATCAAGCAGCTATCCTCCCACTAATTAGAAATTATATCCCTGTATGTTATGTTTTTGCAAGTATTTATAAAATTTCTGTTTAAACATCTGTACAGACTCTGATAAAACCTTAGATGAAATCTCCTTTCTTCAAGCCTAAATGCGTGACCTCGTGTCCTATGTAAAGCCCTGTTATGAAAAGATTTCCAAATAATGGTTTGTACTGGCCCCGAATATATTTGTATAATGTTATCATATCCCCTCTGAGGCGCCATTTTTCCAAACTAAAGAGATTTAACGTTTTTAACCTTTCTTCGTAACTAAAAAGCTCCATTCCTTTTAACAATTTTGTAGCCCTTCTCTGCACTTTTCCTAGTACCATGATATCCTTCTTTAGAACAGGTGCCCCAAATTGCACAACATATTCAAGATGTGGTCTGATCAGCGATTTATAAAGAGGCAAAATTATATTTCCATCCTGAGAATTTATGCCCCTATTTATACATGACAATACCTTACTGGCCTTAGCAACTGCAGATTGACATTGCATATTGCTGCCTAATTTGTCTATAACAATTCCCAAATCCTTTTCGTGTGTGGTTATCCCTAATTCACTACTATAGTTTTAGCTTTTTAATACAGGGGGTGTGTTTGTATGTAGTGTTGGCTTTTAAATGCAGGGGTGTGTTTGTATATAATGTTTGTGTTTGCTGGAATGTATGCACTTACAATACCACATACATACATACATACATACATACATACATGCTTACACAGATATACACACTCACTGACACACACCTAGATATAGACACTGAACAGAATACATACAACCTGACACAGAGATACACACACACACACACACACAGATTATGACATACAAATACACACACTGTGTCTCCCTCAGTAGCTGCTTTTCTCAGAGCTGATAGTCTGATGGAAGGCTGAGCCGGAGGAGATGGCTGCAGCCTCTCTCCCCCCTATCTCAGGCTAAGCTACCTAATAATAATGCATTTTAAAATGTCCCATCAATGATCTGCTAATATTAATTGTTGTTTTTTTATTTTATCAGTGTTCAGGAAAATAGTTTTATTATTCTTTCTTTATTGGCTGTAAACTTATTCCTTAGAAATGTCTATTGAAGTGGGCACAAGTAAAGACTGTTCACTTTTATTTTTTAAATTGTATGTAATTTTTATTTATGGAAAAAGGTAAAAAATGTAATATGGGAATTGAGGCGTAGATACATTGTGAAAAGCTATATTATTTAATTTTGTTGTTAGCTTGTGTTTTGCATAAACAGTCTACTGCATTAACACAGTCTAGACATTGTATGAGGACTGAGAGCAACAGATAAAACCGGAGAGGAACACAAAATATTACAGAACATCAGCATTGAATCCTGATCATTGTTGATATTACAGAACTCCATGGCCCCATTGCAGTGTACTGTGCTGTTGCTTGACCACCCTGGCATGAAATATTCAACAACACGCTCTATATCAAAACATCCTGTTGGTAAGCAACCTCTATAGCGATTACTACATAAGGGTCATGTCAAGTTAATACTAAACAATTGCTGCTGCCTATCTGTACAGAAATGTATAAAATAACATTTGTATGTATTTCTAACCGCATTCACAGTAAATGTAAACCCTGGCCCCACTGTGAAAGATGTCTCATTTACAAGAGAAGGTTTCAAAGGTCTTACTGGAACCTGGTCAGATCCCATTAAAACAATGCTTGACTCTGATTACATGGAAAGATATTAAAATCATGATTTATTTTACTAGTAGCTGCATCAGTATGATCATTGGTTTTCCAGTCTGTGTGATGGCCGGCCAGTCAACACTTAAGTTACATGTAGTCAGCTGTACAAATAAAGGGTCAGGCTTAAAGATGCACTGTCACCCCCCTATTCCCCTTGAAAATTAAATAGATCATAAAATCTTTATCAGAAATACTATTTTTAGTATCCACTGAAATGCCAACCCAGTAGAGATTTACTGAGACGAAGTAGCGAATACGTTTTCTCTGTATATTTCCTATACCTGACACTTCTAGACAATGTCTGCGCTAACGCCATCAAGAAGTGTCAATCTCCCAGCCGGCATCAGTAACTGCTGATGGGAATATCCTCTGTCTGTGGAGGCGTTGGATCCTTCATAGACTTCAATGCTGTACTCTCGCTCATGCGCTAGAGTATGGCAGTGACGTCAGCTTTTAGCGTTAAAATGCCAGGGACTCAAAAGGACCGACTGGAGGAAGATGGCCTCCCCTGCAAGGGAGAGATTTAGCTATGTAGAACTTACCATTACCTGCACCACGGCCATCAGACTCCCAACAGCAATGTCACCATTGGGGGTCTCTTTGAATTCTGCAAAGTTCCAAGACGGTGCCGGTGCCCTTTAACCACTGAAAGCTAATTAATGTAACTTCAGAAAGAAGATCCATAAGGCCTAAACTTACATAACAATAGGAGGGGGAGGGAGAGGGTGGATAATCCTTATAACATTGTTTATATGTTATGTGTTAAGTTACAAAAGCATAACAGAGCTTCTTTAAGTGAGCACCAAACTTTTTATTTTTATTTTTTTGGGAGGTGTGGAGTCTTTAGTGTGAAAGAGGCAGAATGTGACATATATTGCATAAAAAAGTAATCTGTATAATCTGCAGCCACGAGAACAAACTCCATTAAACAAAACGTGTACAACATACATGATTATTACTACTTCTTTTACAATACAAATACTTTAATATGTTAGTGCCACAAATTTAAGTTAGATATTTATGTTTAATATTATTCAGTTCATAACATATGCTGCTTTACAATGTTTTTGACAGGTGTGGAAATTGGGCCTCAGGCACATGGTATTGTTAGAGCGGATATTCTAGACCAAATGAGGAGGATCGTAAAATATGCCCTTGATTTTATACAGTATTTCAATGAAGGTACTAATGTGTGTGTTTGTTTTTTGTTATGTTTTTTTTTCTTCTTTAATCTGAGTTAAATATTAAATAAAATTCAAAACCTTTTGTGATATCTTGATCTTCAAGCTTACATTGTGACTTATACGACTGGTTTCTTTTTGGACACTAGATTGATTGTTTTTGGGCCCATGCTGTATATATATATATATGTATATAAAATCTAGCATAATATATTGACACCATGCCACTGTTATAAGTTTATTTAAAATTAGTCTCTTAGAACTCCCACTAAGGCATGTCTTCTTTTAATACCGTAAATTCCAAAAATTCTAGGGTAGGTCTTGTGGGCAAAGAGTGTAAATTTAAATAGCTGATAATAATCCAATAAACTACAGAATACATTTGCTGAGGCATTCATGTTAAAATATGTTGGAATAAGAAGTGCTCCAAATGTGCCTTCCCCAAAGTAGATGGGGGACTGATACTCTTTTTCAGGATGATGGTATCACCGTAATCAGGAACCAGAAAGGACTCCGAAAGGTAGATAGGCATAAAAAATTAATTATTGGGTAAAAAAAATTTTTAAATATCGGTTTTACGTGTTTCGGCCCACCTTCCTCAGAGACCAAATTGTAAATTAAAGCAATAACCATTATGATTCTCCCAAAGCAGCCTAATCTCACCCTCCCATGAGTCCCCTTAAATAGGGCTAGTCCCTCGAATTCATTGGTGCTTCAGTGGGTGTCTTCTTGTCTTTCTAGTTACATTAGAGGGTCCACTTTCCACTTCACCTGTTTCTTCGTTCGTTGTAACACGCATTTCTTCTCTCAGCGTATTCAAATTCTACTGATCAGCAGAAAACCGGAAGGGCTGTCTGAGATGCAATTCCATGCGTTCCATTAGGTCTACTAATCCAAGATGGCCGTGCGTTCCACTGTGGATCCAAGAAAGTAATAGGATTTCCTCCTGAAATGACCCGAGGATTGGATAGCCGATTCATCAGATGGAGAAAGAAATTAACTTGTCATGCTCTGCTGGAGAGAGTCCATCCACTAAGGGAAAAGTGCAATTAATTTCAAGTATGGATTCCCTTAAATGATAATTTAAATATATTAAAGAAAATGTATAATAAAAATCTCAAAGTGCAATATATGTATCTGATTTAGCATATGATATTCACAGCTATCTCAATTCTAAGTTTATAATATAAGGCAGTTAGCCAATTAAAATGTACATCAACTCTGTGAATTCATACATTTTCTAAAATTGAATGTTAGTGCCACACATGGTCCATAAATTCTTTCCCCAAAAGGGTATTTAAATTGTGTAATAATAAAGGGATTGGATAACTATATAAAGCATCCCCATAGTTTATATACAATAGTTATAATCGGCCAAAAAAATGAAAAAAAATAAAACAAAGGTTTTTTTAACAAATTAGCAGAGGCAATATGCAAAAAACAAACCAGATCTATATCAACATTCAGTCCCCTAGTGTTAAATTTTCACAGTTTGCGGATCGAATAGGTTTCTCGTTGAGATTTTTTACCCTATCAACATCCTAGGGGACTGAATGTTGATATAGATTTGATTTGTTTTTTTGTAAATTGTTTTATGCATATTGTCTCTGCTAATTTGTTACAAATTTAAAAAATTTTTTTTTTCAGATTTATAACTATTGTATATAAACTATGGGGATGCATATAAGCTTTATATAGATAACCGATCCCTTTGTTATGACATCATTTAAATACTCTTTTGGGGAAAGAATTTATGAACCATGTTGGCAACCAATGGGTATGTGTGGAACTAACATTCAATGTTATAATATGTATGAATTCACAGTCCAATTGAATGATTCTAAAACTGGAGAATACATCAACTGAGTTGATGTACATTTTAACTGGTTAGCTGCCTTATATTATAAACTTAGAATTGAGATAGCTGTAAATATCATATGCTAAATCAGATACATATATTGCACTTTGAGATTTTTATTATACATTTTCTTTAATATATTTAAATAATCTTTTTAACGGAATCAATACTTGAAATTAATTGCACTTTTCCCTTAGTGGATGGACTCTCTCGAGCAGAGCATGACAAATTAATTTCTTTCTTCATCTGTTGAATCTGCTATCCAATCCCCAGGTAATTTCAGAAGGAGATCCTATTACTTTCTCTGATCCACTGTGGAACGCACGGCCATCTTGGATTGGTAGACTTAAATACGCTGAGAGAAGAAATGCTTGTTACAACGAACGAAGAAACAGGTGAAGTGGAGAGTGGACCCTCTATTAGGACTAGAAAGAGAAGAAGACACCCACTGAAGCACCAATGAATTCAAGGGGCTAGCCCTATTTAAGGGGACTCATGGTAGGGTGGGATTAGACTGCTTTTGGGAGCATCATAATTGTTGTTGCTTTAACTTACAATTTGGTCTCTGAGGAAGTTCCAATGTTGGGACTAAACACGTAAAACTGATATTTTTAAAAAGATTAACTCAATCCTTTTTTTTTTTTTTTCTTTATGCCTATCTACCTTTCAGGGTCATGTTTGGTTCCTGATTACGGTGATACCATCATACTGAAAAAGAATATCCGCCCCCTCCATCTACTTCGGGGGAGGCACCTTTGGAGCGCTTTTTATTACAGCATCTTATATATCAGCTGAATCCCACAACCTGTGTTTTGTATATTTCTACAACTTGTTGAGACCACCACTTGGGAGGTAATCTGCAGGAAGCTGTTTCTATATTATTGATAAGTATTACCCTTTATTATCTTTGTGTTAGTATTATTTTTGTAGTGTTTTGTAATAAGTCTGTTGGAATATGTTTGTAAAAAAAAAAATATATAAAATGAGGCTGATGCATATATGCCATAGAACACATTCTGGTATGAAAATTGGTTCATCATATTCAAATGAATTCTCTTTTAAACCGAAAAAGAAAATATATGGTAATATTGCACAATTCGCCAGAATAAAAAATGTGCTTACAAAAAAGAACTCACAATCTGTGATATCCTAGTGTTCCACTGGGATATACATGGGATCAGTCACTGCATCTTGCATAAGCCATGCTAATAAAAGGCGTTGCAATATTTCAAATGTGAAATAAGAGCTGGTACTATTTATTGTGTAAGAGTCTCTCCTGCAGCTGGTAGAATTATCACCCATAAGTTTGTCTGCACTCCAAGTTGAACTAAAATGTCCTAGAACATCTAAAAAGGTTACACGTTTATTTGTACTTTTGCTTTTTGTTTTTTTTTTACTTGAACTTTTTGAATAGCTAGCATATTGGTGACTCGATATTTTAGGTCTCTTTAAATAACCAGATCTTCAGACACTCACCCTAAATAAAATGTAAGATATTTGAAATAGTAATTAGAAGCTATGCCAGGCTTTTACCCTATGCAAATATTTGCCTTATACCTAATGGAAATGTGTTATACTGTATTCACACAACTATACCAGGGCTACCTTTCCGCTGTAATTAGCGACAGAAAAGGTAATTTTTAATAGTAAATTTAAACTTGCAATAATTATATTAATAAAAAAATAAAATGTCAAGTGTGGGGGAAGGGAGGGTAATCAAATCATTAAATATTTAAAATATGCATTGGAATGGGTAAAATCATTTAAAAAAAATATTTTTTTAATATAAATGCAATCTTTTAAAACATGCCACTTTGTGTCATTTGTAGGTAGAGTGTTTGCACCATGCAGTATCAATGCATACCAAGTTCTGGAAAAGGAAGTATACCCCAGGGATGAAAATGGTGATCTTATTGCGTGCATTCATAGTAAACTCCAGGTACAGTTTGTTTCATTACATTGTCTGTCATCTGTCAGTACATAAATTTAACATTCTAGATTTCAAGAAAAGAGGGAGAGCCTGTGGTCATTTAATGATCCACATTTAATAGTTTTATTTAAGGCCGCCCATTTAGTTTTCTCATAATTAGGAAGATTACTTATCAAAAGCAAAACTCTTGTCCTGTGAAATTAACACTAGGCAACAAACTGTTTTTGACACACATTTTTGAGAGTATCTCTGCATGTAGCCAAGTCTAGTTCCATTCATGAAAAACATCTCTACGTTTTTGTATTTTTTTTTTTTTTAATTCTTTATTTTTGCTGTGCATATGTGTAGTACAGGCAGGTGAGAAGTGCCCCAAGAGCAGTCCTCCAACATTTCCCACGCTCAAAATGCGGGGCACAATTTTATATTGATGACAGGTATAAACAAACGATTGTATAGTAAGATGCATATGTCAGGGTGAAATATTCAGAGGTATGACACGTGCAAGTATAATATTAACACGGAGATAGCAGGCTAGTAAGCATCATCTTCTGGTATAGCATGCTAGATTTAAACAGACTGATAGCTTAATTGTATGCTTGCTTGCTTGCTTAATGACACGTTCGATTAACATAAGTCAAAATATTCAGGTATTAAGAAGCATATAGGTAGGCAGTAAACCGTCCACATGAGTGATAACAAACATTGCTTAATGGGATGTACATTTAAAGGTTATGCGTTATATGACATTATTGACATTTCCTGGTTTGGTTATAACCGGTTGGACATAACAAGCTAGTTACGAGGCCATGCGTTTAGACTGGAAGAAAGAAGATTTTGCCTAAGGCAAAGGAAAGGTTTTTTTACTGTAAGAACAATCAGGATGTGGAATTCTCTGCCTGAGGAAGTGGTTTTATCAGAGTCCATACAGATGTTCAAACGGCTACTAGATGCATACTTGCAAGAACAGAATATTCAAGGATATAATCTTTCAATGTAGGGTAATAACTGCTTGATCCAAGGATAAATCTGACTGCCATTCTGGGGTCAAGAAGGAATTTTTTTCCTAGCTTGTTGCAAAATTGTGCTTCAAACTGGGTTTTTTGCCTTCTTTTGGATCAACAGCAAAAAACAAATGTGAGGAAGGCTGAACTTGATGGACGCAAGTCTCTTTTCAGCTATGTAACTATGTAACTATGTAACTATGTAACATCTCCTGAGTGCACAGTAGCATAATATACATTAGATAGGGTTGCAGGCTATTCTGGCATGCCTCGCTACTGGATACAGAGCAAGCCTGCCCTGACAGTCTCAGGCTCACAAGTCAAATGTGCACTAGTACTGCAGTTAGGTTTGAGTATTTAGGCATAGGACTAGGTGAACTGGGGTCTGTACCAGACCTTGCTCTTCAGAAGTGAGAAGAATCAAAAGCAAACATACTAACTATATAACTAACTATATAAACCACTGTGTCCCCACTCACCCAATCGCTACTTGAGTTGCAGTGTAGAGTAAGCCCTGCAGAGTTAGACTTATAGAATAGAGTGATGAAAGGTAGGAACTCAAGTCCAAATTAGTATTTTGCTAGGTTATAAATAGCTCATTAGCGTAGGGTGGCAGCGTTGTCCAATTAGGTAACAGCCAAAAGTGGATGGGGACCAGACCTGTAATGTGAGTCCAGGTTCAGCTGACGCCAGTGCATGGGAGCCCGCTGAGGCAGGCATGGGGCGTTTTGAGGCAGGTGTAGAGATTGGTATCCCTCCAGTCCCAGGCCCTGATGAGAGGGCTCAAGTTAGAGTTCGGTGGCTCAAGTTAGAGTCCGGATCCTTCCCATGTTGGAGATAGTATGAGCTCCAGGTGTTTCTTCGTTGCCTGCGCCGTCGGGACTTCAGCTTCTGTGGATGATGCCGGGAAATTGCCTCCCTGTGTGCTCTCCGCCCGGGTGGGCCAGTGAGTGCAGGTACTTTGTGCGGCTTGGTAGTTGTGCCCAGAGGGGGCCCGCTCTTTCCCCGCCCCTCTCCATTCCACATGCAAGTCCAGCCCCGTGCCGGCTCCGCCAGTGTATGAGCCTCCAATTTGGCCCAGAAGCGCTCGAAGGCTGCATCTATGCGCTGTGCTAGGGAATCCATTGTGCTCCCCTGGGTCAGCGCCAACAGCGTGTTCTCGTGTTGGGTCTGCACTGCCGCCATCTTGTGTGTTGTTGCTGCGGTCTGTGCTAGTGCCTTATTCTCAGGTTGCTGTGTGTTCGGGTTTGTGTGGTGGGCCATTGGGGAACGGGATAACCCCCGCTGGTCCAAAGGGGTTGACAGCTTTAAGTGGAGGCCACACTGTCGGTCCTTGAACCGGGAGAGCGGCTGTCTCCCCTCAGTTCCAGCGCGGGTAGGCCGCAAGCCTCGAGTCAGGCAATTCAGCGGGGGAGACCCTTGCAACGGGTATCCCCGGGTGCTGCGTCGTTCCATGAGCAAGAAGGTTGCGGTCTGCAGGAGTGAGTGGACCGGGAGTAATCCCCATGAATTAGAGCAAGGCCTGGGAGCTCTAGCTGAGCACATACAGGCAGCATGGCAGTCAAGCTCCGCCCCCCCACGTTTTTGTATATTAAAACACTTGAGTGCGCTCTGGTCTGCAGTATCCATTTAATTCTGTGGGTGTATATGTGGCCAGCTAAAATATTGTGTGTCTTAATATATATGATACGTTTTCTAAGCAAACCCATTCCCATGGTGGTTTGCTAGTCACGTTAGTCCTCAGAGAATCATGCTAACCTTTATGTTCTTGATACAAATGTATTTCTTGAATTAAAGGGATACTATACAGGGAGTGCAGAATTATTAGGCAAGTTGTATTTTTGAGGATTAATTTTATTATTGAACAACAACCATGTTCTCAATGAACCCAAAAAACTCATTAATATCAAAGCTGAATATTTTTGGAAGTAGTTTTTAGTTTGTTTTTAGTTATAGCTATGTTAGGGGGATATCTGTGTGTGCAGGTGACTATTACTGTGCATAATTATTAGGCAACTTAACAAAAAACAAATATATACCCATTTCAATTATTTATTATTACCAGTGAAACCAATATAACATCTCAACATTCACAAATATACATTTCTGAAATTCAAAAACAAAACAAAAACAAATCAGTGACCAATATAGCCACCTTTCTTTGCAAGGACACTCAAAAGCCTGCCATCCATGGATTCTGTCAGTGTTTTGATCTGTTCACCATCAACATTGCGTGCAGCAGCAACCACAGCCTCCCAGACACTGTTCAGAGAGGTGTACTGTTTTCCCTCCTTGTAAATCTCACATTTGATGATGGACCACAGGTTCTCAATGGGGTTCAGATCAGGTGAACAAGGAGGCCATGTCATTAGATTTTCTTCTTTTATACCCTTTCTTGCCAGCCACGCTGTGGAGTACTTGGACGCGTGTGATGGAGCATTGTCCTGCCTGAAAATCATGTTTTTCTTGAAGGATGCAGACTTCTTCCTGTACCACTGCTTGAAGAAGGTGTCTTCCAGGAACTGGCAGTAGGACTGGGAGTTGAGCTTGACTCCATCCTCAACCCGAAAAGGCCCCACAAGCTCATCTTTGATGATACCAGCCCAAACCAGTACTCCACCTCCACCTTGCTGGCGTCTGAGTCGGACTGGAGCTCTCTGCCCTTTACCAATCCAGCCACGGGCCCATCCATCTGACCCATCAAGACTCACTCTCATTTCATCAGTCCATAAAACCTTAGAAAAATCAGTCTTGAGATATTTCTTGGCCCAGTCTTGACGTTTCAGCTTGTGTGTCTTGTTCAGTGGTGGTCGTCTTTCAGCCTTTCTTACCTTGGCCATGTCTCTGAGTATTGCACACCTTGTGCTTTTGGGCACTCCAGTGATGTTGCAGCTCTGAAATATGGCCAAACTGGTGGCAAGTGGCATCGTGGCAGCTGCACGCTTGACTTTTCTCAGTTCATGGGCAGTTATTTTGCGCCTTGGTTTTTCCACACGCTTCTTGCGACCCTGTTGACTATTTTGAATGAAACGCTTGATTGTTCGATGATCACGCTTCAGAAGCTTTGCAATTTTAAGAGTGCTGCATCCCTCTGCAAGATATCTCACTATTTTTGACTTTTCTGAGCCTGTCAAGTCCTTCTTTTGACCCATTTTGCCAAAGGAAAGGAAGTTGCCTAATAATTATGCACACTTGATATAGGGTGTTGATGTCATTAGACCACACCCCTTCTCATTACAGAGATGCACATCACCTAATATGCTTAATTGGTAGTAGGCTTTCGAGCCTATACAGCTTGGAGTAAGACAACATGCATAAAGAGGATGATGTGGTCAAAATACTCATTTGCCTAATAATTCTGCACTCCCTGTAAGTGCCAGGAATACAAAGAAGCTATATTCCTCTGCCTCCCATCTCCCTCACACGCCCCTCTCCTCTCCCCCCACCCCTGTGTAGTTGTCAATTTAGGGTTAAAAACACGTTAATTACTTATTTAAATCCAGCGCTGATGTACCTTAGCGCTGGGGTGCGGCTCCCCCTCCTCAGTCCTGCGCAGCATTATACCTTCCCATAGGACCTCAATGCTTTCTTATAGGGAAAAAGCTGACGCTGGATGTCCCCATGCATGCAGAGCGTGAGGCTGTCCATCATCAGTTACCATACCAAAGATTGGTTTGGATGCAGGAAACGCCTCCAATGTCTGGTAGACAGTCACTGGAGACAGACTTAGTGCTGCAATGTAAACAGTTTCTCTGGAACCACAATGTTTAACATTGCAGCACTGAGTGCAACAGGGACACTTCAATGAGCTGAAGTGCTCTGGGTGCCTATAGTGTCCCTTAAATATAAATTAGGATTAGATTTTGTGTTTACAGATCTCATGAATGTCTCCAGAAATATGCTGAAATGACCTGCTACTCAATAAACCAAATTTTATATGAGCTGCCCACAGTCCCAGAATGTTTGTTTGAAGAGACAATGTCTTCTTTCTCACAGATTTACCCCTATTGTTTAGTCTTCCTTTTTATGTAATTGAGTCTGATGCTTGCTGCATGTGACTAGGGCGAGCACTGCAGTAGTTAGATTATTCCAACAGTATAACTTCTTTAATATTTTGTCTTTTTACAGGACTGTGACTGGCAAGAATTAAATCCAGGTGATCCTATATTTGTAACACCAGATGGCAAAGAAATAATGTATAAAGGAGAATCAACTATATACCCAACATTTATCAACGAAGCAGCGTATTATGAAAAAAATCACGCATTTACAAAAACACAGAAAGTAACATTACAGGCACAAACTTTGAGATGTTCATCAATACAGCAGTGACAACAGAACCTGATATTTCTATCTCTCAGAAGAGTAGTTTGTGTTTGGTGATAGTGGGAAAATGTCTACATGTTTAATCCAGTGGACCTACAATACAACTTTTCAGTCCTTCAGTTGTTGTTGTTTTAGAATAGTTGGTTACCTTTAGTTACCCAGCTGTCGTAGGGCTGCTTCTCATATGTTTTACCTTCTGAACTGCAAAACGCAGTCCAAAACGGCTAGACTTGTGATTTATTGCCTAATCCTTGGTTTACTGTAAACTGGAGGGCTGCTGGGTAAAATACAGATAATACCTCAGGAAGTATCTAGATAAAATTGATGCCCATGGAAGTAATGCTCAAAGTAGTTGTGACCCCACAAAAAATATAAAAGTATAGCATTGATTGAACTAAGTTACAGTTATGCATCTGCAAAGCTCAGTCATGTTCATTTGATTGTCAGTTAGCATTATGTATCTACTATTAAAGAGATCTAAACGCTACATGAGATAACAGACTTAATTTAGCCAAAGAAAATCAGAGAGCCCAGATTGCAATTGCATTAGTCAAAGAAACATAAAATATTGACAAACTGCACAGAGGAAGAAGTCGAATTTTACCACAAATAGATGGAATAAAAGTTAGAAATACAGATGATAGTTGTCAGAAAATACCCCATTAAATATTTGTACAGAACTGAAACTGTGTGGTTTCTATGGCCTTATAACAAAAACTTCCTAACATGATAAAGCTTTACAATGCAAGTAGCTCAAAACCCACCATGCTTCTTTTCAACTGATAAACCTGGTGAGGCAGCTTTAATCTCCAACACTTGCATAGGCATGTTGAATGATTGCATTGCATGGATTAAATATGGTGCCATTTTAGATGACCATGTGCACCTTATACCAGAGATGTTTTATCCTTGTGTTTTCATATTTCTGAATAGTAATAGTCCATACATCTGCTGTATAGAACCAAGAATATTTTCATCAAAAAGGCCAATAATTCCATGGCCTCCTTCATCACCATATTTTAACATTATTGAACCTTCACTGACGAAGCATGCCTGGACCACCAAGCCAAACTTTCCCCCAAATTCCCCCAATAAAGACACCAATACCAAATTAAGGGGAAGGCTTGGCCACAGCTTTATTTATTCAAACTGTATAATTAAGCTTGAAATCCTCGACTGACGGCTGTTGGACTCTGGTCCCCAAGCAAGTCTCCTATAACCCAGAGTTCGGTTCCTGTCTAATACCAACAACAGGAACCCCCTCTCCCATTGTTCTAGCTTCAACTACTGTTAATCCAGGTGCTGGCCAGGCAGACTCCAAGGCTGTGACAATAACTGAAAACCAAAACACACAATCCAACAGGTAAGAGCAAAAACGGAGCTAAGAAAGCTAGCAAGACCAAGAAAAAGGGGGCAGGTGGGTTATATAAGCTGTTTGCAGTTTGATGCGTAGGATAAAGAGGAAGGAAGAAGGAAGACACTTTACCCCCCAACATTGTATACATTTTTCCTCTAATCCATACCTGCCATATAAGACTGTCCCAGATAGGCATGCAAGGCAGTCATGACCCATCTCAAATAAACTGTGCACTGGGCTTTCTTTATGGGACATTTTGGACAGAAGATTATGAAACAGATGTCACCTCCTTCGTCCTAGAAACTTTTTTTTTGTCCACTCCTTGCATTTATAGTTTATCTTCCTGAAAGAATTGAAGCTCAATGAGTTAACAAACTCTCCGACAAACACAGTTTGTTCTATGAATAGTGACTAGTTAAGGCAGTATAAGAAGTTCAATGTTTGTCTCAGATTTTGTTCCCTTTTTTTGCCCTAATTAACATTTGTGGATGTCCTACAGCATCATGCCAACCTTGAAAAGAAAAGAATCATAGAACAAAAACACAAGTCTAATTTGGACTCAACACTCGTTGTCTTCAATGTCTTTCTATGCACATCTAGGTCAAGGCAATTCATTGTTACACACTGCAAATACTAATACATTAATGTTTGTATTTTTGCACTAAATATATATTTAAATCCATTTAACAAAAGTGTCAAAGATTTCAAAAATACAAATGCATATATACAGTAAAGACATTGCTAAGGATTTCCATATATGGGAAACTGCAGAGCTAGATTTTAGAGACTTTTTACCTCCACCAATGTGGTTCTCAAATTCTCAGACATGATTCTCCACCCCAAATGTATTCATAATCCTATTAACCAAAACAGGATTGATATTTTCAGATATAAGCATGCTTCAGTTTCTTGATTATACTCCTGTGTCTGCAAAGCCGGTGCTAGAGTATTTTGTTCCCCTTGTAAGACCAGCAACTTGCACCCCATCCACCCTCAAAAATAATAAAATTGGCAACTTTAATTTTTAAAAATAGATTTGTAAAAAAATAAATAAAAAGCCTATAACTTGTCGAAACTGTATACACCCAGCCCCTTTGTGCATGGGCATTCGCAGGTTGGGGGGAGAGTGTATAATTGTAATGACATCCATGCTCTGCCCCTTTTTGACAGGGGCATAGTCATTATCACATAAAGTGCAGACATGCAAAAGATTCGAGAAACTTGATGCAAAAGTTTAATAAAAGAATCAAGTGGCCATTGTGCAATTTCTAATCTGTTTTAATGTTAACAGTATTCAATGCTCCACATAAGTCATACACACATGATCAAGGCACTATAGCTTAATTATAAAAATGAGTGCACACAAAGCTACCACCATAGGACTAGGTAGCGTGCACAGCAGTTGCCATAGTTCTTGGAGACATTCACAGCTATAGTCTTGAAAACTGCAGAATAGATTTAACAGTACCCCCAATTCGTATGAAGCCTCGCAGAATTGCATTAGTTCTCAGACCAAAAATAGATGCTGAGATTACACGTCTTGTGGAACAAGGTATACTTGAACCCGTAACACACCCAAAGTGGTGTACACCCATAGTTCCAGTGATGAAACCAAATGGGGATGTCAGAATCTGTGCTGATTACAAATGTACAATAAACAAAGCATTGCAAGAGCATCCCTATCAAATTCCAGCTGTTAATCAAATTCTTACTACTTTGGCAAAAGGAAAGGTATTTGCCAAGTTTGATATGGCTCAAGCCTACCAGTAATTACCTGTGGATGATGAGGCTGCTGATGCACAAATGATAACACACAAAGGAGCTTTCCGAGCAATATGTTTGCAGTTTGGAGTTTCCATTGCTCCTGGCATGTTCCAGAATTTAATGGAGGACCTCTTATCTGGACTTCCAGGTGTAGTGCCTTATATTGATGACGTTCTTATTGGAGCAGATTCTATACAGTCATTGGCTGCACAGATACAACTTGTTTTACAACGTTTTCTTGATTCTGGTCTAAAACTTAAAAAAGAAAAGTGTGTTTTTAGTGTAAGCAGCGTGGATTTCCTTGGTTACCGAGTTGACACACAGGGTATTCATCCAACTGATTCTAAGGTTGAAGCTATCCATAGAGCTCCGGTTCCCACAAACAAACAAGAACTGCAAGCTTTCCTAGGGTTGCTTAATTTTTACCATTCTTTCCTGCCTGATAAAGCCACTGTTGCTGAACCTCTGCATCGTCTACTAGATAAATATGCTCCATGGAAGTGGACTGACGTTCATACTACCGCTTTCAACGCTGCAAAAAAACTGTTGTCTTCTCAGTGTACTTGTACACTAAGATTTAGAGAAACCGCTCAACCTCACCTGCGATGCTTCTCCGTATGGCATAGGGGCTGTATTGAGCCATACTTTGAGAAATGGGGTTGAGGCTCCTATTGCGTTTTATTCACGGACTTTATCTACTACCGAGAGGAATTACGCCCAAATTGACAAGGAGGCTTTAGCTATTGTGTCTGCTGTAAAAATGTTTTGTGACTATTTGTGTGGGTGGAGGTTTACTATTATAACAGATCATAAACCTTTACTGGGTCTGTTCCCCAGCAATACTCCCACTCCTCAAATAATTTCACCACGCATGCTCAGGTGGTCCCTAATGCTGAATGCCTATGATTGTGAGTTCAAGTATCATCCTGGCAAGGATATCACACATGCTGATGGATTAAGCTGATTACCTTTGCCTTCTCCTGACTTCCTTGTTCCTCCTATTTCTGAGGTCCTCATGTTGGAACCCATTCCAAACCCTCTGTTACCCTCCGTGACATTGCTTGTATATCTGCCAAGGATCCTTTGTTGTCCCATGTGAGCAACTGGGTTTAGAGGGGGTGGCCAAAATCAAAAGTGGAAGATAAGTTCAAACCATTTGTAGTGCGCCAACATGAATTATCAGCGTATAATGGGTGCCTATTATGGGGAAACAAAGTGGTAATTCCAAATGCAGGACAAGCTTGAATATTGCATGCTCTCCATGAAGGACATAGAATAGTTTGCATGAAAGCTTTAGCCAGAAGTTATGTTTGGTGGCCTAAAATGGATGAAGTTATTGAAAAGTGGGTGTAGAACTGTGTACCATGTCAATCCTCTCGTCATGCTCCACCTAAAGCCTCAGTACATCCTTGTGAAGTGACTAGGTCACCTTGGTCCCATTTACATATAGATTTTGCTGGCCCTTCTCATAGACCAATGTTTTTTTTTTAGTTGTTGACTCCTTTTCAAAATGGTTAGAAGTTGTTCCAGTTACATCTTCTACCTCAGTCACAGTCATTAAAATTCTAAGGAGGCTGTTTGCTACACATTGGTTGCCAGATACAATTGTGTCTGATAATGCAACACAATTTACCTCCACAGAATTCCAAATTTTCATGGCAAGTAATCTTTTCTGACATGTTACAATTGCACCATTTCACTCATCATAAAATGGTCAAGCTGAGCGTATGGTTCAGACTACCAAAGACTCATTAAAGAGAATTATTGAAGGAGATTGGAATCATAGACTTGCAAATTTCCTTCTGCAACAACATGTGACACCTTGCTCAAGCACTGGTAGTAGTCCAGCAGAGCTCCTTATGAATCGGTGTCTTAAAACTTGTCTGGATCATTTACATCCTGATTTGACATCTTATTTACAAGAGAAGCAAGAATTGCAATTCAATAAGAACTATAATGCTTCTACTGTGAGAGTATTTGCACCTGACAGTGCTGTCTATGCTAGGAACTATGTTTCTGGGCCTAAATGGATACCTGAAAAAGTACTTGTGGCCACAAGACCTTTGTCATACAAAGTAAAAATTCCTGATGGTAGAATATTACAAAGGCATGTCGATCAGATTCGGGAACAGAGTGATGAGATTGTGCCTGCTGCCGGTCCCAGTCATACCGGGTTTTCTGTGATCCCAGATGATGTTGAACCACTGGATGATACAGGTCTCAGTTCTCCAGGAGTTGTTGTAGCAGAACCAGTTCCGTGCGGTCCATCTGACAGAGCACAGGAAGAAGGGATGGGCACAACTGAAGGTCCAGGTGAAGCAGCCCTAAACATGCTTTTGGGGCGCCCAAGAAGAAATATTCACCCTCCCAGTTATCTCAAAGACTTTGAGGTCTATGGGGGAGGAGTCTTATGTACTGGGGTGTTATGCAGTCCACCTTCCAGTAGATGACAGCATAGTAAAGTTATGAACGTGTTCTGTTGTGTTAGTGTCTCTTATGTTATGTCACTATGTCTGAGAGCCATTTGATAGGACCTGCTAGAAAGACTACAGGCTTCTCATGACTCACTGCTGCAGTCTAGGAGCAAGACAACAGGTTTCTGACATTTGGGACATTAGTATAGGGTATACTGCCATTTCCCAGTGTATTTTGTATTCTTTGTGCAGCCCAAACACACTGTGGGGACCAGGTTAACCCTTTTGTGACTGTAGCCATTTCCCTTTTATCTAATGTACCATAGTCCACATATGTGGTAATACTGACTACATGGGACATTCTGCAGAGATGGAACTTTAAAAAAATTAGGGATTACATCCTTCTACTCTGACTTCATACATGAAGTCCTGAATTATTTTTTATAATCCTGAAGGTGATGATTATCAGCTAGTTAAGTCCATGTGTTATTAGATTGAGATTTATTTTTTAGCAGGTGTCCCTCCACACTCCCCTCATGCCTCACTTACCTGATCTGTAAACTGCCCCCTCCCATGCCTCACCTACCTGATCTGTACGCTACCCCCATGCCTCACTTACCTGATCTGTAGTCTGCCCCCCATACCTCACTTACCTGAACTGTAAACTGCCCTGCATGCCTCACTTACCTAATCTGTAGGCTGCCCCCCACCTCACTTACCTGATCTGTAAGCTGCCCCCCATGCCTCACTTACCTGATCTGCAGGCTGCCCTCCCACATGCCTCCCTTACCTGATCTGTAGGCTTCACCCCTGCCTCCCATGCCTCACTTACCTGATCTGTAGGCTACCCCACCCCATGCCTCACTTACCTGATCTGCAAACTGCCACCCATGCCTCACTTACCTAATCTGAAGGTTGTCTCTACAGTCTGGGAGTTGCTGGCTGCACTCTATGCTGCTCCCCTGCGGAATTCATCAGGAGCGAGAAGCAGAGATAAGATGTAGCTTCCTATCCCTGCCTTACTCCATACACACCGGCGCCGGTATTGCAGTGTATTCTCAATCTCAAAAGAAAAATACCAGCACAAGCTGAAAAATCCAGTTGCTGGGGCAATTGCCCCCCCCCCCCCCCAAGTAACACCCATGCCTCTAAGTGTATTTTTGTCTTATCAGCCTCTCTGTTTCTCCCTGTCCACCAGTCCCCCCATAAGTCTCTCTCTGTGTGCCTCTTTGTCCCCCTCAGTCCTTCTGTGTGCCTCTTTGTCCCCCAGCCCTCTTTGTGTCCTTTTGCTCTCCCCAAGACCCTATTTGTGTCTCTTTGTCATTCCCCAAGACCCTCTGTGTCTCTTTGTCCCCATTAGCCCCCCTGTGTATCTCTTTGTATCCCCAACCCTCTGACAAGCAGTTGCTCTTTGCTCTCAGCCAGCAGCTTCCTTTCAGACTGGGTGGAGGATACAGAGGATCCTCTACTGCGATCCACCTAGCCACGCTACATGAAGTGACTGGCATGAGAGGGAGCGTTGTGCAGTGCAGTTCCCTCCGGCTGGTCACCTGGAGATTGCGCCCCCTAGTTCGCCTAGTGATATCACATGCCCTGTGTGACTGTCAAACTCCACATACCATTTATATAAACCTCTCTACTTAGTTCTCCTGTTTTTTCTCATTTCACTTTTTATATTTTGTGACATGCATCTTGTTTTGGGTTTTTTTAGAACTATTTTCTCCCTACATTCTCTAGTGCTTTGGCAGCTCACTGTCCTTTTCTATACTGTTCTATCTAATATGTAAATTTGTCACGTTTCAAATTGTGGTACTTTCTTGAGTACTTTTTTTTTAAACGGTACAACAGTTTGTATTACTGAAGGAATCACATCTTTTTTTATTTTTGTCTTTATTTTTTTAATTTCAATAGTGCCCCTCCGGACATTGCTGTTTTTTCGTTATACTGAACTAGTGGCTCAATCTTTCATAGGTGTGGCAACTGTACTATATAATTCTATATAGATAAAGAAGAAAAACCAAAACTCTTTTCACGTTCCTTGTATGTAATTGTTTCCCATCTATCACCCAAATTCCCCCTGTTTGGTCCCTATTTCTCTTCCATACTCATTCTCCCCTCCTCTGTGCATGGACGGTGCAATGAAGACCTGGTTCCTCATAAAAAAACATGGAATTATTTTTTTTTTCAAGATAATACACAGAAATGGAACTGTATGAATAATAATGAAGCATCCACAGTGTTTACTTAATAAATAGTTCTTTTAATATTGCTGGTAAAATATGCACATAGTTTACATAAATATAATAAAAAACTTCTTTACATTTCATATACAAAATATATACAAAACATTGAAAAAACTGAATATAAATAAGATTGGACTCTTAAAATAGATCAAATGTAGATACCCAGAGCCAGTCCTTAACATCTCTAAAAAATAATTAATGATAAATATATGGAAATTACACATTCTGCATTACTTTTTAAATAATAATGAAATGGGATTATTTGAATCTTTTTTTTAGATATTGACTGTTTTTTATTTGTAATATTCAACATTTATGAGCTGTATAAAACAATAAATATTTATAAATGGCAGTACAATTGAATAGCTAATAATTGGCCTTCTTTATTATGATATAATAAAGAAAAGGGGTTACATGGTTGAGATATGATATAGAAATTTATGATGGCTAAATCATCCAAAAGATAACCAGAGGTTCCTAATTAGATCTACGAGCACTCGGGAGAACCGATTATAAAACCACAGACTCCGTTTGTGGATCAAAATCATCTCATCATTTAATTGCCAAGTGAAAAAGAGGAGTAAGGTAAGAGACGTAGACTAGGATCTTGAAATATTAATTAAAGCAAACTGGGTAAGGCATTAAATGTATTGTTCTTTTACATTTCATGATTCTACACATAATCCTTTCAATAAATTCTGGGATACTATCGCAACAATGCGGTAAAGCATGGAGAAAAATAAACTAACTAATGGATAATCTGTCAAACATCATACCCAAAGAATGCAACACGTTTAACAAATTAGAGAGACATAATGGTTTTGAAGTCCAAATATGTTGGTTTGAGAATGCTAAACATGACAATATTCCAAATGTAATCTAAGCTCGTTAAATTCATTTGAATAATTCCCTTACGAATTCTAACATATTTAATGAATTTTTATAAACCAGTATTGAAGTGCCACAGCTCTTGCCATTCTAACACGTCAATTTAAGCAACATATTTATCAGACTCCAAGCTTCATCAAATTAGGAGTTAAGTTTTATTTACAGCGAAAGTTTTACGGTCTTAATTAATAAATTGTAATAAATCCATATAATCTCTTCTGGTTTTTTTTGTTTTGTTTTTTAAATGTGTGTATGACTGATTTGATGTTATTTGACTGTTATGGTTAAAAGTTAAAAAAATTACAAAATCTTTTTACCAGATTTATACGGGCTGCTAACATTTAGATATATGTACACACCCTCTTCTTGCACCATAACAACTAAATCTTAATGAAGAAGTTATAGTACATTGCGTGTACATTAGAGAAGTTTCTCTAGGCACTTGTCAACTGCATCTCCTGCTAAAGCGAGCAGTGTAGGGGCTATAACTAGCCACCAGTTGCAAGTACAGATAGGCTATAACTAGCCACCAGCTGCAAGTACAGATTAAAAAATACTCATACTATTTTTAATATGAAGTTGTTATGGTAGCAGGAGTGTTGCTTTAAGAATTTTTAAGAACTGTACCAGCATTATTTATCATTGTTCCATTTCTATTTACACTATAAACTATTTAGTTTGAAGACATATTCACATGGTCCAGGGAAATTCTACATTTTACCGTGTTTATTCAGAACAAGAAAAACAATTAATAAATAAAAATCCTCAGACAGAAAGGCAAAAAAAAATAAAAAATCACTAATAAATGCTCACCTAGATTTTTAAAAAAATGAACACAGGGCTTATTCAGTAAACAAGGAATTCTAGTACATTTGAATATTTGCAAAACCGAGGTGAAGAATATTGCAGTTTTTTTGTTTGTTTGTATATTTTTTTTTTCAATTTGTCTTAAATACAGCTTTTTAGTTCAGCACAATAAAATGCTTAAACAAATAAACATTTATGAGGATCAAAATTGACCAGGAAATTAGAAATGTTTGGCCAAGATAGCCATGGTGAGTTAGAGAATGTTTCCAATTCGGCAATCGTTTAAACTTTTTTTTTTATTATTAAATTCTTTATTCAAGAGACAAATAAGACATCCATTCACAACGCGATATCACAAAGTTCAGCAATTTTGACGTAAAATTTTTATTTCCTGGCCAATTTGAGAGCATATCGCTGAAAATGCATAATCCATACTATCATTGCATAATATTCAAGAGTTTTATAAAATGTATTATACCGTGCACTCACAAGCTGCAGGCAGATAAACATCGTATTTTTATAAATATATAAAATAAAAGAAATGTTGAACTACTAACTACAATAAAACCAATAATTCCCTTAAACAGGAATGGTGATCACAGCTCTATGTTCTGTATTTAAATGTTCTACAGATATTACTCAAAAACAAACAAAATATAAATTCTACATCAAGATTTTTTAGTCACTAATCGGTGAGGTAGTGTGACTTAAACACAATTAGCAAATGTTAGACCAAGGTGTAGATAACCGAATGCTCTAAAACAGCAGTTTCTCCAAACTTTGGCCCTCCACATGTTGATGAACTACAACTCCCATGATTCTCTGGCTAGCCATTTCATTCAAAGCAACATGGAAGTTATAGTACAGAAACATCTTGAGAGCCAGTGTTTGGAAAAAACTGCTCTAAAGAAACATTTCAAGCACCATGCCTAGTACAGCCCGCTGTAGTGGTTATGGTGCTAGGAGTGCCGTGGTGCCTTCCCAGTGTAAGTAGTCAAACATATAAGAATGTTTTGACAACATACCTTGGGTATTCCAGTCTCCCGCCACCGCCTCCTCTGCCCAGAATCTCCTGCACTGAGCTAAGTCCAGCAGTGCACTGAGGCACTCATTGGTTGAGAGCACTCCGTACAAATGTGCAATCAAATAAGAATTGTCTAAACAGTGGTCTCTATTGCTGGTTCGATCTGTTCTGCTAAGTCAATTGTAGTTTCGTGATTTTTTTCAAAGCTATCAGGTTCATCTTCCCAATTCAAATTGGCATAGCTTCCTGTATAAAGAGAAATATAACTATTAGACAAGTATAATTGCTGCTCTGTAATAAATATAATAATACTGATAAAAATCATAGCCATACGCTCAAAGTAACATTCTGGGCACCAAAACAACTTCAGTGCATTTAATATGTTTTGGCCTCAGGCTGCGTTTTTCTACCTGATCAAACCGCTTTATTTTTGCTTAATAAAAATGAAAAATATGTTGCTGCTTTCTGCAGTGTAACTCTGCCCCGTTTAGCATGCTCCCTATTTACGCATGACACCTTTCAGATTTGAAGGTAACAGTGTAGCTTAGCCATTGAAGGTCCAGAATGAGCTGTGTTGCGGACTTGTCTCCTCCTCTACAGTCTGGTTGGCTATATTTACTTATCAGTTGCCTACAGGCACGTAATGCTAGGGGCCCATGCTCCACACTCCCCCCACCGAAAAAAGACAGAGAAAGTGAGTTTAACATTAACTGGATATAAAATAAAAAATCTGAAACCCATAAATTCAAATTTGAGATCTGCATATGTATGTGCATATTTCCACTTGTTATTTATTGTGTTTGAATCTGTGAGCATAGTGAGTGAGTTAAGGTTAGAGTGTTGTTAATGTTAGACTTAGATTGTGTACATAGGGTGTTTAGTGTTAGAATTAAAAGCTTCACAGGGGATATATGTGTGGTACAAGGGGTGTTTAGAATTACTGGGTTTTGGGTTAAAGTGAAGATACATTTAGTATTGTGGTACATGGTGTGTTTAATAAGAGGAGTTAAACCTAGGATTAAGGTAAAGGATTTTATTCAAGTTTATGCTGACTGTCTGAAGGAATTCAGTGGATTCGAGGGCACTTACTTGAATTTGTTAAATCCAACAGCAGTATATTACTCTACATGTGTAAGTACCATTTGCATGTGGAGTATCCCACCTTGATTCCTTATTGACCATATGTTAAATATAGTTATTATCCCAACTAGGTCACAAAATAATTTATGCCAGCGTGGAATGGGACATTTCATTTTAGAATACCATTTTTAAAGAACAGATTGCCTTGGTCCTTAAGGAGTTAAAGTGGGCAAATGGTAATTAGAGTAGTAGTTCCACAAACATTGGGAGTTTTACCTTTTGGCTACACCTAGCAATGCAAACATAAATAAAATATAACCTATATTGTTCCTTTATTAAAATTGGGTATTCAGGGGCATCAAGGGAAACAGAGAGTGGAAGGTTAAAGACCTCTGATATTTTACATTTTCAAAGACACTTTTCGAAAGATTGAGCTGACCCAGAATTTGTTTTACGAACTGCTTTCTGTAAAATCATACACGCATTAGGTAAATGCAAATTTTACGAATAGCTAATGTGGGGATAAACGGTTCCCATCTCATAGTTCTAGGCTGGCTGAAATAAGGGATAATATGTGTACAATTTCACTTTCTTACCTGCATGCATGGCAAAACCAGGCTCTTCATTTATACACGTGACATGATTGTGCCATTCTGTCCATTTAACTTCATTTATCCTAGTGCGTAAAAAAACATGTGTTACTAGTTAGTCACCCATTAATAAACAGGTTTGCATAACTTAAGATGTATTAAAAGGACTTTGTGTTATAGCAACATATTTAACATTCTGTTACTACTAATAGGTTCAAACATGTATTTTCATCAAATTAATGCTTGTCTCCTGGTAATAAATGCAATACTTTGGGGTTTTATTAAAACATGGTGGTTGGCTTTAACCAGCTTGCTTCCCCTGACTGGTAAATCAGTACAGATATTAAACCATGGATAGATAACTTGTACTGAACCCTCAAGAAGATTAAGTAATTTATTCTGTACTCCTAATGAGATTACATTACCAAACACTTATAGTGAATTATTGGGGACTGACAACTAAAGTGTCGGCCAAATGTTCTAAATTGTAAAACTAGCTAAAATGGAAAAATATGTATCATATATATTATTCTTCATTTTTGCTAGTTAGTTTAAAAATCGCCCCAACTCAACGTTTATACCATCTCAGCTGTTGTTGAGCACCACTATCTAAAATTGACTGTGTGTCCAAGAGATTATGTCTAATCTTTGGTTTTGTAGCTGTTCAGATAGCTGAACATCATGTGAAACTTAGTCAAAGATGGAGGCAAAATGAAAGCTACCAGCAACCAAAGTTCTTGCAAATCTTAATAGCCTGAACAGCCTGTTATTGCTTGTTATCATGACAACAATCCAGTGACAGTTAATGACTTTCATTAACTTTCACTGGATTGGCACTTCAGCAAAGGAGAACAATTTTTCTCTGTACATTGGGGCAGAATTTGGTAATGTTTAATAAATAAAATAATCATAACTGCATTTTTTAAATCTTCCACTAGGGGTCATCGAAAACATAAAAACAGTCAGAAACAAAAATATATTTAAAGGAACAGTAATGCAGTGAGTGGTATGTCATTGTTTGGGTTGTTAATGAGGTTTGCTCACTTAACCAGAAATTGGGTAGAACTAACAAGGCAATTACACATTTTAGACCAAACTATCTAAATGGGCACAATTTCCAAATCAGTTATTTCCTACTATGACTATTTTGGCCTAGATTTTGCAATTTCCTCGTCAATTTTCCATAAATCCTGTTTCCGTGAAAAAAAAAAAAAGTTGACACTTCAGGTTGTCAAAAAGTGTGACAAAATAAGTATATTAAATAATGAAATTACTGGGTTACCTTAAACACGTTCTGTTGTCATTTTTCGAAACCAAACACGATTCTCCAAGCTGAAATTTGTACTTCAGCCACGCTGGCAAACTCTTCTCAAACTCTAAAATAGTTCTTGCTCTCTGCAAATGAAAAAATAAAACAAAAATGTTCTTTAGTACTTTGGCACTTCCTTGACCAATTGTAATATTTAAAAGGTAATATTTTAAAGGTATCACATTTAAAAAAAAAAACGGAAAAATATTTTAGTCACCAGTTCTTCGGCATCTCATTATCTTAATATGTAATATTTAAAATACAATCTACACACACATATACCTGCAGCCTCCAGATGTGTTCACTTTCCTTCGAGATCTTCTCCACCGTTTCCCCCATTAATGCAATGAGCATGTTGAGTAGGAGAACGAATGTTAAGATAACGTAGGCTATGAGAAGAAGCAGAAATAGCACAGGATATTTGGAGCCTTGTTGGATCTCCAAGTCTCCTAATCCTATGGTGAGTTTAAACAGTTCCACTATCGCCGTACTGAAGCTTTTGTAGGCGCTGCACTCATCTTCATCCACACAGTGTTCAATTAATGAAGCGAGAGCTGTTTAGTGAAAAATACAAAACCATCACTAAGTTTGAGAATTTCAAATGATATTCCTGTGAAATCATACTACAATTAGATAATTAACAACCTTTAGCTTTGTTGCTAAGCTATTCGACTGTCATCAACGTATCTTCAAAAAATGAATAAATAAAATTATACGTATATAATCTCTATATGAGCTCAAATGTAAGGAACAAGTCCAGGGGTGGCCAAAAGGTTTATCTCCAGCTGTTACAGAACTACATATCCCAGGTTACATTACCAGCATAAGAATGGCAAAGCATAATGATGTTGTAATGATGCAACAGCTTGGAATCTTCTCACAGGTCACCGCTGGTCTTCCCTTACCCATTAAGGTGTGATAGACAGATTAAATTAGTACCGTTTGTTATGGCGCATATGTAAAACATTAATTGTGCTGCTTTAATTGAAATAAATATTTACCAACTCCAAATCCAAATAGAAATAGAATGTATACAAATAGAAACTTTAGCACATCATTCAAGATGACCTGAAAGTAAAACAAAACAAAAACATGCACGTTAAAACCTGAAATATTACAAATTTAATGTAAACAATACAAGGGCATATAATATAGCGGGCGAGATAGCTTAGCGCTTAAGGTCTGTTTGCGGAATATCTCGCCCCAGTCTGGACCACGGGTTTCTACCATTGTAGAAGTTCTCACAAGCTAAAAGATTCTCCAGAAGGTGGCCATCTGGGTATTTGGAAACTAAAATGAATTTAATACTCAGTCACCCACAGATTGTCAAAAAGTTATGGGTGTTGTAGTCCATCAATAGCTGTAGAGCTACATTAGCTACACTTGGACATAGTAAATATCAAGCAATATGCTCTAGAGAATATGTAATTTCTAGAGCACAGAGTACAGGACCTTTGGCAACCGTATATATTCCATAACATTTTCTGAAATGTTTTTAACACTTTCCTATAATTATTGTGAACTTCAGGCATGCATTATAGCTTTGCCCAAGAATGAACAGACCCAGATGCAATGTTAACGTAGTATTTATCCACAAAACAGGAGTGAAAATGTAACAATACTGTTGGACACAACAATTCTATATTATTATTTTATTATTTTTTTATGAATTATATAGCGCCAGCCATACTGTTCAACAAAACGGTTTTATTATCTTCAAGTGCTCCATCCCTTAAATGAATATGGACTTTAGTACATTTCTTGGTGAGATTTGATCTGTAGAAAAAAATCTCACCAATACTCTGCAGGGAACAATCTTTACAATTGTCCACATTACTAAGACTATTTTGGTTGAAAGGGAATATATGATCCCCGCATACATGTCAAAATGTTAACAGTACTTGCCTTTTGAATCATTACGCTATACATTCCCAGTGACTGAAATCCTCTTGTATAAAAAAGCATGTTTGCCCATCCGAGTGCCATAGCCAAGACAAGGAATCCCAGGTATTCTTTAACGCCAAATAAGTAAAGGAAGACGGACAGTACCACCAGGACTGCTTGTATGAAACTGAAAGGACATTCCAAATCAATATTTCACATGTTTTAAAGACTTTATAAATCATAAGATAAAACACAATGACATATATTCTTTCTGGTGTGAATGGAAGTAAGATTAAGTTCCAACCCAGGTTGTTAAAGTACATAAGGGAATTGCAGGGAATCCAAAATCACATTGCAAGATTTAGGGTAAACTAGCCCAGGTGTGACTATAGTTAACTTGGAGAGTTTTTTCATGTGAGCTATTTTGGCCAAAATTCTACAGCTTTCAATTTGCAATTAAATTCATAATCTCACTGCCAAAGGGAATATCATACACCATCACCAATGTCTTAAACTGGCATACCATCGGGTTAGTACAAGTATAGTAGATGGTTCTGAAGGTAAGGCATGAGCAGAAAGCAGACAATTCCATCCTAGACAGTCTTGCAGGAGGTGGATTGAGAAGAACGTTTATCTTGTTGACCTCCTTCAAGCCCAGCCCAGTATAAGATGTTTCCCACCGCATTTCCCTCCTGATCTGTTTTAGTTCAGCTATATCTAAAATTGATTTACAATATGAAATGAATTTTGAATTCCATCCATTTCACATTACAGTGAATTATCCTGTTAGTGTATGTGTACTGAGTGTATGACTTATAACGTGCCGTGATTAGCGTTTGTCCGCTTATTACATGATGACTTACAACAAGACATGGAACCAGGAATCGGACAGAACTGATCGTAGATCCGAGGGTCTCACCAAAAATATCACCACACCCTGTTTAAGACACAATACGTTACATATTTTAGTGGCTAGTTAGAGCAAAACCAGAAAATCTGAAAATCAGAGCAATTTGTATTGCTGTCTATTATCTAAAAAGTATTATTATTAACTGGTGACCTTTAATACATGTGCAGTTATCACTTAAATGTTCTACGGTGATATCCAGATTATTATTTATTATTATTACAAGCATTTATATTCCACAGCGCTATTCATCTTCCTGGCTATTCTGTTTTTTTTTTATATTTTTAGCTTTGGCCTGTCATATAAGATTTCCGAATATCAGTTTTCCTGACCTAGTGAGACCTTGGCTACGTGTTTGCCTTTGGGTGCGCTGTTTCTAAGCCCCTGTGAGGAAATATTCCATAACTCTAATGCCCGGTACCTACCTACATCTCTCTTTCATTATATTTTACTTGCTTTTCTTACTCACTCTGACTGGCTGAGTTTTGCTACATTCTAACAGTGGCCACATTTTGTCAGCCATTTTTGTCTTGTAACAAATGAAACATTAGCTGTAAGAGGCCCCATTTTCTGGCTATATCGGTCCCCTTTCAATAAGGAAAGGTGAGATAGATCCCCCCCCCCACCACCACCACCTTAAAAATGTGTACTCTAGTTACTGTATCGGTTTCAGGCTCTAATACAATTCTCATTTAATCCATTTTGAAGTTGTATTTCTCTGATGTGATGAAATACTGTTTTTTTCTTTTAATATAATTTAGAATCTGCCAAAATATGTTACAATCATGTAAATTGCATACAGAAAACACATGCGGTAATTGCTCCAGTTACGGGTTTATGTAACAATCACTGGAATATGCGGATAGGAACATTTTATTTAAATCATAACACGTGGTGACTGAGTCACTTAATTACTGCTTGCTTCACGAAATGTTTGGAACAAAAGAATATCTTACCTCTTTGATCATTAAGTATGTAGCACAAACAATGATGAACATTTGTCCAAATAGCTGAAGATATCCCTTATCATGAGACAGACTTAATGGATACAGAGCCTAGAGTGATGGAAAAAATGGGTTATTAAAAACACTGCTATTTATTTTACTGTTTTCTCAAAATATTTCTGAATCTTTATGTATTAAAAAAAATTGTAAAATGTATTAAAGGCACACTGGAAGCACCATCACCACTACACTATCAATGCTGCATGTAGTGCCCTGGCACCATTCCAGGATAACGTGTAAAGCAGTTCTAGCATCGTGTGACTCCTGCCTGGGTCTCTCCAGGCATCTGTGGGGCATCTAGTCTCAAGCAGGGGAAGTCGGATGCTGATGTAGGTGTTCATTTATTGGATGAAAGCATTTAACGTTTATTAAAGAAAACTGACTTTAGACTTGTCCGGCATTGAGAAGACCCGATTCAGTGTATCCTTTTTGGTTCAATCATTATTATAATATTATGACCCTTGCGGATAGATAGATTTGAACAGACGTACCAATTAAAGGAAAATGTACGTATCATTTGCTCACTGTCCACTAGGTGTCAGGAAAAGTCTGCATTAAAGTAACTATTATTACAACTATTGTTTGTGCTGGCAAATATTCTGCAAATGTATAGATTAAAAGTTATCATCATAAAAATGGTACTGTGAAATGTAACTGTGCGTTTTACCTGTTCGCCACGCGGTCGGTAATATGAGACAAGAGTTAGGACAATGTTGTATGTGAAGGAGAGTAGAAAAGACATAAAGAACATATATCTTGCAAATTTTTTCCATTTCATTTGAAGTAACGTGTGAAGAGGCTCCAAGGCCAACAATTCATGTCGGTTCTAAAAAAAAAAAAGCCAAAAAAGATAATATAAATATATTTTAGTATAACAGTACTAGCACACCATACCACTTGGTGTGTATCTATCTATATATATATATATATATATATATATATATATATACATATAAAATTGCACACATGGTGGAATTAAAAAAAGCAGAACCTACATCAATATTTGTGTTGTAAACCACAATTTCAAGTAGTGAATTCCGAGAGGTAGTGTCTATATCATTCAAGTCATACAGAGACGACGAGACAGGTCCATAGGCCCAGTCTGTGAATTTTCTAGAGAGTACTCGATTTTCTTTATCTTTTATTTCTCGGCTGAGTATGTAATGCAGGATCTAAAAATACAAGATAAAAACACGGATTAGAAACTATGCAACCTAAATTATTTTCCAAGTATTTGGATTAACTGAATAAATGGTGCAGTTTTCAAATTAAACAGAGATTGTTGGTCTATGTTTGAATTCACAAGAAAGAGCCCATATTAATACTGTTTGATATTGCTAAAACTTGTAATAAGTTTAATAAAATCAATATTTCTCCTAATTATAATACTAATAAACATTCATTTCTATATAATGCATTTCTCCTGAAGAGAGATATAGAACATGTTTAGAACGTACTAGTTAATTTAACCATATCAGAAGCTGATTAAGAGAGGATTAATTTTTTTTAACCCGACTTAATTGAATATATTTTATTGACCTTGGAAATATAAAAGTCTAAGATGAAATTCTAGGTACTCAGTATGTTTACCTCTGTCTTTCCAGTTTTGGCGGCGAGTTGCATCGGCGTCAGACCGTCATTGTTTACAATGCTTTCCAAAGACTTATTCTTACAAGTCATCAGAATTGTGTCGTACATGCGTATTATGAAGGCGTTTTGTGCCTCGGAATGTTCAGCTACAGTCACCAAAGCATGGAGGACGGTGTTTCCCAAAGAGTCCTGGATGGTAACATCTGTCTTGTTGTTTTCCATAAGTAGCTGTACCACCTCTGGTTGATTGGTGCAGGCTGCCAAGGCCAGTGGAGTTTCACCTGTGCAGTAGAACGTAAGCATTTACTGTCTTAATCTTATGGGTGTCGAGTGTCTCACTACGATAAATCATATATTTTCTCAACAGAAAAGAGACTATCTCAGAAAAGCGGAAATAAAACTCTAAAATCCCATTAGAAGCAAATAAAAGTAACAGGGACATTCTACTGGTTTACTACGGTTCTAGCTACAGGTTTATTAATCTCCCCCTGGAATAAACAAGTTATTATCAACATTTTTTAAATTCTGTATCTTGTAGAACTTACCAAAATAAAATCCTTCATGTTTATTCTTTGGGTTAAAGAAGCGTCCCTGAGCCCGCACATTAATCTTGGCTCCCTTCTTAATTAGGAATTTCACAAGATCACTTTGTCTTCTTTCGATGGCTATATTTAGTGCAGTTTGACCTGAAAGGCAAATTTTATAATTTTAACATGCGAATTTTACTAGAACCATTCTTTTTATAAGACAATTACAACGTGTTCTAAAATCACAACACAGGTCATGCATACATCTTGCATTCATTTAAGATAAATAACATTCATCAATGAATTTAACCCAACTGTTCCAAATCTGGCCTAAGCTTATTTTGCTGAAATATTAATCCCATGTGATGTTATTTTTTTTTTTTTTTACAATTTCCAGCATCCTCATGCTAGGTTACCTGCTCAATGCAATGATTAAGGCAGGTGTGTCAGTGCATAGCACTGGCTTCTATGGTGCAGATCACACTTCCCCCACCGGACCACCAGTGATCTTATCCTCCTTTTTACCCACAAGCTAAGCATGCACACAACACAAACAGTCTCCAAACACATAACTTTCAAAAACACGTACAGCTCACCATTCACTCTAACACCACACTAGACTTGTGAATGGTGGAAAAATTCAGTTTGTCTGAACCATTTTTTTTTTCCGAAAATCAAAAATGTATCAATGTAACAATCATTACTGCCATTTGGTTCACAGATCAAGTGAGAAAAAGTATCCAACAGAGCGAAAAAGAAATAAAGCCGTATCTACATCTATATATTATATATTCATTAAAACAAAATTATTATTATTATTATCGCATTATGCTGAAGAACTAAGGTAAGGTAAGTAAACTGAATTATTACAAATAATTTTTCTTTAATATATATATAGTAAATAACGTGAAATCCGTTATCATCAGATAGTTTCAAACAGCTATTTTTTAGAACCTAGAATTTTTATTTTTATTTTTTTTAAACCTAGAAGACATAATATTCAGAGGTCAATTTGTCTTGAATGCGGGGAATTTTAGAACGTACAAGAGAAAAAAAAGAACAGTTCTTAAAGAAGGTATATTGAGAGCGAGAACCCAAGCATCACCCAGATACCAATTTAGAACATACCTTTGTAGTTTTCTTCCGTATATTCAGCATTAATAAATCTGTCCAAGAAATTGTTTTCTTCCGCGAACGAAATGAGGCTACGCACAACATCAGGCGTGTTTTCATTGATGTTTAATAATGCCTTCATCAAACAGGTTTTTCCGGTGTCCTTTGCTGTCAGCTTGTACATGAAAAAATCTGAAACATTCAAGTAAAACAGGCATATATATGTAAGTGATTTGTGAATAACTTTGCTGTTATTTCACCTGTTTTATTTTTCTATCATGAAAAAATAGCCATTAAAAAAACTCAGAAGCCGATAACATTTTAGATCAAAAGCAGATTGACTGCTGAAGGACAAAACAGGATTCTGCGTAAAAATATCGACAGACTCATGACATAAAACATTTGCCATCATTATAGTAATGTGATTATGTCATTACTTTACATAATATAAGTTTAGGGCAATAGTAACATTTCAAAAGCCTAAAGCACTTGTGGTGAAGTGTTTTAAGGGTAAACAGAGTGTCCCCTTTTGTCTCTTTGGCATTCTTTTTGGGCTGCAAACTCCCAGATTTCAATCAGAGAGCTGGACGGATGCTTTTCTGTACTCATTTTGAGAGTTTCTTCAACGTGGAACTCAGTGCTTCTCTTAGCATTCTATTGGCTGCAAATACTCAATAGAACCTCGGTGCTTCTCTGTGGAAAAGATTAACCAGGTTGAGCCTCACTCGTGATGAGAAGGGGTGGAGCAGAGATTACTGCTGGATTAGAGGTAACTGCTTCATTTTGAAGAATGGGTGAGGTTGAAATCTAATTTTAATGCAAGACACGATGCTTCACATTTTGCTTAACCATTCCCTTACTGATACTTTAACAGCAGCAAGGAAACACATTGATATATTTAAAAAAAACAATTATTCAATCACACAGAGGCACTGGGTATAACAAGGATTATCAGACCCACCATGTTTTCAGGGGCACATATAATTTTGTGATATATATGAAAACACATGAAAGGGTTTCCCTGCAGTATGTATAATGCATATTCCGCAGGATTCACCATTGCTTACTTACTTAATATTTTACACGTTCTTCTGTGCTTTGCATGTGCTGCCCATCAATATGTATATGTGATGTATTTCCCTGAAAGCATGGTGGATCTGGTAACCCTAGATATAACACTGTTATTACCCCTTCTTGGAGGGACACGCTGAACCCTTAAAGAACGTTAGGTTGCTGAAGTGCTTTATGTGTGAAGAGTGTGTCCTGTTTTTTCATTTTACAAAAAAATGCAGATTTCAATAGAAATTGGCACATTTTTAAATGAACCTTGTTACACCCTCCCTGGCTGTCAATCAGACAATCCGTTCTGTTACTTCCTGGTAGTTTAGCTCAGTGAAACTAAACTCAAGAGGCAGCAATTACCTAGAGCAGCATTTCCCAATTAGTGTTCTCAGTTTCAGAACCTGGATGCCACCTTTAGGAACTGGAGATCTGTGCTTGAGACAACATTTGAGGGTAAACAATTCAAGAATGGCTTAACCCCTTAAGGTAAGAGTGCGCAAGGACACCTCCTGATACCATAACAACTTCATTTAGATGATGTTGTCATGGTGACCAGAGTTTTCCTATAAAACTTTGAAACTAAACTCAAGAGGCAGCAATTACCTAGAGCAGCATTTCCCAATTAGTGTTCTCAGTTTCAGAACCTGGATGCCACCTTTAGGAACTGGAGATCTGTGCTTGAGACAACATTTGAGGGTAAACAATTCAAGAATGGCTTAACCCCTTAAGGTAAGAGTGCGCAAGGACACCTCCTGATACCATAACAACTTCATTTAGATGATGTTGTCATGGTGACCAGAGTTTTCCTATAAAACTTTGAATAAATGTTATCCCCTTTCTTTTTTTTAAACTCTTTATAATTTTGTAATCATACAGTTTAGATATGAATACAACATGAAAAGTCACGATATTATGGTAGAGATGCATATGACACATAACATTGTTTTATTTGCCCGAGAGCCGTACACTTGACATACCGAAACAGAATTCAAAATAACTGGTTATCAAAACAGTAAAACATTCTCCCAGAATCAGGCTAATAATTTCTTTACGCGGTATAGTTTGTAAAAGTTTAACTGCTCATTGGTGCTGGGAGGCTACAATCAGTCCCCGTTTATATCACCATTTATAAGGACATCAGTAGCTAGATGTAAGCTGGTTAGGCCATGCAGGCTAGCGTCCCACTAAGGGTTCCTACATGCTGAAGGCTCGGTTTAACCTTTTGAGAAAACTGAGATTAGGACCTCTGGAAGGTGAAGCATGTTATCCCCTTTATAATTACCATTGCCATATTCCCATTCTGCCCCTCAATTAACAGTGGAAGACATTTTTGGTGAGTTCACAAATTTAATTAGGAACCAGGTGACTCAGTAATCTTACCTTGTGCGCCCTTCTCTGTAAGCCCAGCAGATGATTCCTTTGCTTCTACGAGAAGCCTCTTTAATTGTTCCTCATCACCTTCAGAAACTGTCTTAAACAGAAGGTTTTTTGGAGGCCTTCGTATATTCCCTCGAGGGTTTATTCCAGTCCCTTCCCTAAATTAGTAAAAAAAACATTGGCAGTTCATTGACAATGTTTTATCATTTGTAGCTAGGTAATATATGTTGTGTCTGTTACAAGGAATATTTTAATTATCAAATCATCCTAATATCTACAAGGAAATGGTTAAAGTAACACAAAAGTAAGAACAGCAGATCAGATGGGAGGAGAGGTCACTACGTTTAATGTCTGTATCTAATTAAAATCGTCAAGCAAAGTTGTGTAAGTGGAAGATCATAATGAAGAACTAGTTATGTGAGTCTCTTGAAGCAGCAAGTATTGAGGTTTAGGATACCGCCCAATTGTCCCTATGTAGAAAGGACAGTCCCTATATTTGCTAGGAGCTCAGCTGCTCAGAATTTTTGGTGTCTGAATTTATACTAGTGCTCAAAAACAATAGTACTGCCAGTAATGTATTTATAAATGTGTTAAGAAATCAGTATGTGTAAATAATATCCATTGTTCTTGTTCTAAATTACATTTTAGTTGCATAAATAGTTTTTAGTAAATCACTTAAAATACTTCCATCCTTGCCACACTCCTACTAACACCCAGGAATTGAAGTGCTCCTCTTTGTCCATTTGAAATGCTGGGAGGTAAGTCTTGACAGCAGCACCTTTATTAAGCAGTGCATGTTCTAGGCAATAGAGGCTGGTTCACAAGGGCAGATAGGGCAGTTCCCCCAGTTATTGTTATATAAAAAAATGAAATCTATTTGCACAGTTAGGACAAACAAGTTTTAGGGAAAGATTATGTTCTGCTGATCCATCTCTCTCCCCTTTATTGATTGCTGGAGATGGCACACAATTAGGACAAACAAGTATTAGGGAAAGATTATGTTCTGCTGATCCATCTCTCTCCCCTTTATTGATTGCTAGAGATGGCACACAAATACAAATCACATCAAGATTTTAGACTTTTTTAAAGTAAAATTTATCATCTACTGGGTATAGACCCCCTCAGAAAGCTTAGTCTGCTCTAACTAGATTCCATCCATTGGCGTTGCATTGGGCTGTCAGATTATGAATGCTATAAAAGAAAGCTCCATATAGCTTGGTCTTCCAGGACTGTCAATGGGTAAAAACTTCAGGGGATTGAGTCAGACCTCTTTAAAGTGAGAGTTGTTTCTTATAATCATATATCTAAATGTTGATGGTGCTAAGTGTGCACAGCCCAACAAGTCACGAGGCAGAGTCAAGCTCACCATCATCTTTAAACTTCACCAACCATCACTGATTCCGGGTATATTCTAAATATAGTCACAACTCTGATTCCCCGAACTCAGAGGGAACAAAGTAAGACTGGAAAAAGGTCTTGTGGGATTTAAAGCAGTGGACAATGAAGTTCAGATGGGTTAGCATGACTACCTACTATATCACCCTGACACAACAAACCGTATTAACAAATTATACCGTACCTTAGCAAAGGGTTTGCAGGTGTTTGCGGGGAATCAATATCCTCACTTTTCCTGCTGTCACTAATCGGAGAGGAAAAAATAAAAGTTCAAATAACATATTGATAAAAGCAAAACAAACAAAAAACAAACAAAAAAACCAACGATATCCAAAAACAGAAAGAGCGGCTGTCAGTGACCCAACCATACATATTAGGACAACACCCCTTTTTCATCAACTCTTCGGGAATCCATGGGGAACAAAAATCCCAGATTCATATTGCCCCAAAACCAACCAAAATATATTATTAGTCAATTACTGCAGATGTAATGGGTGAGAAAGGAGTTTTCAATATCCTTTTGATAGCCAACACTGCTATAAAGAACATTCAACGCAGGGGGCATTGCAACGAGTTTGTCAAGGATTCTTTTTGGAGGAGCTGAAATGTCGACATCATTTTAAATGGATTAAATAAAAGTAAAATTTTATTTCAACTTTCAACAAAGTCCATGGAGTGCGGTTCTTTCTGCTGTATATACACGATTTTCCAGACCAGCACCGGGCATTACTGCAACTGACCAGGAGTGCAAGCCTTTGCCGTTTATATATATATAGATATATATAAATATATCATGTGATGATATAGAGGCCCACAGTCTATAAGTGGGGCCTGCACAAAGGTCCCCATATATTCAATTCACTAGTTTTGCAGCAGGTGAAGGGTTAAAATTTAAGACAATGCTGTAATTTTTTAATAATACTGGGAGTTGGTTTAATGTTGTTGTTATACTGGGGAGTAGGACTCCTCTGGCATAGTGCAGAGAAGGGGTTGGTCATTATTATAATATGTGACTTTTTCATATTTATTTATTGCAATGGAATTAATTTTGTATCTATTCAATGAATACCATGCCATAGCAATTTATAGGGAAAGTGTTCCTGAGAAATTTGGGATTTGCTGGAGTAATTTAGACAAGCTCCAGGAGCTTAATTGTATCCGTTCAAAGATGGTTTTATAAATCTCACACAATAGCAAAATTAGTGGTCCTCCAACTTGCTATCCCAATAGGTTTTTTTTAATGGGGGAGGGGGCGGATGTATTTAAAAAGCATTCTGGGGGAAATTTAAAAAAATGTAGGTCTATTACCAAGTGAATCAATTGAATGTTCTTGCTGATTGTAGTCTTAATATAATAATTTTAAAAAAAAAAGAGATTCATATGGGCAAGCATTTATAATTATGTCAAATATTGTAATTCAACTAAATGTTATTTTTTCTTCAGTTTTGTCATATTTGGGATTTTTCCCATATTCATGAAAACAAAATGTTACTTTAATATAATGTCACAAAAGTGCATGCCAAAAATACATTTTAAAATAAATACTAGGCATTTTTCTATGAATATGCCAAATGTGACTATTTAATAGAAGGACAAAGCAATTTCAATTAACCACTTATTTATTAACCCTTTGTGATGTACAGCATATAAACGATTAAAACATGAAAAAATTACAAGTATGATAACAAAAACCTCTGCATAACCTTTTAAGAATCTGGTTTACAGTTTTTTTTATTTAATTTAGTCAACTGGTTATAGTTTCAGAAATGTATTGTCAGTGTATTCTTGCAGCTAGTAATAACATATCACATATACAGACCACGATTGCATTAAATTAAAATTCATTTACACTAGATCTTTTGAAAATATTTACAACTCTACAGATTTTAAGAAATTGAAAGCTGAAAGGCAATATTTTTTAAGCTGAAGCCAAACCGTGAATACAGCTTATAGAATTGGATGGACATTTCTCGAGATAAGTTCTGTTGACCAAAAATTTAGCGATTTGGAGTTTATTTTGGCACAGTTTGTTGTTTAGTAAATAAACCAGTAAGAAAACTTATCAATGATAATTCTTAAAGATATTAAAGCAGAAATCCTGTTAAATCTCTGTAAGGTATTAGAATTTCTATAATGCACATGGCTGCCATAAAAGTTTATTGTTTTGAGCTGAATATGCTTACTTACCCCATTTTTATTTTAGAATCCATATTAGTTGTGAACACAATCAGCGATGACTTGCTGGGGACTAGAGGGAAGTCCGGAGTGTCACTGAAATCAGAAACAGACATACACTTACTCCTGGGAAATCTACGCGCAAGAGTCTTGCGACCCAGAAAGTTACCCATTATTTAGAGATCCAATGAGAAATCAATATATTAAAAGTCCCCTTAGCTAGTGGAGCATCTCTTCCAGCTCTGAAGACCTAGCTAGAACTTTGTGATGAGACTGAGTGAAGGGCAGATTACTCAGGATGATACCTACAGATAAGGGCAGGACGTAGACTAACCAGTTGGGTTAATGACGAACCACAGTGTGTTTATATTTGTGAATCAGCCCAGCAACATTTTAATTATACCATTATAATCATGATGAATAGACAAGTGGTATTACCTATTACAATAGTTTTGTGTAACTCCTCAAATAACTTCCTAAGTCATTAGCAGGCTTGAAAAAAACAATATTATGAATTGACAGCCATGGGTGTGACAATGTTAATTTATAAAGGCGCCATTTCTTTTGAAATCTGCAATTTTTGTAGAATAAAAAAAAGTCACTCTTCACACATACAGCACACTCTTCACATGTAGCAATGAAGTGCCCCTTTACATTTACACATAAAAACTCAAGGGTCTACTGAAAATGATCTGACTGAAGATTTCTAGGTAGGGGTTTATGATGATGGGATATTATGGATTTTTATTTGGCCTTTTTTGGGTCAAGAAACAGAGAAGATATCTAATGGTAAGTATTAATGTTTTCTTTTACCCCACTCCCACACTTTTATTAGAGTGAGATATGGTATTTATTTATTGAGGGGGTGATTAGGGGCTTGAGGACCCCTTGTCTTTTGCCACCAATGGGAGGGGGTCTGGTTGGACCCCCATTATCATTTAGGGCTCCCACTGTGAATGGGCAGGGGCTGTAACAAAAGGACCCCCCTCCTTTTATTACTTAGGTCCCCTACATGCCGTTAATAGTTGTGGGCTGGGGGGACTCCCCATTATCATTTAGGGCCTCCACCTGCCACTACTGGGTGGGGGCTGGGAGGGACAATAGGAAAAGAAGCAGAAGCAATTGGGAAAAGGTAAGTTTTGGGGTGCTAGTGGCGCTTTACCAATGTACCTCTTAAAGGAAAACTATAATGTTTTATTAACACTGAAAACGTATTTAATTATATGAAGGAATTACAAATTAATGCACGGTGTCTACAATGTATGGAATTTTTTATTTTAGTTTATGATAAAAAATTGTCAGTTTTCTTTAATACTTCCTACTGACTATTGTTAGTCAACAGCTGGAGATATGTATATGTTACGTAATGGTACCTCAGCTGCAGGGTGTGGGCGTTTCTTTAACCGGGTCAGCTACTTGCTGATTCTAAACATATAATTGGATTTGAATTAATTTAATCATGCAATATTTGCATTAATGCAAATTCTCATTTGCTGGTATTTAGGAAAACAGAGTTTCCTGCTTTAAAATGCATTTGTAAGAAATATGCATTGTTGAATTCTGATCAGTAGTGATCACTTTCATGATTACTTACTAAATTAAGAATTCAAAGAGAATATAAAATTTAAGGTCAAGTCCTAGAGGACTTAATGAACAGTTGCTTAAAGAAACACTATAGGGTCAGGCATACAAATGTGTATTCCTGGTCCTATAGTGCTAAAAACACTATTTAGCTTCCTTGGCACCTCCTTGTCCCCTTAAATATAGTTAAAACTCACCTTATTTCCAGCTCCACGTGGCTCTGCCGGCACTGGCCTGGCCCCTGATCAGCCTCCTTGGCTAACATAATCAGAATTGATAATCTCAACCAATCACAATGCTATCCTATAGGACATCATTGGATTGGCTGAGATCATCAATTCTGATGAACTTAGCCAAGAAGGTGGACCTGGTGGGCAGAGCCAAACACCGCCCTGACCAAACAGTATATCCTCATAGAGATGCATTGAATAAATGCATTCCTATGGGGAAAGTTTAGTGACGCTGAACATCAGTGCTGCAAAATGTGTAGCACTGACCCAGGAAGCACCTTCAGTGGTTGTCTGAGGAGTGGCCACAGGATGTGTTCCTAGGGAGCAACGTAAACACTATTATTTTTTCTAAAAAGACAGTGTTTACAGCAAAAAGCCTACAGGGACTGACTATACTCACCAGAACAGCTACATTAAGACAGCTGTGCTTTCATTTCAGCTATTCTGACCTTAAATATGGAATTCATTTTGAATTCCCACTTTGGTAAATAACCTTTTTTTACGCTTACTTCTATGTTTTTTTAAAAAAAATGAAATATTTTATAATTAGCACCACAGAAGAGGATGTGAGCTCTTCGTTATGATCCACTAAATTCCAAATTGTAAGGAATTAAAATCTGACAAAATTCAGGCTAAAAGAGCTGATAAATGCTACAGTGTCTAAATTTTGCCATTTGGATTTTAATTTGCAACAATTCAGAGTTCAGTGAGTAAACCATCTTGATACAATCATTCCAGGAGTCAACTATCAACAAAGTTTTAAACAAGCTTAGTCAGCGTTTTCTTTCTATCACACTGATGTGCGATTAATTATTGTCTAACTGATCTGCGTTACATGTCATTTTTTCACTGCTCCATCAATATGGTCTCTCGCAAACCAGAAGTGACGCATTTGTTACATCATCTCTGCTCTACTCGTGTTAATCGTTTGTCAGGGCAACGTACATACAAAAATAGAAAAATCAAGTTTATTTACCTAGCGCTCCACTTTACTTGTTGTGTTTTTAGTGTATATAGTTGGTGAGGAACCTACTCAAGTGTGGTAATAGCTTTTGTATATTTTTCTTCATATATATTAAGTGCCTATCACAGAACATCTTTTTTGCTTTATTTTTCTCTTGCAATCATTTTTAATTCAATACCTATATAATGCTTTTAGATACTAACTTCTAAATTATACTTCATCAAGCCTTACCCTTTTTTCATCCCATTTTCCATATGCTTGTGTGGTCTCGGAGGTGTTCCAGGCACAATTCTGTCTTTCACCAGAAGAGGCACCACGTCACTTGGACCTTTACTCATGATCCTGAAAAAAGTACAAGTTAGTCTAACAGTGTGTTTTAAGGGGAAGATCCCTTTGTACAAATCACTGAAAAATATTACTGCGCATAAAAGAAAAATTACCACATGGATAGCATTTTAAATAATAGGCAATCAATCAAAAATGCAATACAAAAAACTAAATTTTACTATATATATATATATAATAATTATACATATATCTATATATATATATATATATATATATATATATATATATAATAATTTAATATATACTGTTGACTGTTTATTTCAAGTGCCATATAAAAATGATGTCTGATATAATTAGAGATATACTAGAATGGCCAAGCTTAATGCTAGATCAAGCATACCAAGTAATGCCATCAACTTGTGTCAGACTTACTGTACCAAAAGTTGTGGGTGCGATGACACATAGTTGATGCTTGGTTAGATTATGGCAATAATGAGGTCAAACGATTTGCATCAGTAAAACATTCAGCTATGTAACATCTGACATCAGATTCGGCTGCAGAGATGTCCAGAATTAGATCTAGCTATGATTAGTGGGTATCATGTCATCCACTTCCATCCTAGCAATATGTTAATTAAGTGCAATAGCAGTCGGCAGTGCCTGTACAGTATACATGCATGTTGTAACTGTACTCACTGTAAATTGAGATAAAGCCTAAATATAGATTTTATTTGACATATCGGTGGTATTTTAAGAAAGCTGTTTTCACAAAATTGCCATTGTGTACTTGATAAATGGACATAAGTTTTCTTAATTTTTCTACTTTTTTTAACACCGATTTTAAGTGAAAAATAGTATCTTCACTTTTATGTTACTGTTGCAACTTAGGCTAAAATACGGCAAGATAAGGGATACCATATATCTTCTGCAAAGTGTGAACAAAGGTTGGCCAAAAATATAGACAATTAAAATCATTGGTTTTTGATATGTAGGCGTTTTTGAACATCGGTCTTTACACAAAATTTCAGTTAAATCATATATTAATTTTCCTATTATGAATCCTATATATAAATAAATTCTCTCCATCATCTTCCATCGACTGTACACAATGCAGCAGCCAGACTACTGACCAATCAAACTTGCTCCTGCCACATAACACCTGTTCTCCACTCTCTGCATTGGCTTCCAATTAAATGGCAAACCTATTTTAAAATTGGCCTGCTAACCTTCAAAGCCTTAAACAATCAAGGCCCACAGTACCTGAAAGAGCTCCCGACACCCTACATTCCATCCCGATCACGTCGGTCAGCCAGTAAATCCCTCCTGTCAGTGCCAAGAATAAAGACAGACAGGTTCCATGGCATTTTGGAATTCTTTACCGTGTACAATCAGAGAGGCACCGTCCTTACAGACTTAAAAAAAAAAAAGCTAAAGACCCACCTCTTCCATCAGGCATTCAGTCCGCTCATCTGACCTCCAGAAACTCCTAACATTTATGTCTTTATGTTTGTATATTTGTAAAGTACTTGAGTCTCACAGGGAGAAAAGCGCTATAAATATCGCAAATTATTATTATTAATCTAATTATTATAAGTGTCAGATTTGTGCTCTCAGGAAATGAATGATACTCTGCCCATAAAACATGCACAGAATTGGCATAAACCAGCCCGGAAGTCTTGTTTTAAGATGGCTAACAAAGTACTAATGACAGTTACGGGAGTGGTGTTACACCTCCAGCAGCATCATTAAAGGAACACTATATGGTTAGGAGTACAAACGTGTATTCCCGACCATATAGTGTTAAAAACACTATATACCCCCCTTGCCTATTTTAAAAAGGTAATACATTTTCCCTTATTCCAGCACTGTGTGGGTCGAACGTTACTGGCCCCTCCTTTGCTGAGATTTCAGCCAATCCAATGGTTTCCTATGGAAAGGCATTGGATTGGCTGAGATTGTCAATTCTGATGATCTCAGCTAAGGAGGTAGGGTGCCAAAAGCTGCGCTGGCCAGTGAGAATTTCTTTATAGAGATGGATTGAAGCAATGCAACTGTATGAAAAATGTTCAGCGTCTCCATGCAGTGCGTGGAGATGCTGAACGCCAATGCCCCAAGGAAGCACTTCTAGTGGCCATCTGAGTGGCTGCCACTGGAGGTATCCCTGGGTGCCTTTTCCCTGAAAATGATTTCATATAAGATGAAGACTAAGCTCAGTTATTCTCTGAACTATGTCTGCCTGAAACTGACCAAGAAAGGAAAAACATCTCCAATTCAAATGTCTTTCAATCCCAGCTATTTTGACCCGAACTTTGAAATTCCCTTACCAGTTTCTGAAAATACATGTCTAGTTAAATAGCCCTGCCTGATTCACAATTCTGACTTCAACTTCAAGACACAAACAATACCTAGTCATGTAATATATTGTACATTTTATACATATTTTTGTGTGGAACATATTTTGTATATGACACAAACAGGTATCTGTTATATAATGTCAGGTTTCTAAGGAGTGAACAACATGACTCTTTATGTTGACCGAATCAGGAAAGGTTTACATAATCTAAGTTAGTTAGGATGGAAACTGCTCTACTACCCGGCAGGTATGACATTATACTGGTATTTAAATGTTTGCTTCTGATTATAATTTAACCTCTTCAATCTGCCTTTGTTTAAATTAAATTAGCATAACATATTTCAAACCAAAGATGAGTAACCAGTATATAAACACAGAAAAAACAAAAAACAGTTTTGTAAATAGATTGGTGTTCAGAAATACAAATTTGCACAAAGTACTTCTTTTATATATTCATCCGATGCGGACCTTTTGGAATGATACAAAGTTTTATAAAGTAGAGAGTATTTCTTATCTTGCAATATTGAAGGTAAGGTGAACATAAAGGCAGAGATAAATAAAAATGGCCAAATACCCTGCTTCTAGGTAGCTGTTAGGACGTTGATGGCATTAGTGGGAATGTAGATTCCTAAAATGTCACCCAAATTCCCAAATTATGTTTATATATGAGCATAATGCCAACATACAATGAATACTGAAGAACAATTTTAAACACACAGAAAAGTGATTAACAGGCGTTTATAGAATCGTGACGTATAATAGCTGCTAAACACTCAATTGGGCACTCCACAAACCCAACGCTTAAATAAAAACACACAAAAGGAACAAAACTCAGTGTTAAGGTGATATACCCACCAAATAAAACAACCAAGAGGGAGTGCAGCGCTATGAAATTGAATCAAGACTTACCCCTCAACAAATATAGGGGGGTCGAGTGGTATATATAAAACAGAAACTGAAGAAAAAACACTAATAGTGTAACTCTGTTATAAAGTGGAATGGTGTAGTAGATATTAAATCCAAACTCACATTTTTTAGAGCCTTTTCAGATATAGGCTCTAAACATCACACTTTTGTGCACTTCCCAGGTGGCAACCAGACCTTTCCTGGGTTATATATAAATATATTATGACGTACGTCCAGGGTCGGATTTCCCATAAGATCACCAAGACGGTGGCCTGGGAGCAGTAGGTATGAGATGTGCATTACGGCCAGTGGGGAGATCAAAGATCTCCCTTACCGACCAACCCATTTTCACGCTGAGGGAGAGGGCTACTATAGCAGTGTGTGCAGCGACCCTTGTGAGAAGGAGACTACAGACCTGCTTGTTCTCCTTCCTGGCTGTTGGGCCGCTGCACCACCCATAGGAGAGCAGGTGAGGCTGTGACATCACTGTCATAACCCCTGCAAGACCTTGCTTGTTAGGGTGGGAGAGGGAGCCAAATAAAGGCAGCCTTCATAGAAGAGAGCGATCCAGTATACATCTCTACCCCAGCCTGCATCTCATTTTTCAAAACTGTATAAGATGAGCATAGTATAATAAGGACCATCCTGAAAAACATCTGTGAGGTTTGGATACAAAAAAAGATGCAATTCCTTTGATTCTAATTGCCACCAGGCCAATATTTCTCAGTCCCCTCTTGGACTGATCCTACCCAAACATCAGTCAAGATCTGAAATGCTGGCAAGATGCCTCAACATGAGGGAAACAGCCACCCCAGATGATTGTTTTAGTTTAGTGGAACTCATCTTTGAAGTGCAGATAATTCCCCAAGCTCCTAAAACTCAGTGATCAAAGGGGACCACATCTGGATTACCCTTTTAGCTTAGAGCAACCCTAGCAAAACAGAGCACAAACAAAACACTTACTGGGCTATTTACTAAAGTGAGAATTTAAAATGAATTTCAAATTAGGGTCAAAATAGCCAAACCTGAAAAGTTCTCAGCCAGCTATGTTTTCATTTTGGCTACTCTGGCCTGAAGTTTGTAATTCATTTTGACTGTACACTTTGCAAAATAACCCTCCAGGAATGGAAAGAAGCTTAAAGGGACACTATAGCCACCTGAACAACTTTAGCTTAATGAAGCAGTTTTGGTGTCTAGATCATGCCCCTGCAGCCTCACTGCTCAATCCTCTGCCATTTAGGAGTTAAATCCCTTTGTTTATTAACCCTAGTCACACCTCCCTGCATGTGACTTGCACAGCCTTCCATAAACACTTCCTGTAAAGAGAGCCCTATTTAGGCTTTCTTTATTGCAAGTTCTGTTTAATTAAGATTTTCTTGTCCCCTGCTATGTTAATAGCTTGCTAGACCCTGCAAGAGCCTCCTGTATGTGATTAAAGTTCAATTTAGAGATTGAGATACAATTATTTAAGGTAAATTACATCTATTTGAAAGTGAAACCAGTATTTTTTTTTAAGCAGGCTCTGTCAATCATAGCCAAGGGAGGTGTGGCTAGTGCTGCATAAACAGAAACAAAGTGATTTAACTCCTAAATGACAGTGAATTGAGCAGTGAAATTGCAGGGGAATGATCTATACACTAAAACTGCTTTATTTAGCTAAAGTAATTTAGGTGACTATAGTGTTCCTTTAAATATCTTGCCAATATCACTATAAGTAGCTCTGCATCACTAAGTGGAGATTTTCCAATTTCCTTATTCAATACAATAGTTGGAACTATCCACTTTTCACACTGAGCCGGTGAGGGAAGGGAGGAGATTTTTAATTTTTAAATCGATTTCAGCAAAGGAGGAAGGTGAGGGAAAACCATGCTGCCTGCAAGGGTAAAGCTTACTACATTTACCTTCAAATCACTGAAGTTGTCATGGTGGTTTCGGAACCCTTTAACCCCTTAAGGACCAAACTTCTGGAATAAAAGGGAATCATGACATGTCACACATGTCATGTGTCCTTAAGGGGTTAAAGGAACTCTCCAGTGCCAGGAAAACATATTCGTTTTCCTGCTGCAGAACCCTGCAGTGCCCCTCTCCCTCCTGCCCCCCATCCGATGGACGTCCCTCTAGTGGCTATCTGATAGACAGCCACTAGAGGAGGACTTAACCCTGCAAGGTAATTATTGCAGTTTATAAAAATTACAATAATTACACTTGCAGGGTTAGGGGTGTTGGGCGTTGGCACCCAGACCACTCCAATGGGCAGAAGTGGTCTGGGAGCCTGGAGTGTCCCTTTAAGTAAGATTAAAAAGAGAGGTCCAATTTTCTGTAAATTAGCTTCGTCGTTTAGTTGTTTTTTATTTTAATAGTGATTTTAAATGCTACTTAGGATTGATTTTTTTTTTTAAATTGACTCTTTTCTAAACTTAAATCTGTCCAAACTTTGCTTCCATATGATTCCCATTTAAACATAATCATGTCAAATCCAGATCAAAGCTTAAGTAAATTAAATGTGACCTCAAAGAATATTACTCGTGGATGGCACTCCCACACTGAAATGTAAATCTATTCTGATCTTAACCCCTTAAGTACCAAACTTCTGGAATAAAAGGGAATCATGACATGTCACACATGTCATGGGTCCTTAAGGGGTTAAACAATGGTTTCATGAATTAGAATCATATTTACATTGTATAAATACAATTTTTTTAATATCATATTCCTTTTTAAGTTGTGTTGGGTACACTCTGACCATCACTAACAAAAATGAGCAAAACAAACTTCCCAGACAGTAACAGGTAAGGAATAAAGGTCATTCAATAACAACCATATTATTGTGCCTTGTTTTTGTTTTTTTACATTTTCGTTTTGTTTTGTTTTTTATTGTTTTCGCCACCGTAACTCATTACTGAATTGAGCTGCCAATCAGTACCGGTCAGAGCTCCTGGATCATCGACAGTGCATGTGCAAACTCACACACCCTAAAATGCGTGGCTGCACACGGACCTCCTTCTCTGACTGCAGGTCAATGTGTCAGTGTTATCAGTGGAGGTGAAATTGGCGATACGCAAGCATCATTTCTAAATCAAACAAGAACTTGAAAGCCCAGTACACTGAAACAAATCCCCCCTTTTTTATTTTTTTATTTTTTACTACTGTTTCTTAACCCCTTAAGGACACATGACATGTGTGACATGTCATGATTCCCTTTTATTCCAGAAGTTTGGTCGTTAAGGGGTTAAATTTTAAAAACATCAATCTTGTTGCTAATTCTTAAAGGAACGTCAATACCAACCATCACATTATTCACTTCACATTATTCACCAGTAGCCAAGGATGAAACTGAACAATTTAAACTAAGCCCGATAGCACACTTGAACTGGCTGTTTAGTAGTGGTTCTCTTAAAAGGGACACTATAGTCACCTGAACAACTTTAGCTTAATTAAGCAGTTTTGGTGTATAGAACATGTCCCTGCAGTCTCACTGCTCAATCCTCTGCCATTTAGGAGTTAAATCCCTTTTTTTATGAACCTTAGTCACACCTCCCTGCATGTTACTTGCACAGCCTTCCATAAACACTTCCTGTAAAGAGAGCCCTATTTAGGCTTTCTTTATTGCAAGTTCTGTTTAATTAAGATTTTCTTACCCCTTCTATGTTAATAGCTTGCTAGACCCTGCAAGAGCCTCCTGTATGTGATTAAAGTTCAATTTAGAGATTAAGATACAATTATTTAAGGTAAATTACATCTGTTTGAAAGTGAAACCAGTTTTTTTTCATGCAGGCTCTGTCAATCATGGCCAGGAGAGGTGTGGCTAGGGCTGCATAAACAGAAACAAAGTGATTTAACTCCTAAATGACAGTGAATTGAGCAGTGAAATTGCAGGGGAATGATCTATACACTAAAACTGCTTTATTTAGCTAAAGTAATTTAGGTGACTATTGTGTTCCTTTAATTAACATATCAACGTCAATTTAAAGACGCAGTCAGTCAACATCAAGATATTGGGTGAGCAGATGTCCTTTTTAAGTGGTATAGATTTGGAAACACGTAATGAAGTAAAATAAATGAAAATCTCCAGAGTGTGCGTTTTATGTTATCACCCTTAAAGGGAAAACAACCGTGCCTTTAAAGATCCTAAAACAAAATGCAATATTCTACTTGTTCATTAACAGCTGACATAGAATCTTTACGGAACAGAATGTGATGTCATTATGAAATGCCAACGATCGGTAAAGGGTTAAAATTTTCAGGTTTATTAACTAAAGTGAGAATTCAAAGTGAATTCGATTTAAATTTCAATTTTTTTTCAAAATAGCTAAAATGAAAAAATTATCTAAGTCATCTTTGCATTTAGTTTAAATTTGAAATTCACTGTAAATCGTTCACTTTAGAAAAAAAACCTGAGACTGCTTAGCTTTTCCGTTGGTTGTGAACTCATTTGTACGTTAACAATTCTTTTTTGAAAAAAATCTTCAATTGCTTTCAGCAAACCATGTGCTGTTAGAACGTTGTGAACATCCCTGAGTCAGCATTATTGTTTACCACTACAAGGTATAATGCTGGTTTGTTGTGGAACAGCAGTACATATTAATGAGACTAATTACAGGATAACATAAAAAAATTATTCCTTACGTTCAGTGTACGTGGTTCTGCTTATATCACGATGATTGTTAGTGTGTGCACATGTGAGCCATGAGTGAATAAACCATTGTCACTGTGTTTATTTAGTCACATGTCACAACACGTAGCTAGTGGATGCTGCATTGTCATTACAAGTAAAAGAGGAGAATGTTGGAGAATTCAAAGCAACACACCTCGGGCTTATTTACTAAAATGTCAAATTCCCCCAGTTTGGATTATAAAAAAATAATCAATACCATAGGGGGTTAATTTGGACCACAGAATGCAGACAATGATGGCAGCACTTAGCAATATTCAGATTTTGTAAATCCTGATTCCGATTTAACGTGATTTTATTCCAGATGCAACCATTCAAAAGAAATAGGGAACTAAATTAAGGAAATACACGACTGATAATAATAAAATAAGACTTGGACACTATCTGCAGCAAATTTTTTTTAACTAAGTTTTCATGGTTGGACAGAATTTGCAGGCAGATAATGGTCAATTCTATGACAAGAGTCAATTAAACACTATCATGATGGTTGTATCGATTTGAGAAATGGTTAACACCATGGTGGAGTCAAGTCCTAAAAATATTTTATAAAGTTATGAAATGTATATTATCAAATGAATGTATGTTATGTACCAAATTTATAATATTGAAATATACATATATTAACCCTTATACTGTTAAAGGGAAAATATAGCCAATTTCCGTGACTTGCCATATAAAAAAATCAGTTAAATGTATTTTCAAAATTGATTCTGTTCAATGAATCAGATGAAATTCAATGTTTTGATAAGTATTTGAATTCTACATTTTACATATGATTCACATTTAAGAATTAATTATTTTAAAGCAGACATCATTTTCCCAGCAATTCACTCTTTAGTAGATATCCCTGAATATGGTAATGATTTAAAAGTCTTGGATAAGCTTTTCAAATGATTTAATATTTTTGTATAAACTTTTAAAATGCTTTATTACAATATTGAAATTTTAATATATATATATACATATATATATATATATATATATATATATATATGTATATATATACTAAGGGGTATGAAATCATTATTTATAGACACAAACAAACCAACACAGTAGTTTTTGAGATCAGTGTTCGTAATATTACAATTATTTGACATGTAGAAAACCTTAATAACTACTCAAAACTTAAGATTTACAAATAACATCTAGAATGGTAACTAACATCTTCCATAGTCAGACTTACCCCAATGTGCTTGTTTCCCACTACAAGCCAAAATAAAAAAGATCCTTCTTCTACTTTTGACAACCCAATCAATAATATTCCTTTCTGGATAAGTCCAATCTAGAAAACGACCAAGTGATCCGAGCTGGATATCCTTACAATTGCAAAGTTTAATAACTCTGACTTTGTATAACGGAAGCTATCATAACTACTGTAATTAACACAAGGATCCACCTACTAGAAGTGTGTTCCATGACTGGTCCATCAGGTTGAGCGCCTCCTTGTAACCCATTCCAGTTGGATTTGTCATCGGAACCAACTGCAACATAAATGATTCAGGAATCCACTAATATTCTAGTTAACTATCATTATATTAGGAATGGACAAAACACGCTCTTATGATAAATAAAGAAGACTATAAAGAATAAATGAGATATAAAAGGCAATGTAGTTTCAGAAGAAACATTATATTTCACAATATTATATTTCACAATATTATAATTGGTTATCGAACATATTTTAGATGTGGTAAGAACAAATGAGGTATAGAAACAAAGAGAAAACGTGTTTTATAAACTTATTCCCATCAATGGTCACTTCAGTTCACTATATTAGGCATGATGTCAAATCTGTTTCTCTAACCCATAAACTACAAACTCAAGAATTCATGAAACTTATCAAATTATATAATCATAACCACTGAGACCATCAGTTTTAAAGGGACACTATAATCACCCAGACCACTTCATCTCATTGAGGTGGTCTGGGTGCAATGTCCCATGTCCCTTAACCCTGCAATGTTTACATTTTAGTGTTAAGACTGCCTCTAGTTGCTCCCTATCCGATAGCTTCTAGAGGCACATTCTGCTAATTCACGGAGTTTGGTTCCATGAAACAACACTGTGCATGAGGATGTCCAGCGTGTTAAAAAACACAGTAGGAAAGTGTTGACTCATGTTTTCCTATGTGGAAGCCTAATGTGTGTGCGGCACTCCAAGCGCATGCGCATTAGGTTTCGCCCCATTGACGTCGGAGGAGGAGCCTGACCCAGTACCGAGGGATATCGAAGAGTTTCTAACTTACATGGCCAGGGGCTGAGACAGAGAAATGAATTTGCTTGGCCCAATTCACCATCACTAAGTCAAGAATGAAGGGGGGTGCCGTAACCTGCGTAGGGCTCTGTGGGATCTTAAAGGGCAACTGTCACCTCGGACTATTTTTTTTTTAAGTGTATTTTTTCAAGTATTTAAAAAATATATAGTTTTTTTAGTGACCATATGTAAAAATGGGAGAAACCAATTGCTATCTTTAGCATACGATAGGATCCTTCAGCCATATACATACATCTTGGGTTGGACAGAAAACCAACAGCTATTCTCTATGGTCTTCCCATCTTCACTCCCTGTACAGGTGTTATATTAAAAAAATTATAATATATATTTTAATATAATTATCCTTTCATCAAGTATTGAGAGAAATTTTTGACATTTTATTTTAATGAAGCATTTGTAAAAGAAATGGGAGAAAACAATACCTGACAGTGTTTGGAAAACCGAGCGTTAATCTCTCTGATCTTCCTGCTTCACTCCTTGCACAGAAACAGCGAAGACCATAGAGACTAACTGTCGGTTCTCAAACACTGTCTGACCCAAGGTATACGTATATGGCTGAAAGATCCTCTCATATACTAAAGGTAGGAATGATTTTTTTTTTTGCATATACTTCATTCAAAAAAATCCTTTCAAAAATTGATGATAGGATTATTATATCCCAAAAATTGTTCTGAGGTAACAGTTGTCCTTTAATCCTTCTGTGCAGCACAAGTACGTCTAGTCAGAACCAGCAGTCAGGTATAGAGGAGACGAGGAGACTTAGTCCTGATTTGTTGTTTTATGTTTGAAACAATTTGCTTTGAAAGAATTGCAAATGACGCAGTTCTCACCACCTTTTCTAAATAATTCTAACTTCCCGATTGTGTGGCGTCTGGTGGCACATTACTAATTTTATTTTCCAGTGTCCCGTTTGGTGGAACACCAGAAAAAATTATCTGAGAAATGTAGTGGAAATGCATGTGTATGGAGGCTTTCATCTGTGCTTCTACGTTCTAGAATATTTTTCCTTAGAGCCCTGATTTTAATGCATATTGGGATTATACGTAATGTCTATCGTGCCTACATAGCCCTGCCCCCACCTTCACATGCAAGCTTTACATCTCTCAATATTCATTTTTTTTATTTCATTATAACTGTCTTACACTACTTAAAAATAATAATAATAAAAAGGCAGTGATGTAATTTTTTATTCCTGCAGACATTGTTTTATTACCAGATCAAGCGGCGTTCACTTGTGGGATAATTTATCCAGGTGAGCGCTAATTTGTTTTTAAATGATGCCCTGTCATTTATCCACATGTGCAATTATTATTACTGTATGTACACATTGAACATCCGTATTGTTATAATACTGTATGCACACATTCAACATCATGTGCGTTTCATCTGACACATAAAGAAATTAAAAGGGAGTTTTCAAATTCTTGACCACATTTTTTGAAGATGGCATCACGCACCTGCCTTAAAGGGAGACAGTGTTGTGTAATAACGGAATATATTTAGCACAGAGGAAACAACCATTAGCACGACAGGTTATTGTAGTTATATTGGCAGGGGCATTTAAGTTATGATTAGTAACCATATAAAGTGTCAAGTAACTGTTATGTCAGCGTTGTTATTTATGAATTTACTTTCATGTAATTTTCTGACGGATCATATTTGATAAATTATGATATATATCACATACTTCGCTAAAAATAAGCAAGAAAATTCTTATGTGTGATCATGCCTGTGGGTGATGCAAATTTTTTGCACCAACATGACTTAAGCAGCTCAGTTGTAAAAGATTACACTTCACTCTTTTTTTTGTTTTTGTTTAGCGTGTAAGTGATAATTCAATACGATTATCTTAAGCCATGTGTATTTGTGCAATTATCTTGATAAAACTGTAAGGTTGAAATTACTGCCTATATTTTAATTTGGAAATAAAGAAAGATAAATAAAAATATGAATTACTCTTTTTAATGTTTCCTTTGGTTCGCTGATTAGCTGCAGGCAGATCTATCAAACACCAGGAAAAAGCTATTATCCCATAAACTACAGTAATGATTTATGGGATAAGTAAATGATCCTTCTATGAAAAGCTCCACTCAACACATAGTATAGGCAGCACATAGCTCTGTAAACTGACAGCACATAGCAGTGCTGCTTTCAGTCTACACACTGCTGGATGTTCTACTCTTGAGAACGATGTCAAGATTTGTGAATGCCCACTACATCTTGATTAACTATGCAGTCTTTGGTCAGATATGCTGTGCATATTATTCCTGTCCCTAGATTAATAGGTTCCCTCCTACCTCCGCCAATGATAGGGTTAAAAACCCTTTGTATACTCGTTTCTTTCCAGCCCCAAGGCTACCTCAGTACTGGCTAGGTTTCCTCCTCCCGCGACATCACAGTGATGGACAGACCTAATGCGCATGTGCGGCAAACTTTGCGTCTGCATTCAAGCTTCCCCATAGCAAAGTATTGAATTAATGTTTTCCTATTGGGAATTTAAAGGCATCAGACGTCCTCACGCCTCTAGAGGCTGTCTGGAAATCAGAAAATCAGAGGTGGACTTAGCCCTGTAATGTGAACATTGCAGTTTCTCTATTTTACATTGCAGAGTTAAAGGGACAAGGGAACCGCAGGACAAGTTTGTTGATCCGCACTCATAGGGAATCCCAAAAATTCATCAGGATGAAATCATAGAAAAAAAAATGCAAATGTTATTGAAGTAAAAAAAGAAAAAACATATGACAAGATACTAGAACAGCAGTCCTCATATATGCTGTATTGGTCCAAGCATGCGAAAAATGAAAATAAAAAGGGTTGTCAGTGAACAAAGTATAAAATGTCTAAAACCTGAGCATAGGACCACCCGCAGCTGCTGTACCGGGGGGAGACCACCAAAGAAGCCAACCCTAAAGAAAAAGTAGAGAAGCCCCGGACGCGTTTCGCACCATTCCGGGTGCTTTCTCAACACATGGGCACTGCATCCAGACCACTTCAATGAGATGAGGTGGTTTGGGTGTCTATAGTGTCCTTCGAAGACAGCCACTCTTATGGAGCAAGAATTAACCAGGAGATGAACTAAAAAAGCATTTACTTATACGTATGAATTACAAAATAATAAACACAGTAATACATGTAAATTTTCTTTTTTTTTTTTTTTAAACTTACTTTTTATTTGTTTCAAGTTAAGACAATCACATGGTATTAGATGTAACATGCAGAATATAAAAATATGTCAACATTACCGAACATCTCGATATATATACACACACACAATTTCACATATTGAGAAACCTTGAGAACAATGTTGGATTTTACAATGTCCAAATCCTCCCATATAATACTGGATTATTTTTGGCAATCAGGATGGGGATATTTAGACCTTGGTGAATTGTCTTTTAATTACCAACAATAAAGTTTTGTTTTTAGGTGGGGGATATTGTTGAATATCTTAACTAGTGTTTAATCACTACATTGCTTATTGTGGTGACCAGGATACCAATTTGTAATATTATGGGTAAAATATCCAAGTGGGAATACAGCGAGTCGATACATTTTCAATATCAGTCTGAAATTTGCAGCACAGTTTCTAATTCACTTTTTATTGAGCGAACTCATGGGTGGGTGGAACTTATGAGTGGGCCTTATGGGCATACTCACCGTCAGGCCCTGGGGCCCAGACCTTGAGCTGTGTAAGAGGCCCCCAAAAAATGGAGCTGCTTCCAATTCTCCCAGAACGTTAAATTTTGTGACCACAGTTGCAAACAGCCTCCAGAGATCCTGTTCTACACCAGACCAGTGGAGCCAAATTGCAGCCCATCATCATCCTCATCTGCTTGTAAGTAGGCAATCTAGTATATTATTAGTGACACTAATCTATAATTTACCTCACATTAAGGGACACTATAGCTTAATGAAGTGGTTCTGGTGTCTATAGCTGGTCCCTGCAGGCTTTTTAATGTAAACACACACTGTGTGCAGCACTGGCGTTAGTTCATATGGCGGATCATATGGGTGGGGCATTGTGATGTGACATGTGGGGGCAGCAAATTTTTATTTTGTCTAGGGCGGCAAAAATCCTTGCACCGGCTCTGATCATGGGCAGGTGCACCAGTCTACTGGTGACCCACAGGAGGGGAGTGCACTGATTGCACTGCACTCTTCTCCTGCCCAGCCCCGTCTTTACCGCAGTGCAAGTGCCCTCTGCCCCTAATTTACAGTGGCTCACACTCACAACAAGCAGTGCCTGGAGCCGTGAAGGAGCAGGTATGGCAAAGAACTACTGATTAGCATAACACCAATATCCGTTATAAAACCAGGAAAAGGTGGGCATGGATGGTGAACTGATTTGGTGGTGCAATGGGCCACTTGACTGGTTTTGCCCCCCAGGCCTAAGGCTGCCAGCCCTCCCCTGACTGTATCCTTTAGATTGTAAGCTCACGGGCAATCTTGCTAAGCACTTTGTATATAAGAGCTTCAATGGCTACATATCAGCTTACGGGCAACGCCCTCTCTACCTTTTGTATTTGTCTGTGTATATTGTATGTCCGCCACTAATTGTACAGCGCTGCAGAATCTGTTGGCACTTTATAAATACCAGTAATAAATAAATAAATGTGTGGACTGGCTGACTATAAAATAGGGGCGCAATGTGTAAAAGCTACGGCTGCTTCGTTCTCCCTAACAGTCCAGCATCCTCCTGGTCATAATGTTTCATTGTGGCACGCCCCCTTTCATCTACAGTCACTCACTACATCCACCAATTTCTCTGCTCCTGTCTGCATACCAGGAGCTTCTGTCTGATAGTACAAAGGAAAGAAGAGGAGAGGACAAATGAGATCCAAGCAGCGAAGATTCAGAGTTTGTGATTAGTGAACAGTAGGAGCTGTGTGGCTTGTAAAATGGACGGAAATAGAAATGAGATACAATAACATTCTTCCCTCCAGCACAACCTCCACCAGATACAAGACACTCCGGAGTTATGGCTATTATAGTGCTTTATATCAGAAAGATTCTGTAATTAAGCTTATCACAAACCCCAGCACCAGGCCCAATATGCTGTTAATCCAGCACTGAGCCCAGTCTGCCGTTTAGTTGAGATATAAACAAAGCACTCAGTAGCAGAAATGAAACGAAATACAAAGATCCAAATGACCTTGGACTCAAATTGATCATAGAAAATATAAATAATCTAGAAGATACACGTGTAACAAGTATGGAATTTTAAACATTAACTGCATCAAAAAAGCAATCATAAACAAAAAAAATGTGCCAGCATCATCTCAGTATTGGGTGTCAAAATGACGCTAAGCATATTCGGATACAGTAGGAATACGCTACAAATTGTCATATGAAATAAATATACACCGTGCCTTAGAGCAAGTCACCAAATAAGTATAGCACCAGGACTTTAGGCAGGTATTATAAAGGATTAAACCTCTTAGAGAAAAGTGAGAAAAATATTAGTATTAGAAATTGAAGTATAAAATTCATACTATTACTCTTACTTTAAACACTGATTGGGTGTGGAGAGAAACAAGACCCTGAGGAGTCAGGGCAGGCCTAGACAGAACAGGGACATGTGAGAGTGAGAGGAGTGTATAGAAAGAAATATTAAGGATGTCTTAGAATGGTGGGTGGAGGTTTAGGGCAAAGGGGTGTTCCCAGTATAAATATGAGAGTATTTTGCAGACCATGCAGCCATCTTAATTACCCAGATTGGTAACAGCTTCCCGCCCTCCCTCCCCTGTCATCATTTGTCAATTGTTCTTGTTTGTTTGTCACGGAGTCGCAGTAAATCGCTCTTGCCAATTGAATATGCTGTCCGTGAAAAGATGTATGATCCCTCCCCTAACCTTGGGTACAGGAATGGATACCCACTGAGCCAATGATCGGCTAGTGGTTATCATTATGATAACGGAAGGCCCAAGAAATGCCGTAATGCTGGTTGGGACAAAAGGGGGAGGGCAGTTGCCCAAGTTTGGTTGGCAAGGTGGCTTTTCAGCGACATTTAATTTTGCTGAGAAAGTTATAATATGTTAATATGTTCTAAAGTTGATGTTAAAGATATATATATATATAATATATAATAAAGCTGTGGCCTATTTTCACCAAGCAAGTTTGTGGTTTGGTTATTTCGGGAATTAAAGGGATTGGGGTGGTACAGTAAGGTGTTCCCTTTGGTCAGCCCATACACAATACCCTCTACCTACGCACATGTTTAAAAGGTCTTGTGCATCAAAGTTGCTGACCAAAGATGTCAGTAGCACTGAAAGCTGAAGCTGAATGGAAGTGGTTGTAGAGGATCTTTCCATTCTTACATAGAAACATAGAAACATAGAATGTGATGGCAGATAAGAACCATTCGGCCCATCTAGTCTAGCTGCAAGTTTAAATAACTGGACTTTCCCTACGTTATTCTAGAATAACCATTCTGAGCAGAGTTTTGGTAGTTCTGGCCATACCAGTATGGACTGGAGATGCTTTGATCACTTCAACATGATGATGACTGACTATGCCCAATACAGAAATGCTGTTAATGCTACTTTACTTTTTATTTTTTTTACTTAACTTTTTATTTATGCTTACAATTTTTAGCATTTCCCCCCTTTCTTTATTATTTAGGTAAGCAGAATCTTGTTACCTTATTCAGAGAAAATAAATCAGAATAAAATTCCCTTAATTGGGGGCGTGGCCTGGGCTCCGACGAACATGGCCGCCTAAGCGCTGAGCTCCGCTCCACAAACGCACATAGAACGGATCATCCCACTACTCATCGGCGCACACTGCCACCAATGGGTCGCACAAAGAGAGGGGACCTCCCCCAGACCCCCAAACCTTCTGTCTCAGGGTCGCAAACGGGGCCGATGGATGAGTTCCTCCACGCGCCATGCGGCCCGGACCCCAGCTCCCCGACATCCAAAATGGCGCCGACCTTGCCAGCATCCACATACTCCACTGCCGACACTACTACACTGGCAGACATCGGAGCAGAATTGAAGCGCATGGCAATGAAGATGGTCACAAAAGATGACCTCACCCACCTGACTAACAATCTACATGAAGCAATTAAATCCCAAGTGACCGGCCTGAAGGCCAAAATCAAAGCACAGGAACACCGCATACAGCAGGTGGAAAGAAGGGCACAGGCCACTGAAGACCACTCTACAGCCACAGACACGGCCCTCAAACGCCAGTAACCCTCATACTGGCCATGAGGCGACAGCTAGAAGACCAGGACAACCGCAGTCGTCGCAACAATATCAGGGTAAGGGGGATACCTGAATCTCCAGAAGGGGAAAATATAGAAGAGATGCTCACCTCCCTATTCCGCATCATCCTAAGAGAGGACACACCAGCGCTTATTAAATATGACAGGGCACATAGGGCACTCCGCCCCAGGCCCACAGAAGGAACCCCCAGGGATATAATATGCTGCCTGCACTCCTTCGCCATCAAAGATATGATCATGAGGAAAGCTAGATCCAGGGCCCACTGGAACTACAGGGGCGCAGAAATATCCCTCTACAATGACCTATCACCAATGACCCTGGAGGCTAGAAGAGCCCTGAGACCGGTTACCACCATCCTGAGGGAGAGGAATATGCAATATAGATGGGGTTACCCATTTAGCATCACAGTTCGCTATAATAACGAATGGGTCTCCGCACGCTGGCCAGAAGACATTCCTCAATTCCTACAACGCCTAAACCTACCGCCAACCCCGGTTCCGAACTGGGTATTCATACCGCTGGATCCAAGACCACAACCGCAGCGACAAGCAAGGCGAAGAAGATGGAACTCTCAAGGTGAAGCTCCGCGACACCGACCAGACCTAAACAACCCAGAGGAATAACCCACTACCAGACCAACCGACACCGCTCCTGTAGACCCCACAACCCCGAGACAACACAGACAGCTGGCACCCACGTTGGAGAAGCACCTGGAGGCAAACCCGCACCCCAAGAATCAGGTACTCTGACATAGGGTAGTTAACATATTGGCACGAGACTAACAGAGGGGACACCCCACCTACCCCCCTGGCATGGGAGGGCACCACGCTTCACCATGATACTGACCGGACTAAGGGATATCTCACTTGCGAATGGGTCCTCCACAACACGAAAGGGTTCTAAACAACAACAACAAAAAAAAAAGGGGACGAAAAGGGAGGGGCGGGAAGAAAAAGACAGCAGGGGAATGAGTCCTATTGGGGAGGGGGATCACAGGGGGGAGGGTCGGGGACATAGAGATCGGGTCCTAGAGACCTCCTGCAGCATTGACTTTCGTGAAGACAAAGAACTGATTCCATACTAAATGTATAGCTGATTGTGAGGCCAGAGACTGCTCTTTATTGTACGACTATTGTGAGTAACCTATCTTGAATGACTAGACTATGCAATCTCACTCTGTGTTACTGACCGGGCCCCCCCCCCATGTCAAAGGGACCGACATGTATAGATAACACGCTCCCAAAGAGGTCCATACACTACATACAATCACAATTCACTCACTCAGACGACACACTGATGTCGAGAAGACACTGAGCAGACGACCATCCCACCAGAGGCTGTGAACTATGAACAAAAGGGGCGGGGGACGGGGCGAGGGGACATAAAGGAGGGAGGGGGGAAAGAAGGAGGAAAAAAAATAAAAAATTACATCCACATGATCCAGATGCAACAACCCAGACACAATGAGAAGAGGACCCACAATGCACACACCCCGAAGAGATATCCTCAAGCCCCTACTTTGACTACACGCAAATTACCCTTACGGTACTTCCCCCCACCCGATACCAGCGACACCGAAAAGGCGCAACAAACAGGCATAGTGCTGATAACACTACAGATACACATCAATGGCATTAGTGATGACTATATAACACCTCTACTACAGTGGACGGACGCTACAACCCCAAAACGGAAATACACTTCTACACAACTAACAGATTCTACCGACGATACACAACCCTTCTCAAGTATCAACTCCACAACTGACACCGCATATACCACACAGGCACCACAGCCTAAACAGATAAGGGCCCAGACACGCTACCCACCCCTTTCGGTGCGCACGCTTAATACTACGGAGGCCGACTGGTACACCACCGGGATAGAACCTGGGGTGCCCCCCGACCGACACCGTAGGCACACGAACTCCCTCTCCGCGGAGAGGATCACCCCCTCACATTATCACGACACGCACACCACATCTATCCTACTCTCTAACAACCAAATAAGAAACACACACCCCCATCACACGAACCAGACACGGTGCCTGACATAACCGAAAGGCACTGAGCCTGAGCAGACGACTCCCCTAGACCACACAGGAGCAAATACCAACACCCCACGAACACCTCACACGTGACCGCAGTCCAGCATCTCACCCGAACGCCACACCCCCCCCCCCCTGCGCTCCTGACCCGGCCGTCGCATCCGCCTCGAGCTAACCACCAGACGGCGCAGGGACACCGAACCACACCAAAACCCAGGAACCAAGCCACGGGTCCGGGCTTCCTCGGTCGACTCCCGCGTACACAAGAGGGCGAGACTCGGACGAGGGACCCTGACACCCGACAAGACACCACCGCTGCGCAGAGATACGGGCAGGATGGCATACAGACCAGACCCGATGAAAATCATCACACAAAATTGCAGGGGACTGAATCTCCCAGAACGCAGAACTAATCTCTTGAGGGAACTTCAGAGAGAGAGGGTTGCAGTCGCTCTTCTCCAAGAAACTCACTTTCGAGAGGGAGCGGCCCCGACACTCAAAAACAAACACTACCCCACTAACTACTACAGCAACCACCCCACAGCGAAAAAGGCAGGGGTCGCGATCCTTATAGCAGCTCGTTTACAATTCCAGGAACAGGATCACCTTATAGACCACAACGGCAGATACGCCTTCGTAAAGGGGAATATCGCAGAGCGATGTTACACGTTCGCGACAATATACGTCCCCAATAATAATCAATCTAGATTCCTTAAGAACACACTAAAGGCACTAACAGACTTCACGGAAGGAACCCTGGTCGTGGGAGGAGACTTCAACGTCACACTAGATCCTAAAGTAGACTCCTCAACGGAACACAGCAGCATCCCACAGAGAGAAATAAGAACCATAAACCATACTCTGAAAACACTACGCCTGGTAGACTGTTGGCGAACGCTAAACCCATTAGACAGAGAATACACTCACTATTCCATAATACACAAAAGATACTCCAGGATAGACTTCCTATTATTGCAACAAGAAGCTCTAATAAGACTTAGGAGAGCATCCATACACACTGCAACGTGGTCGGACCACGGACAAGTGTCGATAGACCTCGAATCTCCACTCATAAGACCGACGAAAACGACGTGGAGACTCAACGACTCCCTCTTAACCGACATCCCACTAAGGGCCCAAGTCACCGACACTCTACAGACATATTTTACCGAGAATGAGACGGGAGACGTATCAGATATGACAATATGGGAGGCACACAAAAGTGTACTCCGGGGCAAGCTCATCCAAATCGCGTCACAACGGAAAAAAGAAGCGGGCGCACTTATGTCAACCATCCTTGACCGGATCCGCTCCCTGGAAACACAACACAAACGCCAACAGGTGGAAGATACCTACAGAGAACTATTAGAAGAAAGAAGGAGACTACACGCACTACTACTCAAGAGACACCTGAGACAACTCCGCAGATCTAAAGGTTTCTTCTACCTCCACGCAAACAAAGGAGGCAAACTCCTCGCACATATGCTCAGGGGACAACAACACCCCTCACAAGTCCACAAATTAAAAACAAGCTACGGCACTATTACCCAAAACCCGGAGAAAATCGCCAAGGAATTTCTCACCTACTACTCCTCACTCTACAGTACACACTCACAAAGCGACGAAGAAGGCAGGCGACTCAAACAAGGTCGCATGGAATGCTTCCTGAGAGAACATCTACACACAACGGTGACAACCGAAGATGCAGAAACCATCGACCGCCCGATCACAGAAGACGAAGTTAAGACAGCTATCAAAACGACGAAGACAGGTCGCGCACCCGGACCCGACGGACTTACACTGGACTACTACAAACGCTTCCAAGATATACTAGCCCCCAAACTTACAAAGGCGCTCAATGCCATCACTGAGGGACATACATTCCACGCCGAATCACTATCGGCTACAATTACAGTAATCCCAAAACCAGGCAAGGACCCGGAAACCTGCAGCAGCTACAGACCCATCTCCCTCTTAAACGTGGACACAAAACTCTTTACCAAAATATTAGCCACCCGACTTAGCAACCTAATGCCAACACTCGTACACCCTGATCAAACGGGATTCATACCGGAACGGGAGGCTCGAGATAGCACTCTGAGAGTTCTCGCTATACAACATTTAGCAAGACAACATGGAACACCACTCCTGCTACTCTCCACGGACGCCGAAAAGGCGTTTGATCGAGTTGACTGGGCATTCCTGGAAACGACGATACGTCTATTGGGGTTTAATGACAACGTACAGAAATGGATCGGAGCGATATACAGCACCCCGACGGCAGCGGTGCGTGTTAACGGAGCCCTGACGGAGTCCTTCCCGATTCGCAATGGCACGAGGCAGGGGTGCCCCCTGTCCCCGTTACTGTTCGCATTAACATTGGAACCCCTACTGGAAGCAATCCGACGAAATATTAACATCACGGGTTACACCTGTACAACCGCCACACATAAAGTAGCCGCATACGCGGATGACATGTTGTTCTTCATTACACGTCCAAGACTCACCCTACCATGCCTAATGGAAGAATTCGAAAAATATGGACGCCTCTCGGGCCTCAAACTTAACTTGAGCAAATGCGAACTGCTCAACATCACGGACCCGCTGGGGGAACACAGGGATATAGCCTCGACCTTCCCGTTCCGTTGGTGCCATACCCAAATGAAATACCTGGGGATATGGGTGATGGCTGACCCCAACGCCATATACCAGAAAAACTTCCTCCCACTTCTCACACGCATTCAACAAGACCTCCGAACCTGGAATTACCCACACATCTCATGGTTCGGCCGCATAGCGGTCATCAAAATGAATATCCTACCCAGACTACTATATTTATTCCATACAATCCCAGTGACACTACCGACGACCTTTTTCGCGACAATAAAAACCGCATTCCTGACCTATGTCTGGAGAGGATGCAGACCTAGACTACGATATGAACTATTATGCAAGACCAGGAATCATTGGCACTCCCAGACCTACGCAAATACCACCAAGCGACAGCCCTACAGCGGATACTGGAATGGCATACTAATCCGAGATGCAAACAATGGGTGGCCTTAGACAGAGAATCATGCAGCCCGTCTATTTTTGCATCCCTATGGAATCAGAAAACGCCACGGCGTCACGACCCCGGCACGACTTCGCCAGCGAGTCACACCCTCCACATATGGTCAACAATGAGGAACGCAACGATCATCTCCCCAACACCCAGCCCGATGACCACGCTAACACATAACCAAGCAGTGGGGGGAGGACTACCGATCAAGGCCTGGGACTTTCTAGAGGGAAGAGACTTCATACCACTCCACAAAACACTAACCGCCACAGGACTGACCCCCCTGGAACGCCTAATGGAAGGCCCGCCAGCTCCCATGCACAAATTCCGATACTCCCAGCTGACGCATTTCTACCACACCCTACCGAACAAACAAGCGGTACACAGAACCCTCACGTGGTTTGAGGACATCTGCGACAAACAAACACCGACTCAGAAACCAACGTCGACGCTCTACCAATACCTAATCACAGGTGAGCAGCAAGCAACTCGACGATATAAGGAAAAATGGGAAAACATCACCGACACAGTTTTCACCGACGCACAATGGGACAAAATTCTCATCCTCCATCACAAATCCACGATTAGCTCAAAATACCAAGAAATGAACTATAAGCTTTTGACATTCTGGTACAGAACCCCAGACCTGCTCCACAGAATATTCCCCAACACTTCGGCGACCTGTTGGAGATGTGAAGCAGATATTGGAACACTAAAACATATATGGTGGGACTGCCCCAACATTAAACCGTTTTGGAACCAGATTACGTCCCGCATCAAAGAGGTACTAGGGCACACGACGCAATTGTCAATAGACAACACTCTCCTGCATCACACTAAAGACCCGATTTCAAAATACAAACGATCCATCCTGCGACACCTTCTCGACGCGGCCAAGGCTCTAATTCCTGCCTTATGGAAAACGACAAACGCCCCCACAATGGAACAATGGCTAAACAGGGTAGAAGAGATCAGATTCGCAGAAGAAATGCATGCGACCCTACGAGACACCCTCACGAAACACGTCGACAAGTGGCAACCTTGGATATTATACGTGGCAAGACGAGATGGGGGGGACGCGGCGGCTGGAGAAGGGAGTTAAGGGGGCCTCCACCCAACCCTCCCCCTAACGAGCCACACACACTACACGCAATATAACTACAACGCTCACAGGATCAACACACCGCCAACACACAACCACCCTATGAACACAACCAATGAGGGCACAGGACGTAGCAGCATACGATACTGGCAATAACCTACCAACCCCCCCCAAAAAAAAAAAAAAAAACGACATCATACAGACCTCTCATTAAACCCAAGCCGACAACCCCGACTCATGCACCACTACCAAAGTTAGAGCTGAACAACAGGAGATCCCCGAGTGAACCTCACACACTAACACTCCAGAAACCGAAAATCCTGATCCCAGAATCACGATGACACAAGGAACAAGGATAGCCCACTCTCCCGTGGGATCCACATCACACACACACACAACCAACGGACTACCCAGCACATGACTAGGACACGACACGCGGGGAAGGCGGAAGGGACAACAACATGAATGGAACAGACTTGAGAATCAACCACACAACGAACATAGATACCACTCATACCAGCCAAAAAAAAAAAAAAAGTCCACAAAACGCCCGTGCTACTAGAGCTACCCCTCCATCTTACCTACTACGCACTCACAAATACTTCACACAGATAAAAGTATATGATAGAATACAAATTTCAAACCCAACGCCTTGTAATGCATGGAAACCGCAGACACACACACCCACATAGACACAACACATACAAAAGATTCTCCACATAATAAAAAAAAAACAAAAAAAAAAACACCCCGATCAGGACCTGCGAGTCCACTATACCTCTACCATACCCTCTCATGAATGATCCACACGTCACCGAATCTGATTAAGATACACCATGTTAAGACACATGCTGCCTCAATTAACTGACTGAACACACAAAACTCAACGTAAACCTGACCGAACGACGCTTCCTAAAATGATAGTAAACGCTTCATACAGATGGGATCTGAGTATCCAAACTGAAAATAGCTTAGAGACACATGCCAAATATATGCCATAGGACCTGCAAGTCCAACTAATTTATGCTTCTTACGATTAAATGAGACCTGCGTGTCTCCAATGTATATATACATGAGTAACATCTGTTCCAATGCAATTGCTTGCATGCAAACATAATGGGACCTGCGTGTCCATACCAAAGCTTTTTCATGACATGTTTGATACTGAAAAACTTAAAACATCCAATAAAAATATATTTACAAAAAAAAATTCCCTTAATTGGATTGAGAATCAAATGCTAATGGACCTTGTTGATGTCTGACTTCTACCAGTTGGTATTGCAAATCTGTCTCTGTAATCTCAGCTGTAATGTTGTAGACTCGTGACTCATGGCAGCCTTAAATCTATCAGCCACAATCCTCTGGGGCTCCAGTGGTTTACATCTAACAGATACAATTAAAGATAAATAGAAGATAACAGCATCATGTTATTTATTGTCTTTCATCTGTACTTCCTGAACACGTATTATACTTTTTAGTATATCTTTTTCTTGTTTGTTTTCTTTTTGTATGCTTGAGCTAGTCAGAGGAATATTGGGATTAATTCAGGTAATGGAGCCACTTCTGATCAATTTAGAGGAACTACAGTTTGCGATTTATTTAAAGTTCGTTTTGCTCAGTTTCGATGATGCTAAGTTTAATTAATTTCCTCAAAATATGAGACTTCAGATAACCGTATGGGATATTCTGCATCTTGTTTTGCTTATTTTGACATTTTATTTTCTTGTGTTGCATATCTACATTGACCTACATCTGGATATAAATTATGTCATACAGATCAATTTCCTCCACTCCCTGATTCTTATCCATTTCAGACATTGCAGTCATTGCTTTGTGTACTAATCAGAGTATATAGACATGGAGGATGGCACTGGGTCAGTCAGTCAAAGATAAACCAAGAACGCAAGGAATGTACTGAACTTGAAAGCTTAAATGGGCTCACCCTATGATAGATAAAAAGACAGTAAAAAAATCTGATGAGCTGTACTTTGATGGAACAGGTCCATCAAAAAATGGAATAAGACACTGAGGGGTTAATTACGGTCCAACAACAGTAATTGATCAATATAAACTATTAAAAAAATTAACTCTACAACTTCTTAATAGACGGCTGTTTATTTCATCCAGCAAGGACCAGACAACAGTTTTGACCTTTTGGAAGAATAGGTTGAAGCTTTGGCCAAGTCCTTGTTGGATGAAATAAACAGCCATGTATTAAAGAGCTGCAGAGTTCATTTTTTTTGGAACTTTCTGTTTATACATGTCTGGAACGGGAGCTGTGGATACTGCACCCTATTGCACAACAATCCATAAATAAACATGTTGGCTCTATTTATATTAAGTAGGGTATCTGATTGATAATGTTTTCTGACCATTTATATGCCAGTAACACTGCTAAAGTCAGAAAATATTATTGTCTTAAAGCAAAGCTGTCCCTTTGCATATTTTGTAAAGAACCCCTAAAATGACAGATCCCGTGGGTGCTTGATCCAGGAGAAGAACCCTGAAATCTGCTGGTCCTCTTCTGCACCTGGAGCCAGAAGCATGCACGAGAGTGGAAAACTGAGGTCTATGGAGGATCCAGCGAGACAGAGGGAGCCTCCATAGATGTGACGCCTGCTAGGATTTGATTAAAAATTATAGCAGAGCTTCACAAGTTGACAAGGTTTGTCAACCACAGGCTTCTCTGTAATTATTTACTTTGTCTTATGGTATCTTTGGGTTCTGTTGGAATGTCAGTACACTTCCAACAGTCTTGATTATTATTTCATAAAGGATATATCCTCCTTTAAGACCGAGCCTAACCTTCATTGTTAATCTCATGATATTTCGGTAGTCCTTTATCACAAGGTTTACAACAAACAAACATTGACACCTTTGCAGGGTTTTTTATTATATCACAATTTAAAGGTTAAAGAGAATCAACTGAATTGATGTTACAAGTGACAGGTGTGTAATTAATCTATTATGATCCATATTGACATTGTAGTGTGTGTACTTCTTTAAGGCATTCAATAGATTTCCTAGGTATTGTATCCACATGCAGTTGTTATGTAATTGATTTTGCTATGTTATATTTTACTTGCAGTGGTTAGTATTGCTTTAAAGCTGCTCTGTCATCACCTGGGGTCTTTGCATAATGAAACAAAGGATAGATTTTAAACATTACTTTCCATAACACCCAAAATACTCAGAATCTGAGTAGGAGGGTACTTTTTTTTGCAAACCGCTGGTTACGGAAGGCGTTAAGTTTAAGATAAAGATAGTAAATTTAAATCCTGGCATTGCTATCAAAGCAAACAAATGTAATTTCTTCTCTTATAAAAAAATCCTTTGGTGTGCATACTAATAAAATGGACAACGCACTCCTATATAAAGTACAAAGGAAGTGCAGGACAAAATAATACGGCGTCATAATAAAAAAACAGGAGATGGAACTTGTTAAAAATGTATATGTCAAAATGGAAAGTTTTTTTAACTAATTATAAAGGCAGGAAAATTAAAAATGTCATCATGTTGGGAGCATACAAATTCAGGATACAATATTTATTTCAAATATATTTTGAACAAACTAAATAATTTTTTTTTTAATTCTGGCAATATCACCTATTTTTCAGTAGAACCCTTAACTGATAAACCAAATTAACTCATTCACATCAATTAATTTACTGTATGTATTTGCTAAAATAAAGGAAGTCTATGGGTGTTTGCCATCTATACTGTCATTATCTGTCTTTTAAATATGCAGAAATAATAAGATATTTCAACCCACGAAAGGTACTTTACATGCTTTGTCCATGTTTAACTGAGAACAAGATGTTATGTCCATGTATTCCAAAATAATCCTTGGGCTCCCGTGTATCTGCAAGATGCATGATCCATCAATCAGTCATAACAAATTACTGTTAATGTAATTATAAAAGGAATGCTTGTGTGTTACACCCTGACTGGAGAGTTCCAGAATATACATGAAACACCATTACGTCTGAAAAGCACTATACAAGTGCTACTTCTTGTAATCTCATGAATAAGGTTGTTTAGGTTTTTTTTTTTTGGTTGTAGTTTTTGTTGTTGTTGTTTTTTTTCCCATAATACTCAATGGGTTTTAAACTGTAAGCTATATAGAGCTAACAAACAACTTCTTCTGAATCTTAGACAAACATACTAAGCCTTAAATACTAAGGCTTAAAGAGACACTGTAGTCACCAGAACAACTACAGCTTAATGTAGTTGTTTTGGTAAGTATAGTCAGCCCCTGCAGGCATTTTAACGTAAACACTGCCTTTTCATAGAAAAGGCAGTGTTTACATTGCTGTCTAGGAACACCTCTAGTGACAGTCACTCAGACGGCCACTAGAGAAGCTTCCTGGTCAGTGCTGTACAGTGTGCAGCACTGACATTCAGCATCTTCACGCTCTAATGGAGACGCTGAACATACCCTCTAGAGGTATATTGATTCAATGCATCTCTGTGAGGAGATGCTGATTTACCATTTGGCCCTGGCTCCACTCCACCCCGCCTCATTGACAATCTCAGCCAATCCAATGCTTTTCCTATGGGAAACAGTTGGAATGGATGAAATCATTAATTCTGCCAAGGAGATGGGGTGGGGCAGGGCAGGGCCAATGCCAGTGGACCCGCGCGGCACTGGAAATGAAGTAAGTTTTCTTATCTTGAGGTTTAAAAGAAGTAAAAGGAGAATTTGGTGGAGAATTGCCATAGGTCAATACATTGGAGGTTTCTGCCAGACCGATGTACCGTGGATGGTATAATTTGGGTATGGGATATACCAATATCAAAGGTCAGTAGATTGTGGTCAGAGTAAATGAAACATTGGAGAGATAAGAGGTGATACAGAGATTGGTGAAGATTAGATCAAGAGTGATTCTAGCTGCATATGTTGCTGGGTTAGAGGAGGATGAAGTAGGAGGTTACAGAGCGGAGTCAAGAGGCATATTCATAGTACTCTTTCAGTGTAATTACTAACGTCGTGAATCAGAGTTTAGAACATTGATTTGGTGTTGATTCCAGTCTCTGCTTACAATACAATCACACAGTGGCATATTTACCAAATGGGGAATGGTAGTGAATTGAAAAGCAAACTGCAAAATATATGCCAAAAAATATGTCACGTCATCTGGATCTGCTGTTTCTGGATATATTTAGTATTTTGGGCTTCATTTAGTTCATCACAATTTACTTTTTAGTAAATAAATCCCATAAAGTATTTTACTTGGGTTGACTGTACGTTTCCTATCCTAAGATATTTTTGATTTTGTAAAAATTTAATTATAGATCAGTAAAATTTCCTCTAAGCTGGTATATTTAGAATTTTGGTGTGCTTCTTATATTACATGTCCTGTGTTACCTAATGCTAGGTAGGTGTAGCCTTTAATTTGAGTACATTTGGCATAGTAGTTTTATAAATTATTTTGCTGTCAGTAAATATTTTAAATGCAACTTGCCTGGATCTGTTCAGTAATGCAGTGCTTTGAGATAAGCAAAAAAACACATGATACTTAGATTACAAGATGCATGGAATGTCAAGATAGACATTTTTTTTTAATATAAAAAAGAATGGATTGGCAGATCAGGTGAATATAGTAGGTAAAGGGTTTCAATAAGTCTTAGAAACATTACACTGAATAAACCCTTTGATTTTTACATCCGTAATAGGTGATATAAACATGTACATACATACATTTACATACAAAGTACAACAAATACAAAAGTCAATGCAACAAATATTTGAATTTAACATTTTCTTCAGTGACTATAAATAGGCTATACATGCAAACTCACAAGGCAATACTGACCCATATATTTCTTATTTACAGTGTCGTGTTTTATTGGAGCAGTCTACTCCACGAAAGGACTCTTTTTTTTTTTTTTTTAAAGCACATTAGGATTGACACAACAGGTAGACAATTCCCTACCTTCTTACTGTGAAAAAACCCTTTCTGCTGTTGGTAAAATCACCTTTTTTCAAGTCTCATTAGTTGATCTCTTGTCCTTTGTACAGTCGTGTTAAGGAACAGTTCACTAGAGGACTGGTAGCAATGGCCCTGAACATTTGTACACATTTAGAACATTCTTTATTCAGGTTTGTCTACTGTTTATTAATAATAATAATAATATATATATATACCTTCTTGAAAATTACTTGTTTGTTTTGTGTATTCAGGATGGGGTATTTCAATTGATTTATAAATAGGTAAATTACAGTTTTATAATGGGATCAATACACATTTTTAAACTGAATACCTTTCTTGCTCTTTGCTCAAATCGTTCTAATTCACTTTCATACTAATGAGGGCTCATTTAACCTGTAGGATGCAGGATTATTTTTGTTCTGTACATTGAATCTAATTTTCCCTGTTGAACAACATTTATTCAATTCCCTCTTTGAATATTCCAACCTCTCTGCATATCTATACAAACAATAATGTATTATTAAAAGGACACAATGGTGAAAATTTGCTAGAAGTGATAAAAAAATATCCTCTTGAAATCACAGATCCATGGTCGCCGTATCATATTAAAAATCTGAATTTTATTATTAAAAATAAATAGTCATAAAGCCAGAGAATAAAATAACTGCAAAAACATAAAAAAGTAAAATTTAAAAATTAAACATTATTTTTACACTACACTCAACAGCAGAAGTGGTCACGCTCATATGGCATATGCAAAAATATATGTATTAAAGTGTTTTAAATAATGAAGAAATTTTGATCATTACGTTGATAATAGGTTTGGAAGAATGTGTACCAGACTCTGCAATTTTATACAGATTAGCAGTCCTTCCTGATTTATAATCCATTATGCCATTGTTTATCCTTTCCACGGATCAGATGATATTTGCCTGGTTCCGTCATGCAGTTATCTGTAGATAATATCATTATATGTGCAAACTAGTGTGTTTCTCAGATGCTCTTAGTCCTGCATTGCAGAATATGGTTCCCATTGTATATTTTATTTTGGGGGATGCTGAAGCTGTATCGTTCAGGCTACCACCATCGAACTTAGAGTTTGTTTCCCACCATCCACAGTCAAGTTGCTTTATCAGGCAATCCACTGATATGGAGTAACATAGAAGCAGGTTCCTTGCTTGGCATGAAGGATGATGTGAATTGTAGTCCATTAACATTTATAGTTCTTCTATGCCTTGGGTGACTTAACATTATGTTTTTTTGGTTTTTGTTTTTTTTAAATGAAGATGGTTGTATACAATATTTAAAAAGTAAAGGGTTCAACTGACTGGCATTGTAACAATATTCCAATATATGGTATGTTTCAAATAAATAATTTGATGTTAGAGATCTGTGTTTTCCTTGTTACAGTAAACCTACATATCAGAAGTAAAGAGGATGGCGATAGTAATCTAGGTGGTCAGAACCGCTTTCATGGTCAAATCATCGCTGGGTTCTTGTTCAGCTTTCGTTTCTGTGATGGTTTGCAGCGGTTCCCCAGCTTCATCAGGTACTTTCACTCTGTCCGTTTTGAAAGAAACCAATGTCTTCCATTTCCTCGCTAAAATATAGCAGAACAGTTACTTACATGTATACTGATGCCAACAAAGCAATAACTATAAAGGATTAAACGTATATGAGCAAAGGTAATCAAAAGAAAGGCACTGAGAAGAGATATTTACTTATATCGTGCCTCCCAATCGTCTAGATTTCGGTGGGACAGTCACCGTTTGAAACTGTGCTTCCTGGAGGGTCAGCTCTCAACGGGCCGGCTAAAATTATTGGCAGGCAGTCTAGTGTGTATTCACACCAGGTCGACGTGTCATTAACTCCAGCATTCCCACCCTTTTTCCGGGACACAATTACGTTGCAGGCCCACCCCCTTTACCCACTGGTGTCCCTATTCTCAGGATGGGAGGTGTAACTTATATGTATGCATTTGCGAAATAATACACAAAGAGGTTGTACTATATTTAGCCTTTTAGTTTCAGTAATAAAATATGATGACAGTTCTTCGTTACAGTATCATCTATTTGCCTTACTTTTATCTCCTGTCAATGAGGTCTACATATAATGTATGGCCAGCCAGGCAAAGGGAAAAAAAATGTAAAATTTCAAAGAAAAATGAAAAAAAAATTATTGGCTATTTGACTCTTTAGTTACTGGAAAATAACAGATTAAACCATTCTAGGTAATTTAATTACTACATCTAAGGAAATATTTGGTTTAATTTGAAATACTGTAAGGCTTTAAAGGAAAATCACAGTGAGAAGACGCTGGACGTCTATAGGAAAGCATTGAGTAATGCTTTCCTATGGGCGGTTTGAATGCGCGCGCGGCTCTTGCCGCGCATGCGCATTTGGAGCTGAGAGGCAGATCGGGGAGGAGGGATCTCCAGCGCCAAGGGAGTCCGGCGCTGGTGAAAGGTAAGTGCTGAAGGTGTTTTAAACACACACACTCTCACAAACAGACGCATACACACTAGCTAACAGACATACACATTTACTGACAGAGACACACTCAGCGACATAATACATACTCACTGACAGACACACATTCACACTCACTTACAAAACATACAATCTCACTGACAAACACACACTCACTAAGAGACATCAAACAGACTCACTAACAGACACACACAAACACACTCAGTAACACACACAGGAACACACTCACTGACACACACTCACTGACACACAAACTAACACACACACTGACACTCAATAGCAGACATACACTCAATAACAGACACACGAGCTAACACACTCACTGACACTCACTAGCGGACACACACACACACACACACTAACACACACACACATGTTTTTTTTTTTAAATTTAATCCCCCAGCCTCCTTACCTTTGGGAGAGCTGAGAGGATTCCTTGGGGTCCAGTGGTGCTGATGGGCGGCCGGTCACCAGGCGGGCTGGCTGGCTAGCAGGCGCGCGAGGGAGCATTCTCCCCTGAGCGCTCTCTGCCCAGCTCCCTCGCGCGCCGCGTACTGATGCCGGAGCCGGAATATGACGTCATATTCCGGCTCCGGCATCAGTTCGCGGCGCGCGAGGGAGCTGGGCAGAGAGCGCTCAGAGGAGAGTGCTCCCTCGCGCGCCCACAGGACCGGTGTTCTATCAGTCTGCTATACCCTGTCAGATTGCTATACCCCCGTCACTTCCGGTGAGGGGAATCAGCTGGATCCTGTGCTGCACATGCGTGCTAGCACTCCTGCTACTCCTCCACAGCAAGGTCCTGGAAGGTAAGTAAAACTAGTTTTACACTTTCATTATAGTTAGTGCATTCACTAAGCTTAGGACATGGGACATTTAGGGTTAATGTTAGGGTTCAAATTAGGGTTAGGATTAGGGACTTGTTCATATTTAGTGATATTTCACATTAGGGGAATATCACTAAATAGTGATTTCTCACACTTTATTTTAACCCTTACCCCAATGGTTAGGGTAAGAATAGAGTGTGAGAGCGGTTAGAAGCACTTACCTAACCCTAATTTGTACCCTCACTTAACCCTAAATGTCCCGTGTGCCTAAGCTTAGTGAATTCACTAACTATAATGAAAGTGTAAAACTAGTTTTACTTACCTTCCAGGACCTTGCTGTGGCTGTATAGCAATCTGACGGAGTATAGCAGGCTGATAGAACACCGGCCGCCCAGTGACACCAGGGCCAGCCTCGGGGGTCCATGAGGTGGCCAGCTCCTGGGCCACCCAGGAGAAAAGGCTGGCCACACTGGCGTACATACCGGGTCGCAGGGCAGCCAGGCCCCCAGGTGGGCCGGTGGCAGCCGCGACCCGTGCGACCCCGGTATGTACGCCACTGCAAAGAACCAAATGTTAGGAAGTGTGTTTCCTGTTCTGCATTCCTAAAGCAAGTACAGGGTATTTACATTCAGGAGATTAGTAATATCAAACACGCAGCCTTCAGCAAATCATGTTACAGAGCCATAGATACTTACTTCTACCCCGACGGAATGAAGAACTCAAGACACGTTTAATTCCTTCACAGTTTCCAGGGTCCTCGTTGATTATTCCTAAATTAGTGTTCCACTTGGTCCAGTTCACCTCATCGACCCTGCAGAGAAAGTTACTAATTATTTTAAATACTGTACATAAAACGATTCCCTGCATCCTTTAAAACCATCTGTTATAATGTTTGAATCTATTTTAGAGCTTTGAAAGCTATGGAGCCCAGGCTATTATAATACCGAACAGAAATGTAACTAAGAACTTCTGGTAGGCTATGAAAAGAATCCAAGAAAGGTCCCCTTGAGGGCACCTGAACAATATGGTTGTGGCAGTGTGTGGTTATGTGAGGGGTGGCTGAATGTGATTGTGTGGGGGGCTTTGCTGAGTGCAATTGTAGTAGCTAGTTGAATACACGTGCATTAAGTTCCAGAGTCACTCTGGATAATAAGAGTACTTAGCTGAAAAAAACAAAACAAAACACAGGCTTAAAACATTAGTAATGAGATCATCTGTCACAACATTAATGCTTAGAACAACTAATAAAGTTTGTTCAAGTATCACGCTGCAGTTGGAATGATGTCACGTAAACAAACATGTCAACAACTGCCTTACTGTTATGGAATTGTATTCACATCACAGAACCTTATTACTTAAGAAAACTGAAATTCTCAACATTCTTATCACATAAATACATTACCAATGTGGCCCACAGTATCCACTGTGATATTGTATAATATGTTTATAGCAACGTATATGTTTATAGCAACGTATAGTTAATACTATAATATTAATAATAAGATAGCTTTGAAAGCTATGGAGCCCAGGCTATTATAATACCGAACAAAAGTGTAACTAAGAACTTCTGGTAGGCTATGAAAATAATCCAAGAAAGGTCCCCTTGAGGGCCCCTGAGCAATACACCTGAGTGGGATGTGTGTGGTGGCTGTGTGTGGTTATGTGGGGGGTGGCTGAATGTGATTGTGTGTGGGGCTTTGCTGAGTGCAATTGTAGCAGCTAGTTGAGTACACGTGCATTAAGTTCCAGAATCACTCTGGATATCAAGAATCCTTGACTGAAAAAAACAAAACAAAACACAGGCTTAAAACATTAGTAATGATATCATCTGTCACAACATCAATGCTTAGAACAACTAATAAAGTTGGTTCAAGTATCACGCTGCAGTTGGAATGATGTCACGTAAACAAACATGTCAACAACTGCCTTACTGCTATGGAATTGTATTCACATCACAGAACCTTATCACTTAAGAAAACTGAAATTCTCAACATTCTTATCACATAAATACATTACCAATGTGGCCCACAGTATCCACTGTGATATTGTATTATATGTTTATAGCAACGTATAGTTAATACTATAATAATAATAATAAGATAAACACAGTATTTACTACCCGTACCATATTATAAGTGAGCAAATACTTTTTTTTTCTTCCAAGAGGGAAACAATGCAAGATGTTTAATTCTTTTAACTGACTCCATAGAAATTCATAAAACATTATGTATGATAATATTATGTATTTATGGATTATGACGATACAAAGATAAAATATGTATAATTACAATATGATGTGCACAGTGTTTGTAATGTTAAATAATTTTTATTTATTTATTTTCACCTCTATTTTTGCTTACTATATATATCCCCCATACAGTCACATATACATATCAGGTTACCTGAAGCACCACCTATAATCTTCCTTCCCGTCAGGTGTCAGGCCTACCAGCACAGATTTCCCTGATCTGAATGTGTTCCTCAAGCAGTTCATGAAGCTTTTCTCTATGTCCAATATAGTAATAGCTCTCTAGCAGACAAAAAAAGAACTGTTACTCTTAATAACTAAGAACTGTACAATTAATAACATATTCTATATTACAGTGGAAATTTTACATTCTGGGTGATGTTCCCCTCATACCCTTTACTTGACTGACTTCTCATTGTTGCCTATGTATAATTCTTTATCCCTAACTAAACCATTGCACACAGCATCAGAGCAAACATAAAGTCTGCAGGTGATGATTTGCATTCATAATGTGTCTAGTCAGTAAACAAGATAAAATATGTGAATGGACTTTATATGCCAGTGGCATACACACAAACCATGGGGCCCCGGTGCAAAAATGACCCGTGGGCCCCCCTCCCTCCCTCCACACACACACATGCAACACATATAGACACATACATACAAACAAACAGACAGGCACACATATATACACACAGACACATACAGGCACACAGACACACATACAAACAGACAGGCACACATACAGACAGACACACACACACACATACAGACAGACAGGCACACATACATACAGACACACACACACATACAGACAGACACACACACACATACAGACAGACACACACACACACACACGACACACATACATACAAAGACACATACATAAAAAAACAGACAGGCACACATACACACAGGCAGACATACAGACACACACACACAACACACATACATACAAAGACACATACATAAAAAACAGACAGGCACACATACACACAGGCAGACACATACAGACAGACACACACAAGACACACATACATACAAAGACACATACATAAAAAACAGACAGGCACACATACACACAGACATACAGACAGACACACATACACACAAGACGCACATATATACATACATACAAACAGACAAGCACACACACATACAGACAGACACACACACACACACACAGACACAGACACAGACAGACACACATACACAGACAGGGACACACATACATACATACATACAAAGACATACATACAAACAGGCAGACACACACACACAGACACACATACATACAAACAGGCAGACACACACACACAGACACATATACATACAGACAGACAGACACACATACATACAAACACACACACACAAAATGTTAAAGTCACCCTCCTGTTTCTTACCTTTTAGGTGCAGGAAGGTGACTAGGGTCCAGTGGTGGCTCAGGTGGATGGGAATCAGAGTTCCTACTCTGACTCCCTCTGCTTCCTCCCCTGCGGTCTGTATGTGTTAGCTGGGAGGAGTGACGTGCAGTCACTTCCTCCCAGCTTGTGATGTAATCACAGGGGGCCCGGTCGCGCTGTTAAAGCGCCCAGCGCTGACCGGGCCCCCTGACAATCCACATCTATCGGGTGGCCCTGACAGCATGGGCCACCCGATGGACTCCTTGGACGGCGGCCCCGGCGGTTTGCCACGTGGGCCGGGGCCGCAGAAGATAATGGCGGCGGATACCCAATCAGAGGGTTCCGCAGGGCAGCCGGGCCCCATGGAGTGGCGGGCCCGGTCGCACCTGCGACCCCTGCGACCGCGGTATGTACACCGCTGGCCATGATCAATGCGGTCCATACAGCCATGAGCTGGATCCTTCCATCAGTACTGGCTCAGTATTTGCTTAGACCAGGCTTCTTCAAACTCCGGCCCTCCAGATGTTGCTGAACTACAACTCCTATGAGTCTATGAATGACAAAGATAGACTGAGAATCATGGGAGTTGTAGTTTAGCAACATCTGGAGGACCGGAGTTTGGGGAAGCCTGGCTTAGACTATAGAGCAGAGTGCCCAAAAAGTTCGAACCTCTTTTTGTTGAGCTACAACTGGCAAAGCATCATATGAGTTGTATTTCTGGAGGGACAAAGGTTTAAATATAATATCAGGAAGTATTACTTTACTGAGAGGGTAGTGGATGCATGGAATAGCCTTCCAGCTGTAGTGGTAGAGGTTTACACAGTGAGGGAGTTTAAGCATGCGTAGGGTGGGTATAAGGCTATCCTAGCTATAAGATAAGGCCAGGGACTAATGAAAGTATTTAGAAAATTGGGCAGACTAGATGGGCCGAATGGTTCTTATCTGCCGTCACATTCTATGTTTCTATTTCTAACACAGCGTTGACTATAACCGTTGTCCACCCATGCTATAGAGGATAAAGTACACTTTTCACCAGCGTAGACTTACCTGCAATTTCCAGATACTTTTACTCTCCTGAGCAATCTTACTGACCGTTTCTCCCATCAGAGCTATCAACATGTTAAGTAGGAGGATGTAGGTGAGAATAACATATGTGATCAGAAGCAGGATAAATATGGGCTTATATTTGTAATTGTCAGTGAATTCCAAGTCTCCCATTCCGATTGCAAACTTAAACAGCTCCTGGCAGGTGTAGTACAAGTTGTTGTATGAGGACGGGCCAATTTTGCAAGGTCGTTTTGCAATAATTTCTTCCTTGATTTCTCCATCTTCAATAAGTGTCACCAAAGCTGTAACGTAGCACAGAAATGTGTTAAACACATCATCCAAATGTAATATGGTAATAGAGTTGAATTACGCCCATTCATGTCAGATTATCTGTTCATCCATCTATCAATAAAGGGCATCATCTGCAGCATTGGACGTTAGGCATTTTTATGAATTGTGCATTGTGTACAAAATGGTTTATGGGATTTTCTTTATCGTGTTTTGTATTGAAGTCTTACTCTGGCTTTTTTTTTTACAATGCATAGGGTAGTTAACAAGCTTACAGTGAAATTTTTTTTTGTCAATCTTTCTTTTAGTGAGGCGTAAAGTTGCATGGGTACAGAGACGATAAAAAGACATACAAGACAGGGAAAGTACAGTACTGTATATATCATCTCCTAGAATTGTCAGCCTCTTTTTATATTAATTAAGTAAAATAATGGCATGCACATAGCTGTAACGTAAGATTGCTAAAATATCACTTAAACTACGCTTGTAACCGTACGATTAGTGTAGAAACAATATGCAAGTTGTTAAATCAGGCTAGTGCGGTTAGACTATGTATTAGCTGAGTGTTTAGAAAAGGCACAAAGACACTTGTCAAAATCCGGCTAGGCACATGCGTCTGAACTTATATCATCAAACTTAGAACATTTTTAAAGCTATCTAGGCAAGTTACATCAGACTAGAGAATGCTAAGAAGGCATGTTTATGAGTAGACAAGCTAGTTAAACCGTGAGTATGCTATCAAACTTGCAAGCATTGTAACTGCATTATATACCACTGGTGCCCTCCGACATAACACTGTACATAAATGTAGTCTACATGAATAGCTAAATAACATGACTAAGTACTAGACATGTGCAATTCGTTTTGGTCCGAATGTGAATTCAGATGAATTTCGGGCAATTCGGACATTCGGGTACTTCCGAATGTCCAAATAGATGAATTGCCAAAGTTCCGAAATTCCCGAATTTCTGAAGTGTCGAAGTGCAGAAGTGTCGAAGTGCTAAAGTGCCGAACTTCTGAAGTGCTGAAGTTCCGAAGTTGCCAAAGTTCCGAAGTACAGTATTGCCTAAGAACTAATATACTTACCCAGTGGAAGAATGAAGAATGTTACAGTGTATACAATTTTAAATAAAAAGTATACAAACATAGCCAGGATTCAGCTGTAAGCATCTGCAACACTTACAACAATCAAGTAACATACATTCATATAAAATGTAAGTTACTTAGCCAGTCAATGTAATGACAGGAATGAATAAGTAGCTATCTACTAAAAGGCTGAAAGACCTAAATTGGTCTTTCAGAAAAATTTACTAATACTAAGTAAAGATTACTTAGTATCAGTAAATTCTGCCCCTATTTGCTATACCGCAAATAGGGGCATGTCTATTAAACAGTGAGCAGCATGTGGTTACTTTCAATCCACCAATCAGAGAGTTATGAGTCAAATTACACAGTGTGGGAAAATTCCAAAGAACTTTCCCACGCTGTGTAAAATGACACAGAGCACTCTGATTGGTGGATTTCAAGCCAACCAATCAGAGTGCTGTGACATGTAAATGTAGAGACTTACCTGTCAGTCTCTTCATTTACCAGTCAGAGCACTCTGATTGGATGACATAAACCCACCAATCAGAGTGCACTGAGCCTAATTGCAGGGCGGGGCAAGGCTTTTATAAGTGCTGAAGTGCCGAAGTTCCAAAGTGTTGAAGTGCCGAATTGCGGAATGCCGAACCGAAAATTTTCCCCATGCACATGCCTACTAAGTACATTAAATTTAAGCTGGGACTAGTGAATTAGCCACTGGTATCAGTTTCTGCGTTTTTTGAACTACTGCAAGTCATGTGGTTATGGCAGCTGCAGGTGGATCACGTCAAGAAGGTCAGTTTAGTTAGAGAGCTTCATTACCCTCCGGTATTCAGTTAGATCCAAATAAGCGGCTTCTGTGGGTGTCATGGAGTTATGAGTACTGAGTCATGGCCCCTGTGATGGTGAGCAGGTTCACGTTTAGCCCACTCCTGTAATTGGGAGGCTTAGGCGGTCCGCGTGGTGGTCAAGGCATGCAGGTGGGCGGCCGGCTTGTGAGTTCCCCAGACTCCCGGCTTTAGTAAAAGCCAACATCTGTAGTCCACGGGCTCGATACCTTTGTGTGGCCAAGTCCATGCCCCCCAAGGGGCAGACGGAAGGTCGAGGTGATGTCTGCCGCCAGCGGCATGCGATCTTCCTCCTATGTGGTTGACGTCTTGAGGTCATGCCTCTGGTGGCTTTCGGCCTAGGCAGGCGATGGATTGCGCAGAGGGTTGTTTGGGTAGGTGCTTTGCCCTGGGGTAGCTTTCCTGCCGTCCCCTGCGTGCCCTTCTCCGTCCCTTGTGCAGGTCGGTTGGTGCTGGAACGTGCTTGCAGCTTGTGCCAGAAGGCCTTGAATCATGCCTCCAGCCTGGTGTCGAAGGAGTCGAAGTGTGTCTCGTTTGTCAGGCTGGGGGTTTGCAAGGTCAGTGAAGGGGCCTCTGCCATCTTGTGCGGTCTGGGCGCCGCCTTGTGTCTTCTGTGCACGGTGTGCGATTGCGGTAGGGTGGGAGCTGGGCCTCCAGTGGGGACCGGGATAACCCCCACCGGTCCAAAGGGGGGGGGGCAGGAGACCCTCAGTGTCAATTGTTGGGTCTGGCACCAAGGAGAGCGGCCGCCTCCCCCTCCCCCCAGCTCCATCTCCAGTAGGCCGCACGTGGTGTCCCGGTTCCCCGGCTCCGACGGGCTTTTGTGAAGCATCAAATGATTCAGAGCTGCACTCCCAGTGTGGGTAGTGCACCCCGGTAAGGCTGTGGGCTTTATAGCCGCCAATATTACCCCAAATTTCGCCCGCTCTGCTGGAGCTCGTGCCACTCGCCTCTGTTCAGCTCCAAGGTCAGGCTCCGTCCCCTACAGTTCCATTTTTAAGTAAAAAAAATACAATGAAGTTGCGAGCAAGATTGTCAGAAAAACAGGAAAAACAATGATGAAAACTATACAATGCATAGCGTGATAATGAAAGGTTATGTTAAAGCAAATACATTTCCTAGGCACTAATATTGATTGTCACCAATAATGACAAGCTTAGACAGAGTAAATAACAAGATAATGAGAATTAAGCTATATAAAATCATGAGATAAGAACAAGTATGATTACCACTGGGTGTCAGCCGCAGGATTGTGTGTCACAGAAGAGAAAACTATAGGCAGAACTGCCATAAAATAGTACAGCAGAGAGGCTAAACCGAGGCATGGAAGCTGTTCCTGAGTAGACAGGTGAATTAGCCTATGCCTGACAAATCATGTGTGCTGCCCCAACTGCAGTATAGCCCCAGGTCCTGCACCTCTGTACCCCGGTCAGCCCTGGGCTGCCATATAGTCCAATGTGCTGGAGCCACAAGTCCCTTCCTGAGCTTTGTCCAGGGTTTGGTCTCGAAGCCCTCCAAGATGTTGGTTATGCTTATAGTGGTTGAGGAAGCCCAGAAGGTATGGAAATTGTGCAGAGAAGTGTCCCAATTTGGACCATGGTCTAGGAGGGTGGCAGTTCATTGTAGAACTGAGCTGCCTGCGTCGAGGTTCAGGATCACGAGCCCCTTGCTTCTCCTGAATCTGGTTGTCTTCCTGGGTGTGTGGACGGCAGTGCAGCAGATGGGGATCCGGCTCAGAACAAGGGCGAGTGGTCTGGGCCACAGCATAGCTCATTTGTGCTGCAAGAGGTGATGGTAAGTGGTGGTTTTGCGCCAAAGTGGCCTCTGGTTTGGAGGTGAGACAGGCTGAGTGGTAATTTGTTGTGAGCACTTGTATTTCATGAGGTGTATGTGGTTGCAGCAGCCTTATACGGGATTCAACCCGGTGCCAGAAAGCTGTGCAGTTCTCGTCGAAAACATCTAGGAACTTAGCCTCCCATTGTTTCACAAATGACTCCATCTGAGCGTCGGCCATTTTGCCCATGCCATGAGGAACTGCTGTAGTTAGGCAGGCTGTCATGGTAGTGCGAGGAGTGCTTGATGGCTTTTTCCCCCAGTGGGGACTGGGATATCCCCCACCGGTCCAGAGCGGGGAAATGGGGCAGATGCTTCACACCTGTAGTTCCAGGCAGGAAGATCGGCCGTTTCTCCCCTCTGTGGTGCACACCAGGTGAGTAGACCTTAGTAGCTATGTTAGCTATGTTAGGCTTAGTAGCTATGTTAGGCTCCAGAATTGCATAAAAGGGCTCCCCAACAGTCAGAGTCAGGCTAGTAGTCGCTTGGGTAGGTCTGTGGGATGCCACTTCGCTTGAAAAGTTTGGATTATTCGGATTATGTGAAGAGCTCTCATGAAACACAGCCGTCGGCCATGATGGTTAGGCCCCATCCCTTGTCTTTCTCTGTTTTTTTACTTTTAGAACAGGGTTAAGCCAGCCTTGGGCACTCCAGATTTTGAGGGCTCCATCTCCACTGATGCTTTGGCAGCATTAGAACTGTAAGAGCATTATGGGAGATGTAGTCTAAAATATCTGGAGTGCTGAGAGAATCACATTTAGGATAGGTGTGGCTAAAGATGCATAAACAAAATTGTTTAACTCCTAAATGTCAGAGCTCTGAACAGTGAGACTGCAGGGACATTATCTATAATTCAAACCATTTAATCAAGCTAAAGAAGTTTTGGTGCTTAGAGTATCCCTTTTATTTCTCACTGCTAAAGTTTCATACAGGTGTTTTATGCTGCCCTTTTCTGATTTTCTTGAAACATATTCGGATGCTTGCTATGTTGGAAGAGGATCCAAGACAGTTGAAGGTCGGTTGGTTTAGGTTAAAGAGTGCTGCTGTGTGGTGTAAATCCTATTTTAAGGTTCTAGTCCAGCCCTACTTCCTACATGCCATTATTCTTGTAACCACTCCAACTTTGAAACATTTATTTTTGTTGTTTAGGAGTTTTTTTTTGTATAATAAAAGATATTCTGCTTTGAGATTACCTGCTGCAAATCCCACAAGAAATAGGATGTAGACAAACATAAATCTCAGCATGTCTCTTATGATCATCTGTAATGAGAGCAAAAAAGAAGCTAATTACATGTAACACAAATTTTATTCAGATTCAGATTATCAACTCTCAGATTAACCAAAAACAATGACACATTTACAAATCAAAATCATAAATAGAATGAATCACTGCAATTCTGAACATGGCCAGTAGACCACCTTGCTGAGTCATTTTATTGCTGTCATATCTGAAGTTTAATTCTAGCTAGCTATCATGGACTAAGTCATAGGCGTGCGCAGCCTATTGCATTAGGGTGTGCACCCTAAAGCACAAACACACACCGTGTGTATATGTATGTATGCATGTATGTATGTATGTATATGTATATTTGTGATCGGGCATTCTTATAGGATATGGAATACGCTGGTGAAGAGGAATAAATAAAAGGAAATAGTCGGTTGAGGTGTGCCTTGGACGAGGTATGAAAACATTAGATATTTCATGAAAGCGTGATCATCGCACTATTAAGAGATTTGAGGCTGATGCAGAGCACAGACGGGTTCATGCAGATAAAGGAACATTGAGGAAGATTTCTGCCAGATCCATGGCTCCCCAGGTCCTCTCCCTCCATGCTCCTGTGGGACGGTGAGGTCTATCTTTGATCTCCCCACCGGCTCATGGAGGCTTAGAGCAGAGCCGGCTCAGCATGAGCCAACAGGGGAGATCCTGAGATCTCCCCTGCCGGTCTCAATCCATAGGCGTGCCGCATGGATTAGGTTGTGCCCAGGTACACCCAGCACACCCCGTGCGCACGCCTGTGGACTAAGTAGAAATGTTCTTTGGTCAATTATTTCCTTTTTTTTTATTGATGTTGCCTTATTCCAATTCTTTTTGCATCATCAGCATGTTTGGTATATTCAGACACTTATTGGAGACACATGAGATTTAAGATGTGGTTTATAGACCCCAGCACTAATACAATTAAATAAAAATTGATCTGGCTTTATTAATGTTCACAAAGAATCAGTAAGCTTGTTTGAGCAGGGTCATCGTCAACCTATTGTTCTTGTGAAAATTTGTATTGGATTCTATAATTTGTTGTTAAAGTCCCCTTAAAGGGACACTATAGGCACCCAGACCACTTCAGCTCATTGAAGTGGTTTGGGTACAGTGTCCCTATTGCACTGTTTGGCACTATCATGCCAAACTCACCTTTCCCCGATCGATTCCTCTTCTCTCCCTCTGTCAGGATCTGTTCTTTATTTCTTCCTGTCTGCTCTAGTTTTCTTTAAAATCATAAGACAAAGTAGGGACTATTTGTCTTATGGAGGTTTGCTACGCCTGACCGGCTATGACCAGCGGAGGGGCAAACTGTGCTTCATTTCCGGGGATCAAAGCAATTTTCCCACAATTCTCACCTTTCCTCTGTGATCTCGGGATGATTCCTTTCAGTATTCCTGAACGTCCTGTTATTTAGACAGGACGCTGGCGAAACTACCGAATTGCGTCCTAACAGAATGAGAACAGTTTCTCCATTCGTGTTAGGACACAATTCAGGACTTTGCTCGTATCAGAATTTCATTTGAATGAATTAAACTCCAATCCTATTTGTGCCACAGCTGCCCACGGTATCAGGGAGATATCTACCAAAAGGCTGAAAGACCTAAATTGGTCTTTCAGCCAAATTTACTAATACTAAGTAAAGATTACTTAATATTAGTAAATTCTGCCCCTACTCGCTATGCAGCGAGTAGGGGCATGTATATTAAACAAACCCTACTGTCCCCCTCCTGAGGCCCCACCTGTGCCGTGCGAGTGGGGGCTATGAAACTGAACGGGGGACCTATTGCCCCCACCGGCCCCCACCCCTGAGTGGCGGGTGGGGGCCCTAAATGACAATGAGCCCCAAAAAAGTCCAAATAAAAATCCATAATAACCGTTGCACTTTGAAAATCAAATAAAAAAACTGAGCGCCAAAGAAAATCCAACAAAAAAAAACAACAACGCAACACCAAAAAGGTAATCCATCTTCACCAATGGAGGGCACAGCGCAGACTGAGCTCCGCAGGGTGGGGAAAGGCTTATAAAGCCTTCCCAAGCCCTGCAATAAGGTTCAGAGCACTACCTATCACAGCACTCTGATTGGTGGGCTTGAAATCCATCCAATCAGAGTGCTGTGTCATTTTACACAGCGTTGGAAAGTTCTTTGGAATTTTCCCATGCTGTGTAATTTGACTCATAACAACAGAGACTGGGGACCCCTAGTCACCTGGGGGGTAACATTTTCATTTAGGGACCCCACCCCTTATTATAATTTAGTGCCAGGAATATAGCTATGTATGGCACTTATAGAATCCCTTAGTAAGGTATTCTGAGCAATAGCTGCCTCTTGAGTTCAGTGCAAATAAGCTAACAAAACCAGGAAGTATTGGGACCTGTTGCCTGCTTGTAAAGCCAGGGGATGTAACCGGTATAATTTATAAAAGTGTCACTTTCTACTAAAATCTGCACTTTTTCCAAAAAGCTAAACACACATAAAGCTTTTCAGCAAAGTGCTTTAGGGGTCTGGAGTGTCCCTTTAAGTCAGCTATGCTTCCAGATCAGCAAGTTTAGAATAAAAATTTAAATTAACTTTAAATTCACGTTGAAATCAAAACAATTCTCACTTTAGAGAATAACTGTAACAGGTGTTCTTTTTGCTTCTGTACCAAAACTCCATTATTGTTTTTTTTTTTATATAAGAACACAAATTAATTAGAAGATAATCAAACAATGTTAAAGTTGAGTCACAAAGATAAGAGCACAATTCAGAAGTTATATGACCTATAATCATGTATCCATTTAACCTTTAAAAGATCGTTCTCAGTAAATATTAGCAGTACACACTCAAGCATTGTCAACATGTCAAAGCGGTTCTGACCTTCTCAATCATCACAGCGTAGATACCCATTTGTTGAAATCCTCGCGTGTAATACAGCACATTAACCCAGCTCATTGCTAAACATATCACCATAAAGGCCACATATTCGTTCCTTCCAGCGAAATACAGAATAGTAGATAAGAGAAGAAACAGGGACTGGGTGAAGCTGAAAATAGAGAGGGCATCTCTTAGGATAGAAGAATTTGTAATTATCAAGGCAAAAATTAAGAAATTCTGAAAATAAGTATTGTCTCCATATTACTTGACAGGACACATATTATTGATTCATATATAGATAGATTTTTTTAAAAAACAAGTATTTAAGTACCACAGAATACACCTTCATGAATGATTAATTATGTCTCTTTAAATAATTCTTGCTCAAGTAATCACTAGCAGCACAGGTAATGTGTGGGCACATATAGAGGCATACCTCCCAACATTTCAAATACATAAATAGGGACACTTTAATTTTAGGGGTGTGATGGGGTGTGTGGTCAGAGGGGGGGCTATTTTGAAAAATGTAGGCAACTAAAATGTAATTTAAAACAAGAACAAATTATCACATTTACACAGACTGATTTGTAAACACATTTATTGTATTTTAATTGCCTTTTATCGTATTACTTGGAGTATTATGGCTGTGGAGCTCTGTCGTACTCAGACTCACCAACAATGCTGAGCTCCTAGAAAAGAGTGACATTAGGACAGGAAAGAGAGACAGGGATTTGGGCTCAAAACAAGGCCTGTCCCTCTTAACTAGGGACACTCGCGAGGTATTTATATGTAGAAAGATTTCTGGCACAAGAGCCACCAAACAGAGTCTTAATTGGAAGTAATATGTGTATGAAGAAAAAAAGGAATAGGGGACATACCCAGAAGATGTATTTCTGAGCAGCGGTGCTGCCGTAAAGAGCACAAACAAGAATACAGGTTTAATCTTTACAAGGCTACTTTAAATCGCCTATGTCAGCAAACAAATATGGAGATTCAGTTCCACCATATGGCCAGATTGTGTTAAGCCCGCCACTACGTCACAGTACCCCAATATTGAGTTCTACAATAATTTTAACATGGGAGACAAATGACTACTTAAATAGTACTAAATGAAGATAACTTAAACTAAAGTGCATTTAATTAATCCATGGATTAATCTGTATTTTGTAATATTGGATTGGCTAATATTAAAATTTAATACTTACAACAGAACTTCACTGTAGCTGTCGACAAGTATTGTCTTCAGAGATGGATGTCTCTGCATAAAATACTGAATCTAGAACAACCATAGAAACATTTTTAAGGCATATTATTTTCCTGTAACTCAAAATTAACACTGTGGAATGACATTGAAAGGTGACATAATTTTTTACCAAATTCATAAATTAATTAAAAAACAGTAAGTATTCATTAAAAATAAGAATTAAGCCAGTATCATACAAATAAACCTACCATTTCCCCCTGAAAATAAGCCTTAGCTGATATTCAGGGGATGCTTGTAATATAAGCACTATCCAGAAAATAAGCCCTTGCTAAGATCGTAGCAAGTTCGCTAATCAACGTTCTGGGAATTTTCCCCGAACATAGATTCACAGGATTCGAAATGCTAGTGCCTAATCTATGTTCGGGGAGGTTTCCCCAAACATAGATTGGCAGGATTCCATGCGCTTGTAAGGTAAGCTAAGCTATGTTCGGGAAATTTTCCCCCGATGCGCTAGTAAACTGGTCTATATTTGGGGGAATTGCCCGAATGTAGACCTGCTTTCTAGTGCATCCTCACTTACCAGCGAATTCGCTTTACGACCGTGTCATAAGAACGGAATCCGGTCGGTAAGTGAGGACCACATGTAATACATAAAAACAAGACATTCCCTGAAAATAAGCCCTAGTGCGTTTTTTGGAGCAAAAATTAATATAAGACCCGGTCTTATTTTCAGGGGGGAAACGGTATTATTATGAAAATCAAGCAACTATGGACCATAAAAATCCAGAGCAGTAAACAGAAACCCTGGTGCAGTATTTTGTGAAAACTACATTTCAAATACAATATAAAAGAAACTTCAAACAGAAACTGGCTGTCAGAACAGAACCAACAGAACCAGAATTTCATGTGCTTGAAAATGTCTTAAGATAAAGAGCAATGAGTTCAAGACATACAACTAAAGATGAATGTGTATTAAGGCACATTAACATCTGACTTTTCTTATTTTTTAATTTTTTTAATTATTTCAGCAGTTTTATTTTCATCTGTTACTCAGATAAAATGTAGCAATTCATATTAAGGAGATGTTTTCTTTTTTATCATTGCTATCTGATATAAATATGTTTCAACCCCTTGTACAATTGGTATTAATACAGAAATCATCTGACTTTCTCTTCTTTTCAAAACATTTTGCATTAGAGAGGCCTCAAGTACAAAAATGTCTGAGAAATCATGCCAACTTGTGTTAATCTGGAAATTAATATATTTTAACAAATTTCTTGATGGGATCACTCTTAGGCCAGTTCAGCTTGGTGTCACTCCCCACTTCCTGAAACTGCATTGAAGAAACCGGATGCCAGTTTGGACAGGGAGATCTGGCACTAGAGAGCAACCTTTCCTTCAGGTAAGAAAGCAGCAGGGACCTCGGGCACCATAACATCTTCTCTTTGATGAAGTTACCATGGTCCCTATACAATTCCTTTAAAAACTTGTAAACATTGTTCATATGGTCGGAGAGCAGTCAGCAGGACCACAAAATCTTTGTTATCTATAAAAAATAGTGAGTTTTGATAGGACGAAAATGTGAGGTGTATATAATACATTGATACTAAATGATACTTTAAAATGTACTTACCCCTCTAAAAAAGAAATATATTCCTCCAAAAACAGTAAAAAGCTCCCCAGTGGCTCGAAGGTAACTGTCACTCGTCAGCGGAAAGGGAGGCTAAAAAGCATAACAAAAACACTGATTATAATTTGGAATAAGTGTATTATTTGCAGTAATTCTATACACATTTGATCTTGTAGTACTTTTTTTTTACTCAATGTATACAATTTTGGTAAAACCAAAATCAGCTTTCATGTGAAACTAGTGCATTACTGTGAGGTGTGATCTTTCATGAACAGTTAGAAGTCCATTCAATAGCAATGCCCATAAACTAGATGTACAGATGCATGTGAAGAAGAGGCTTTGTCGAAAAAACACTTTGAATCATTTTTTGTGCAACTGCAGTATATTTAGTTCTGATCTTCAATGAGTCTCAATCAGCAAAAAAGATCAAATATCACACATTGAGTAAAATGTATTTGGAGGGATTTGAAGGACTTTTAGGATAATTGTAGAAGATCCTTCCTTCTTCGCCGTACAGTTTTTTTTATATGTCTTAAGGATTGGATTTGTGAGGCTTATGAATTGTTTATGGATAAATGTTTTTTTTTCTTTAGTGTTTTCTAGATTAGGTAATAGAATGTTACCAAACATGCCTGAACAGACTTACCTCTTTTTAGAGCATCAGGGTTATTTACTAAAGTGAGAAATGAAAGTGAATTCAATGTGAGTTTCAAACTGTAGGCCAGATTGATTGAACTGAAAGAATAGTTGGCTTGAAGAACTTTTCCAGTTCAGCTACATTCATCTTAAAATGGAAATTCACCTTGAATTCCCACTTTAGTGAATAACCATCTCCATGTCTCAGTATAAAAGTGACTCAAGGACTGTTGTTAGGCACATACAAAACTTTAACATGCAATACATTTGGTACGTTTAGAGAATATGCATTGCTAATTAAGCCAATGGTTGATGCAGCCACAGAATGGTTCTACAACATTTGGGGATCTATCTTTGGCTACCCGAGCATTAGTGGATAAATTCTGTGGATAATGGTTCATTCCTACCAGGAAAAGCAAAGTTTTAATCTTGTGGCTTGGGGTTTGACTCAGTAAAAATCAAAGGCATCATATAACAGATATAAGGAAGCCAATAATGCATGCAAAAAAATCGATTAGAATTGCTAAACTACAAAATGAGAAAATGATAGCCAAGGAGAGCAAAACCAACCCCAAAGTATTTTTTTAAGTACATATATTCTTAAAAAAAAAATACAAAAATTAAAGTGTATGTACACTGAAAACTGTGATGGGGTGTTCGTTAATGAAGACCAGGAAAAAGCAGAGATTTTAAACAACTATTTCTCCTCAGTATATATTAAGGAAGAACCTATGGCTGGAGATATAAAAAATGATTGCTGCAAAAAACTCACAGAAAATGTGTAACTGGATAACTCAAGACAAGGTGCTGCAGCAACTAAAGAAAGTTAATGTAAACAAAACTTCAGGACCTGATGGTATTCATCCATGAATACTCAAGGAACTAAGTGTGCAAATAAGTGAACCTCTGTTTTTAATCTTTCAAGATACTTTTCTTTCAGGAATTATACTGGAGGATTGGAGGAAAGCAGATGTGGTTCCTGTGATCAAAAAGGGTTCAAAATCCTTGCCTGGAAATTATAAACCAATGAGCTTAACTTCTGTGGCTGGAAAAGTATTTGAAAGGTTATTGAGGTATAATTTTGGGGGAATTCATTAAGAAAAAACATTATTAGCAAACATCTGCATGGGTTTATGAAACATAGGTGATGTCAAACTATTTAACATATTTATAAATGATCTTGAAATAAGCATTGAAAGTCATGTTTCAGTGTTTGTAGGTGACACAAAACTCTGTAAAGTAATACAAAGTGAGCAAGATATTACTTTGCTGCAGAGGGATTTAAATAGGTTGGGGGAAATTTAATGTAGAAAAATGCAAAGTTGTGCACTTCAGGATAAAGAATGCACAAGCAACTTACACCCTAAATAGTAGTGAATTTGGAATAACAACACACAAGAAGGATTTCTGAATTGTTAAAGACAACAAACTAGGCAACAATTTTCAATCTCAATCAGCAGTAGTTAAGGCCAGTAAGGTATTGTGATGTATAAAAAGGGGCATTAATTCTCAGATGAGAACATCATTTTGCCTCTTTATAAATCACTGGTATGACCCAGTGGCGGATCCAGAGCCTGATCTCGGGAGGGGCACTTGTAGATTATTTAAAGAAATAATCCAGACACAATAACCACTACAGCTCAGTGTAGTGGTTATGGTGTCAATAGTGCCGGGACCCACTCCCACAGTAAGTAGTCAAACCGTTTAAGAACAGTTTGACAACTTACCTGAGATCTGCTGGGAAATGGGGCTGTAGTAGGGCATATGAGCAGTGGTGTGTGTGAGTGGTGCAATGTGTAAGGGGTGCAGAGTGTGTGTGAAGGTTGTAGTGTGTGAGTGAGGGCGGCAGTGTATGTCAGGGATGCAGTGTATGTGTGGGACAGTATGTGTGTGTAACAGTTGCAGTGTGTGTGTATGGGGGGGCAGTCTGTGTGTATGGGGGGCAGTGAGTGTGTAAGGGGGGCAGTGTGTGTGTATGGGGGGCAGTAGGTGTGTATGGGGGGGCAGTTTGTGCAAGTAGTTTGTGTGTATGGGGGCAGTTTGTGTGTATAGGGGGGCAGTTTGCGGGATGGGGCAGTTTGTATAGGGGCAGTTTGTGAATGGGGGGGCAGTTTTGTGTGTATGGCGGGCAGTTTGTGTGAATGGGAAGGGCAGTTTGTGTGTATAGGGGCAGTTTGTGTGAATGGGGGGCAGCTCTTGTGTGTATTGGGGCAGTTTGTGTGTATGGGGGGGGCAGTTTTTGTGTGTACAGGGGGGCAGTTTGTGTGAATGGGGGCAGTTTGTGTGTATAGGGCAGTTTGTGTGAATGGGGGGCAGTTTGTGTGTATGGCGGCAGTTTGTGTGTATAGGGCAGCTTGTGTATTGGGGGCAGTTTGTGTGTAGGCAGTTTGTGTGAATGGGGGGGCAGTTTGTGTGTATTGGGGGCAGTTTGTGTGAATGGGGGGGCAGTTTGTGTGAATGGGGGGGCAGTATTGGGGGCAATGTATGTGTGGCTTTTTTTTTTTTATTATATATATTTTTTTTAATTTAATTAAAATCAATAAATATCCTATGTCCCCCCTCCCTTCTTACCTTTACTAGGGAGGAGGGGGGACATATTTCGATCCCTGGTGGTCCGGTGGGGGATTCATTGGTGGTCCCAGTGTGGAGAGTGAACTCTAGCCCACGCTCCCGGGCTAGAGTTCACTCTCGCGAGATTTGGAGCGTTGCCGTGGTAACCGCGGCAACGCTCCAAATCTCACGAGAGGAGGACCCGGAGGAGCTGCAGCCTGAGCTCCGGGTCCTCTCTCTCACTCCCTCCCTCCCTCCGCCGCCGGCCACCAGCAATGTGCCTGCGGACCGGGGAGGGAGATCTCTGATCTCCCTTCCGGTCCGCAGGCACATTGCAGGGCTAGCACCTGCATGTGCTGGCAGGGGAGGGAGAGGGAGACCGGCGGATTTCTCGGGGGGGGCAATTGCCCCGTTGCCCCCCCCCCGGATCCGCCACTGGTATGACCACACCTTGAATATGCTGTGCAATTTTGGCACCTGTTCTAAAGAAGGATATTATGGCACTAGAAAAAGTGCAGAGGCGGGCTACACAATTAACAAGAGGAATGGAATGTTTTAGTTCTGAAGAAAGGTTAACAAATTGAAACCTCTTTCATTTAGAAAAACGGCACTTTAGAGGGGAGATGATAGCATTATACAAATATATCCAGGGACAATACAAACCATTGTCTCAATATCTATTCACAAATAGAACTATACATAGGACACAAGGTCACATATTAAGACTGGAAGAAAGAGATTTAGTCTAAGGCATAGGAAAGGTTTTTTTACAGTAAGAACAATAAGGATGTGGAATTATCTAGCCTGAAGAAGTGGTTTTATCAGAGTCTGTACAGATGTTTAAATAGCAACTAGGTGCATATGTGCAAAAAAATAAAATTCAATTACATTATTTTTAAATTTTTTAAATATTATTTATTAAATATTAATAATAAATAAATTATTATTTTTAAATATTATTTTTAAAACCTGACTGCCATTCTGGTGTCAAGAAGGAATTTTTTCCTAGTTTGATGTAAAATCTGCAGAGCAAACAGTGGCCGATTGACAATTTTTTTTTTTTTTTAGTAAAATCAATAGACAATTTCCCATAAATAGTTAAATGGACCTACATTTCCATCCACTGGTCGGTAGTAGGCAGCTACTGTAAAGATGACAACATGTGCTACGTATGCCACAAAGTTGAAGTAGAAGACTCGTTTAGCAAAACGGTCCCATTTGTCTTGTAACAGTCTGTTGAGGGGCTCCACCAAAAGCATATCATGACGGTTCTGTGGAAGAAAATAATATTCAGTCACTATGAATAACTTGTACTTTTATGTGTTGTACTTTAAATTATTACAATAAAAATTATATTATTTATTGCTGTTAAATGTGTCAATGCAAAAAAACAACAACTGGATTTATTATAAAGAACCTGGGGTAGAGAATAACACTCAGAATAAATTGGGGAATATAAAGACTCCTGATATCCGTAAAGAACGTAATATTGGAAAGAACTTTTCATTTATTCGGTTTAAAAAATACCTTTGTACAGTTTGGTTATTAAGAGCTCCATTGCACAATACATATTTTTTTTTCTATGTATGGACTTATTTTCAAGCATAGGGGCTTAAAAATTTAGAACTTCAGTGAAAATTATGAAAACAAAATAAGGAGGTAGCACAGATATAACTTTACTTTAATTTCTGGGCATCTGAGGCCAAGATAAACAGTTTATTTATCGATTAGGTTGCTTGGGGACCCATGATCCTATATGTAGCTGGATGGGTAACATTTACGATCCAATGACTAAGCTCATCCAATATGAATGGAGAGGAGATCAAAATTATAGGGCAGGTATATTGTATAGAGGAGAGTAGGACTGGCATTATATCATCCTTTCATTTACAGCTAGAGGTGTAAGGGATTTCTAAACCTCGAAATGTATAGTACCCTCATACTAGTTACATACATGCGGAAGAAAGTTAGAGGTATCTTCATACTACACATTCGGGACTTCATCAATTCGGTCGGCACTTCTGAAATTCGGGACTTCGTCAATTCGGGACTTCGGTTCGGCACTTCTGAAATTCGAGACGTCGGCAATTTGCGAATTCAGCACTTCGGCAATTCCCTAACCCTACCCTCAACCCTACCTCTATCACTACTCTTAACTCAAACCTTAACCCTACCCCTAACTCTAACCTTAACCCTAACCCTAACTCTAACCTTAACCCTACCCCTAACCTTGAAGGGCACAGGTACAAGAGGTGATGCATGCCTGATCTTGAGGCCACATTTGAGGGCTGGTCAAATAGGGACTAAATATTCTGTAATTTCACAATATAGTGGTTTGTAGATTTTCCACAGGACAAAAATATACACAAAAACAAAATACGGTTCTAATAAACTATTACTCACTGGTGTCTCACTGCTGTAAGCAAGGATTTCAAGCACTGAGTTTTTATCAATGGTGTCCACACCAGAGAGATCATACAAAGAAGAATGCACTGGTCCATACGCCCATTCAGTAAACTTTCGTGAAAGATGTCTGCACTCTGGATTCTTAATCTCCCTCCTGAGGATATAGGCAAAAACCTCCAAGTAAAGAAAAGAAAAAATAATTGTGTAAAAGTTTTAATTTCTGCTTGTTGCAAAGTAATTTTAACAGTAGTACAGTGCATCTCCAGGCTACTTAGGGGGAGGAGATGATGTCCCCCAGCCCCAGGCGGCCTTTGGCAGGGAGGGTTAGGAAACAGAACTTTGCTGCACACCCATTTATTAGGTAGAGGGAATGATTGCATTGTGTATCTGACTGTACAGCAGATGCTTCTTTCTGGCTGTGCTTTATTTGAGATCCTGGAGAACTGGAGAGCATGCTGTTCATGGGCAGTGAGGATGGGATTTGACATAAAAATGAGGGGAAGCATCATATTCCCAGTGTAGGGGTCATTGCGTTTGTCTTTTAATATTATCTCTTCCTTTTTTGTTCATTGTGTATAGTATTGTTATAGATTTTTACAGCAGAACACAATGCGGGAGGGGTAAGGTAGTCTATAGTACTTTAACTAATATAATAAAACATATATCAACTTCTTACAATGCACAGAAAACTGTATGTTTTGAGCAGGCGCATTGCTGGGGTGGGGAATTGGGGGGTCTCCAGCCCTGAATAAATGCCTCTCTAGCCCCCAATCTTCTTCTGGTGAGGGAAAGCATAGACCCAGACCGTATACATTTAATTTTTTTTGCATCTACAAGGTTAGGGTATGCTCAGGGGTGGAAAGTGGACAGCAGCCAGTTAACTTGCTGAATCTCAGCCGGGGCAGAAGTACCATAATAGTGCAGTTTACATAGAGATCCCTGGAATATGAAATTCATATCATGTTACCGCATCTGTATCACTGAGCTGCTACAGCTCTCAACTGAGAGTAACAAGGACACCAGGAGAGAGAATAGCAAGGAGGCACACATTTGGTGCCTGGAAGTGCAGGGCCACCTCTACAAAAGTTGTCTGTAAGTAATCACTTGTGTGCAATTGCTAAGAGGTGTAATTTGTGAGTTGTGGGGCTTTGAGGTGGTTTCACCGAATTCCAGTATTTTAACCTTAGCATCCTGATCTAAGAGGGCAATATAAGTCTTATTTCAATCTATCATAATTTTCTTTAATCGACATTACCTAAGAGGAAGTCATAACCCTGTATTTGTGTATTTAATATCTAATCCCCCGTTTAAGTATTAAGACCAGATGACAAAATAATATATCTATATTGCTCTATCGCTAATCAAAACATTTCTAAATTTATTTTATCATCTGCCCTAAATCAGGGATGTTTCTTGTTCCATGCAAACTGTTTCCCGAAGGTGGCAGGTTATGTGGAGAGGTAGCTGTCAAAAGCAACACATATACCTTAATAAAGATCTGAGAAGGATCTGTTTGGATTTATATGGCATTTGAGTCAAATCCATACAACAAGCAAATGAGGTTGTATAGCAGGATGAGTACTGGAATCAGGCCCGGACTGGCCATCGGGCACACCGGGCATTGGTGGGCCGTGATGGCCATAGGCCAAGGCCGACAGGGGAGATCAAACACACACAAACACACACACCGCGTATATATATATATATTTATATATATATATATATATATATACATACACACACCAGCCATCTTGGATCCTTTGTTAGCCCAGCGGTGTTCGGTCGTCGAGTGCCTGGAACTAAAATTGGCTACTCAACGGCACGAATACCGCTGGACTTCCAGGCCGTTCGGGAGTACCGGTCTTTCGGTATTTTATCTCTGCATGTGTATTCGTGACTTTGGTGAAGAATTTGTGTTCAAGTGTATTTCATGCGGCGTTCGGCTAATTGTGCTGGGATCTGAGCGGTACTTTCACGAAGTATGCGCTCAGACCCCAGCTATCTGCCAAACAGTCATTCAGTACAATAGCACGAATAATGTTAAAGTTATAGATTTTTATGTAAAAAGCCAGTTCTGCTGTACTGAGGGATAATCCACTTAACTGGACATTCTATTGGGAGTATCCCTCTCGTACAGCAGTGCATGGTGGGAGAAATGTTCTGGTTGTTAAGTTCCCCATGTAGTCCCCTACTATACAACTCCAGTAAAGTCAGTAGGGAAACCCCTTGCATGGGTAACCACATAAATACTGGAGCTTGTGAATAAAACCTCAGTTGACTCCCATGTGTCGTCTAGTTCTTGGGAAGGAAGGATCTGTATAACGCTACCGGGATTATTGTATGCTGTACTTGTTTTACATGGATTACTACATGCTGTTCCTGTTCCAGCGGAGATATTGTGGATGATACTACCTCTTCGCTACAGGTGGTATGTGTAAGGCTGCTGTGTGTGTGTGTGTGTGTGTGTGTGTGTGTGAGGGTGCTGTTAGTGTGTGTGTGTATGTGTAAGGGTGCTGTGTATAAGGGCTCTGTGTGTGAGGGTGCTGTGTTTGTGTTTGTGAGGGTGGTGTGTGTGTGTGTGTGTGTGAGGGCACTGTGAGTGTGTAAGGGTGCTGTTAGTGTGTGTGTGTATGGGTGATGTAAGTGTGTGCTGTGTAAGGGTGCTGTGTAAGGGTGCTGTGTGGGTGCTGTTTTTGTGTATTGTGTGGGGATGGGGTGACCGTTTAGTTCCCTTCTTACCTTTTGTAGAGAGGGGGGACCATGCTGCTGCCATGCCTGGTGGTCCAGTGGTGAGTGAACTCTAGCCTGCGGGGCAACCGAGAGGAGCCCGGTGGAGCTGCTAGCTAGAGCTCCCTGAGTCCTCTCCTGCCTCTCTCCCTGCCTGTGGGCTGGTGAGGGAGATATTTGTTCTCCCTCACCGGTCCATGGAGGCACATAGCGCGGGCCACGGGGATTAGGGTGTGCCCAGGCACACCCGGCACACCCCGTGCGCACGCCTATGTCTCCCCTGCTGGCCCATGCAGAGCTGGCACTATCCAAGCGCCGGCCCTGCTGTGTACCTGCATGGGCCGGTGGGGAGGGAGTGTCCCTCACCGGCACACAGGCACTGAGAGGCGGTCACCAGCTGGGGAGGGAGGGAGACAGGACAGGACACGTAGGAGCTCTATCTTGCAGCTCCTCTTGCGACATTTGGAGTATTGCCGTGGTTACCATAGCAACGTTCTGATCTCGCGAGAGTAAACTCTAGCCCCGTGAGAGTTCACTCACCACTAGCACCACCAGGGATGGCAGCACGGTCCCCCCTCCCAGGCTAAAGGTAAGAAGGGAGGGGGGATATAACGCTTGTGTTATTATTATTTTTTTATTTAAAATTAATAAATTCTTATATAGATTAATCTGCATCCCCCCAACAAACAATCACTCCTATTATATACACACACACGCACACAATCCCCTCTCCCCCTGGCATTCCCGCTGTGGCTGGGGAGGGACTTTCACCAGGCTGTTGTGGAGAAGGACTGCCTACCTCCTCTTGGACTGCATCCGGCTGTTGGGGATCTGGGACGGCTGCCCAGAATTCCTGTAGGTCTGGTGCAGAGACCTCGGTCACATCTGCACCATTTGTATTAGGTGTCCTGTCCCCGGATAACAGGCACTGCCGCTGGGGAGGGAAACCGGCTGTCCCCCCTCCGATGAGCCCCCTCTGTGGTTTGGGAAAGTACCTCTCGTGGTATCTCTGGCTGCCACTGGGGAAAGAGATCAGTTGTCTCCTTTCCCTGCAAGGTGTGCTGTTGCTGGGGGGTAGAACTGACTGTCCACACTCCTGTATCTCCAACTGTGGTTAGGGAGAGGAATCGGTTGTTTCCTCGCCCTGGAGCTTACCCTGCTGCTGGAGATCTGGGAAAACGGCTCCGCATTCTTGTAGGGCAGGTGTAGGGACCTCGGTCTCACCTCCATCGGCCAGCTGAATGTCTTCCCAAGACAAGTCAATCAGGTCTCCTGCTTCTGGAGGTGGGTGTTCAGCAGTGGGTACAGTAGCCCATCCTTCCCACCTGTGGTGTAGCAGGTCTGGGTCAGCCGCCCAGCCTCCCTTCTCTCCAGGTACAGAGACCATGGTCCCATCTGTACCCTCCCCGCCTGGCGTCCTGTCTCCTGGTGATGGGCACTGCTGCTGGGGGGGGAAGGATGAAACTCAACTCTCCCGATGTTGTGCAGTCCATCAGCTCCATGTCAATGTCCTGTTGTTGAACCAAGTCTATCAGTTCTAGGTAGTCTTGTTCCAACTCCCACTCCATGGTAACCAGGCGGGTGAGATCTGGCCCCAGCCCAATAGCTCTAGGGCACTGTAGCATTGCTTCCCGGTAACCATAGATAGCCCAAAACCGTGACTCTGCAGGACTGCTGATATCGACGTCCTCCATGAAGGCCTTCCACAACAGACCAGGGCTACTGTAGTTCTCCCCCTCTGGCTGAATGCCCTTAGCTATCCAAATGTCCCGCTGGACTGCGTACCACCATAGCACCCGGTATGAGTCATCCAATATCAGTTCCCTATCGAATAGGGACTCAAGGTGCCTTACCTGCTCCGTCCCGGGTTGTTCCCCCAGAAACGCCATCTGTTGGGCCAATTGTTCCTGCCGGCGGTGCGCTTTACTGGGAAGTCTCTCCTCCTGCCGAAGCTGGACCCCTTCCAGGGCATCGTACCAGCGTTCCTTCCAGGCTATATCTTTCCATTCCAGGTCACTCTCCTCCTTGAATGGGAGCGCTGCCAGAGCATAGCCTGTTCCATTCTCCCGAGTGCCTCGCCAGTCCTGCTTACTGTTGCTCCACTCTGGATCCAAGGAAGGGGACCATCCCACCGCTGCCACCAGATGTGGCATTATACCTTTCTGAAGGTAGGTTAATACCGCTTGTGGTCACGTCTTCCAGTTGTGATCAGCTCCAGAGTGATTATAGCTCCTGAGTAGTGATTATAGTTACTGTTGAAGGGTAACCGCAGTAGCACCCAAACACTAGTCGAGATTGAGTGAAGGATGAAGTAGATCTGTTTATTACCAGCCAACTGGCTCACATTTATACAGAATCTGGTACCGTAGACCCTCCCCAAAACACGCCTATGATTGGACCATTTCACCATACATGTGTGTGCTCCGGGCAGGAGAGGAAATGGAGGCGGAGGGAGGGTTTTTAAAAACAAAACAAAAAATACAATGATCATGGAAGGATGATGGACAGAGCGCAGCGTAGGAGGGAGGGTGAGAGGGGAGAGCTTGCAAGGGGAGGTGCTCTGCAAGGGGAAGATTTTCATGTCTGTTGTCAGTGTGCAGTGTGTGCTGACAACAGGCTTAATTTATGTACAGAATTGACTTGAATTGAATAAGGCATCCAATATCTCAGGATGTTTCCAGATGAAACACTGCCCATCCAGACTCCTACCACAATGATCCCTTCTAATCACTGAAGTGATCCTTTTGGTTGGAGTAATCCTTCAATCTGTAATGTTTTGGTGCTTGGAGTATCTCTTAAAAAGTGAAATACCTATCGTCCACAAGTACAGTACTGACACTCTCCTGGAACACTTCTAAAACTGGCACTGACTGCATATCTATAAATTTTAACACACTTACCCCAATTTTGCCAGTTTTTGCTGCGAGTGTCAGAGGAGTCAGACCTTTCTTGTTGCCTATATCTTCCAGTCTAAGTGAAGGTTCAATCTGAGCGCCCAAAACTAATATCTCGCTATACATCTTGGTCACAAACTTTGTGTTCTCCTGAGTGTTGTCCGCGATGTCTACCAGAGCATGCAGCACAGTATTTCCATAGCTATCCTGAGCAGCAATGTTGGCTGGAGAGTACTGGTTCTGTAGAAGGTATCGGACTATCTCAATTTGATTGGTGCAAGCTGCAAGGGACAGCGGCAGCTCTCCTGTGTAGATTTATAGAATAGAAAATACACTAAATGTTATATTCGTTAAATATTTTTTATCACAGGTATGGTCTACTTCCTCCAATTTAACATGTCCATGGAAAGACATACTTCCCATTTCTGAATTTTCTTGAATAAGAGACTCTCTCACCAAAATAGAATCCAGGTCTTCCTTTTGCTTTCCTGAAGAATTCCCCATCTGCTCGTGCATGGACATCTGCTCCATGTTGTAACAACAGTTCAACAAGATCCATGTTCCTTCTTTCAATAGCAATATGAAGAGCCGTCTGACCTTGGGAATGCAAGAGAACATATTCAATTTGGTTTCCAGTTAGCCACATTTTATTACAGTTAATATACTGGAGTGCCACTCTGCTTTATAGTAGGTTTTGCAACCATTCAATGTATTTTTTCTTTTTTCTGAGAGCAATTTGCATGAATCTTTAGGGAGTGAATTTGTGCAAGACTGTTATAGACGTATATTTACTCTATGACAGCGGTTCACAAAATGTGACAGGCACACAGGGGAGCCGCAAGATATTTTCACGGTGCTATGATCATAGCAACGGGAACTGTGGTCTCCCCTGCTGGCTCTGCAGGACTGGAGGGGAGATCGGAGATATCCCTCTCCGGCCCGCTAGAACTTTGCTGACAGCCGGCAGGGGAGGGAGGGAGAGAAGACCCGGGGGAGCTCTAACATGCAGCTCTGCCGGGTTCTCCTCTCGCGAGCTCGGACCATTGCAGCGGTTACCACGGCAATGCTCCAAATCTGGCAAGAGTGAACTCTAGCAGTTCCTGAGACTGCTAGAGTACACTGTCATCACCAGGACCACCAGGGCTTCCCCAAAATATCCCCCCTCCGAGGCAAAGGTAAGCAGCGAGGGGGGATATAATTTTTATTTTGAATGAAAACAAAATTTAAGTATATATTTATTAATTTGCCCTTCACCCCCCACAGACCCCACACCACACAATAGCTCCCCCATACACACACACTGCCCCCATACACACACACACTATCCCCTATACACACACTATCCCCCCATACAAACACACTACCCTCCCCATACACACAATTACCCCCCCATACACACAATTACCCCCCATACACTCACACTGCCCCACCATACACACACAAACTATACCCCATACACATAAACTATCCCCCATACACACTCACTACCCCCATACACACAATTACCCCACATACAAACACTGCCCCCCCATACACACACATGGTACCCCTCACACACACTGCACCCCCCCACACACACACTGTAGCCCAAACACAGCCTGCCCCCTCACATACTGTGCCCCTCACACACACACTGTACCCCTCATGCACAAACTTCCCCACATTCACACACACTGCACCCCTCACACACATACTACATCCTTCACAAACACAATGCACCCCTGTACATACACTGCACACCTAACACACACGCACACTGCACCCCTGTACTCACACATGCACCCTTAACACACACACACACACTGCAAACTCCACACACACACTTCACCACTCACACACACACATTGCACCCCACACACACACACATATTGCCCCCCACACACACATGCACAGACTACAGCCCCTATCCTGGCAGACCCCAGGTAAGTTGTCAAACTGTTCTTATACAGTTTGACTACTTACCCTGGGAGGGAACTACGGCACTACTGGTACCATAACCACTACAACATAATGTAGTGGTTATTGTGCCTGGATTGTTTCTTTTAATAATCTATTAGTGCCCCTCCCAAGATTAGGGGCCCAGTATATGCAATGCTGTACATATATACAACCTAGAAAATAGTTTTGACCTGTGGTGCCTTGGAGAAATATTGAAATATTGGCACCTTGAACCTAAAAAGTTTGGGAACCACTGCTCAAATTGTATTGAGTTGAAATCCACTTGGTGTAATCAAGGATTACAAGGTTACAACTTGGCTACTTTATCCTGAATCTGGCAATTTGGGTTTCAGTTTTCTAAACTTGAGAGTTTAGTGAATAGTGTCCTCTCCTCCGTGTCTGAACAATTTCCTGACAAACAAGTTTTAGGTGATTTTGAAGGAGTTCCCTGAGGAGCAAAATGCAATTCCTTTTTTTTTTTTACTTTAAAAAATATATGTTTTGTTCACAGACCATATAATATGCGATTGTGTTTCTATTAGAGAATGCTCATTTTGCAATAAAAAACAAACAAACAAACAAACATAAAGCGTGGACAGGCTTACTGGACAAAATTCTCAGTGGACCACTCCAGCCTGGACCATCTTGTGCTGCTTCTACTAAAAACTTCCTTTAATTTAAAAAAAAAAATTCTGGCCAATGGCAGGGTATGGCTGGCTATTTGTGCCGGGGGCAATTACAGACAGACCAAATCATCACTGTCCCACCACAATCCAATCCCTTTCTTAATTTTATCTTAATATTTTATGCTAACACTGCATGTACTAGACTACACAAATGTACTAGACTACACAAACATAAAGCGTGGACAGGCTTACTGGACAAAATTCTCAGTGGACCACTCCAGCCTGGACCATCTTGTGCTGCTTCTACTAAAACCTTCCTTTAATTTAAAAAAAAAATTCTGGCCAATGGCAGGGTATGGCTGGCTATTTGTGCCGGGGGCAATTACAGACAGACCAAATCATCACTGTCCCACCACAATCCAATCCCTTTCTTAATTTTATCTTAATATTTTATGCTAACACTGCATGTACTAGACTACACAAATGTACTAGACTACACAAACATAAAGCGGGGCAATTACAGACAGACCAAATCATCACTGTTCCACCACAATCCAATCCCTTTCTTAATTTTCTTATATAATATAATTTTCTTTTGTAAGACAGCAGCCCCCAATCCTCTCTATTCTAGTGGCCCAGGGGTAATTCACAGCTCCCCCCCCCCGGGATGGGAAAGTGTGAGGCAATGTATTGCAATGTATTGTGGCCGGTGGGCTACATGACATCATATCCAGGCATCACACTGTCATGAGAAAACTGAAACAGCTCAGGCTAAATCGCGAGACGTGATGCTCGTCCTGTAAGGGACTTGGACAGTGGATGGAAGAGTTTAATGAGAAATTAATACAAACCACAGCATAGTTATCAAATAGGTTAATTCATGAATGTTTCACAAAAACTCAGAAAAAAAATCTATAACTGTTAATGGAACTTGTATGGCCCTGCATGGCTTGTGTGGGCAGGGGGGAATATATCTTAATGTAGATCATTAATATATGAGACATGGACAGGGAACCTCCTCGCACCATTACCACAGTAAACAGCACATGTACTTATGGTGTTTGGCACGTTCCATGTAAGGCAATATTCATCTTGTACATACTACAGTTGGGTTTTCACAGAAGTAATTCAATAGGACCACATTAGTCCACTTACCTCGGTAGTAGGTGTCTGTGTAACATGAATTAATGAATTCTTTCAAATTACCGGTCTTCTCTGCGATCTCCAGTAACAGTTGGATAGTGCTATTTTTTCCGTTACTAAGATTTAACATAGCTTTAAGGAGGCATGTCTTGCCCGTTTCCGGTTCTGAGCAACACAAAAAATTTAACATCTTTGTAATGTCTGATTAGAATGAGGTAGCAAAGCACATAACACACGAGTCCTGCAGCTGTGACGACAACTGGTGACAGCGTTTATTAGAACAATACATCACTTCCTTCATATTTATATATTTTTGTATACCAGTTCAGTAAGTCGCTAAGGATTCTGATCAAAGACACATATTAATATTAGGTGATTAGGCTGGTTATAAAACTGCTAATATTACTGTTTATAAATACTGTTATAGATAACATAAAAAATAAAAAATGAATTGTAATCTTTATTCGAAAATGATGCACAAGTTAGTACGATAGATAAAGTCCAAAAGATATGTCTTCAGTAGATGCACAAGTGTCAGGATTTAGCAACAGTCCACGTTACAATTAGTTTTCATCTTTCATTGTGATATGTTAAAAGAACGACAATGGTTATTACTCAAACATAGATGTGCCCTTCACTTTCTCATACTTCCCAACATAGGGAAGTAAATAAATTGGCATGGCATGAGTACCCCTAAAAGTGGCAGACCAGTGATACGATCTGCACTGCTGCCATCCAAAGTTCGAGTCGGCCTGAGGAAGGGGTATGTCAGCCTAGCATAAATGCTAGCCAGCCCATTAGGGGCAGATCATATTGAGAGTACTGTTACAGTGCCCCCTGCATTGTCCTAATTCCCTTGGAGTAGCACATGTATGCCTAACCGCGCTCTTCTGTTGCGCATTCTGGGGACACTTTTGGGGACATCAGGGAACAAATCCTGGGTGGTGGGACAATAGTCTGAAACATGCACTGTCCCAACAAAATCAGGACAGTTGGGAGACCTGCTTATTTTTCCTGGTTCGTAGACACTTCTCCAGTAAGCTTCCTCACAGAGGATCAGCTCTGCTCTCCAGATAGTCTCCAGATCGCCCCTATAGTCTATGGTCTTCCCCCTACTCCCTTTTTTATATCTCCATTATAACCATGAAGAAGCCTCCTAATACAGAGCTCTGCAGCCATGAAATAAACAACCACAAAGCATCAAATCTTCAACACGTCTGCAATCTCTGATAATAACTATTTTTCTCTCTCTATCTCCAATCACACCAAACCCATAACATCTACTAATTATTATGTTTTCCTAACATTGTACTGTCTGAGTGTCCCAGGAGATGCTTGAAAATACAAAAAATCTTAATGTTTCCATCCTGGTAAAAGATTTCTAGATAAATTAATGTGAACATTTTTAATGCAGAGTGGAATAAATTGAAATTTGTTGTGGTTGTTGCAATGTTTCTAATGGTTCTTAAAGAAGCACAACGTTACAAATAAAAAAGATGTATTCCTAAAGTTAATGTGTTTTAATAACAATTTAGATTTTTGCCACCCTCTCCCCCATAAAAAAAAAAAACCCTCTAAATGAAAGCATATGCTGAGGTGATCATTACAGATGATCTCAGCAAATCCATTGCTTTCCCATAGGGAAGCATTAAGAGAACGATGTACATGCATGTGATAATAAACTATATCAACTTTATTTAAAGTCACATATAGACCATTTGTCGCACCCTAAAATAAAAACATTCAAATTGTGACCTAGAAACGCTGATAAGACAGAGAAACTGGCTGATTACCTTTGAATTCTTGATTAGTGAGGCGTTTGTGGGTTCTAAGCAAATACATCTGTAGATCATCAAGTTCATCACAGTCCCCGTAAGCTGCAGCTTCAAAAATCCTGTTCCGATCATACAGCTTAAATGTTCTGTCCTTGCAACTTGTGGTGGATTCCACGGAAGAACTTTGTCTGTCGTATTTGCAAAAGAAAAAATAAATATGTTCAAACTGTATATAAATAAACAGGGACTTCAAAATGATATCTACAAACAGAATCAACCACTAATGTGAGAATTAGTAGTGGCGATACAGTTGTCATGGTGCTTTGAGTGTTCGTTTAAGGCCGAAGTAGTCAATGTGGAAACATAACTGGCTTGCAGATTTTTTTTCCAGTTCAGCTATTATGATCTACTTGGTACTGTGAAAGATATGACATAGTTTTAAAATGTATGATCATGAAAAGGAGGAATGTTACCATGAAATATCTACATTATAATGCTCATCTCGTCTCACATTCTATCGAGATCATGCTCGACAATGTTTTCGACACATGGGTTTCTTGCTATTCATGTATGACTTTCTATCAATACAACAATGTTGAAACTAATCACACAAATACAACCTTCCTTCTTTGATTTTCTCCCAGCGTTTTGGTCCACTTGACAAACATAATCTCAGTATGTATGGTTGAATGATGGATACCTAAGCCAAAATAACAAATTGCATCCTTCTTTTCTATCACTTGCCATACACACTTTAATTGAAAGAGCAATTTTAAAGGGATACTATAGTCACCAAAACAAACTTACCTTAATGAAGCCATCTTGGTGTATAAATCATGTACATGCAGTCATATTGCTCAATTCTCTGCCATTTGGGAGGTAAATCACTTTGTTCATGCAGCCCTAGCCACATCTCCCTGCATGTGATTTGCACAGCCTTCCTAAACACTTCCTGTTAAGAGTCATCTAATGTTTACACTTGCTTTATCGCAAATTCAGTTTAATTTTGAATTTCTTATCTCCTGCTATGTTAATAGTTTGTGAGACCCTGCAGGAGCCTTATGTGTGTGATTCAAGTTTAATTTACAGAGCAGGAGATAAAAACTTTTAAAATAATTTGAATCTGATTTATAGTTAAACCATTTTGTTTTCATGCAGGCTGTGTCAGTCGCAGCCAGGGAAGGTGTGTCTAGGGCTGCATAAACAGAAACAAAAGTGATTTAACGCCTAAGTTGTAGAGAACTGAGCAGTAAAACTAAAGATCTATAAACAAAAACTGCTTCATTAAGCTAGAGTTGTTATGGTGACTATAGTGTCCCTTTAAAGGAATACTATAGTGCCAGGAATACAAAGCTTTATTCCTGGCACTATAGCTTCCTCTGACTCCCCCCTCCCTTGCACCCCTGCTCCCCAGTAAATAAAGGGTTAAAAACCTGTTATTTACTTACCTGATCCCAGCACCAAGGTCCCTTGGCGCGGGCCAAAGCTCCTCTTCCTCCTCTGTCCAGTGATGAGAGAGCTCTAATGCATTTAATAAATGCTTTCCTATGGAGAAAAATCTGATGCTGGATTCAGAGAGTGAGAACGTTCAGCGTCACATACCGGACCAAAGGTCCGTTTCAAACCAGGAAACCCTCTACTGGCTGTCTGGTAGAGAGCCACTAGAAGCTGGCTTAGTGCTGCAATGTAAACATCGCAGTTTCTCTGGAACTGCAATGTTTAACATTGCAGCACTAAGGGCAATAGGGACGCTGTACCCAGACCACTTCAATGAGATGAAGTGGTCTGGGTGCCTACAGTGTCCCTTTAACCACAAAATGTGTTCATAAAACGTATCTTAGGTTTTAAAAAAAAAAAAACTGTTTAAAACTACCAGTCATTTTTCAAAGTACCACAACGGAAAACAAGTTGGTTTTTTTTCTTACTTAAACTTGAGTTTAATCTCAAATATGCTTATCAGATCATTACTGATGTTCCCTTTATTTCTTTGTATTTGTTATGTCAAAATGAGCCTTCTTTCAAAAAAGAAATAAAAAAACAATTTGACCCATCAACATGGATCATTGCCGTATTCACGCACATGTACGAGAGTACAGCAGTGATGTCAGCTCTTGGTAGCAGAAGCGGTAGGAGCAGAAGACAAGCAGATGGAAGAAAATGTCGGCGCACTCTAGGAATAGGTTCAGGTACGTAAAACATCCAGGACACCTGTGGCAATGTTACCACCTGGGATCTTTATAAATGATAGAACATCTCTAGACGGTGACAGATCCACTTTACAACCTCGGAACAGCTAATGTTAATGAAACATTAAAGAGTTCCATTGAGAAGCAATAATCAAGGATAAGTGCTGGATTCTGCTATGCAAGCCTGGAATGTTATATTATTATACCTGCATATATTAGTGTGACACGAAGAAGATCACAATAAATAACCTAGTTCACGCACACACATTTCCAAATTGTTTAGCATATGGACAGTATGCAAATTAGTTATCAAAAGACATTAAAAAAAGAAAGTGTTCTCTGAATAAATATATATTCTCCTCACTCTTTCATCAAACAATTGTCGATTAAGTTACCATGTACTTACGTAATATTCTCATATTTTCCAAGTCAGTTGGTGCCATACTGGACACATACTTAACCATCAAAAGTAGAATCTAATTTTTAGGTTTTATAAACACAATCACTAATTTTAAAATAGGTCCAACTTGTACCATACCAATAGGGGATGGGGTTTGATCCTTGTGCTTCTGCCTGATGTGCATTCAGAGAGTAGTTATGTGAGTGGAGGTGGGGGATATTTAACCTACGGCTGTATCCCTGATCTCTGGCATCCCACTGCACGTTTTCCCCATCAAATCAGGAAAAGCTACATGCCCATCTTCATCATCTCCTGTTGTCCAGTCCATGGCCACTTTACACTTTAATGGTAGGATGAGGTTAGGGGGTAAAAGGTTTCAGATGGGGGTTAAGAGGGACACCTGGGTGATAAAGACAAGGTTTAGAGACACACAGGGTAAGAGCTGATAAGAGACACACTAAGAGTAGGGTGTTAGGACACAGACACAATAGGGTAAGAAGGGTTAGCCACAGGCCCGGACTGGCCATCGGGCACACCGGGCAAATGCCCAGTGGGCCGCGGTGGCCATGGGCCGAGGCTGGCAGGGGAGGTTCCAGGATCTCCCCTGCCGGTCTTTGTAGGGCCGGCAGCAGTCCACGGCGGGCCGGTGGGGAGATCAAAGATCTCCCTCACCGGCCCACATGCAGGATAGTGCGGCCGCCGGCGGGGAGAGAGGGAGGGAGCCAGCCTGCCAGCAGAGGAACCCGGAGGAGCTCTATCTTGCAGCTCCGCCTGGTTCCTCTCGCGGGATCCGGAGCGTTGCCATGGCAACGACCGGATCTCACGAGAGTGAACTCTAGCCTCACAGGCTAGAGTTCACTTACCACTAGGACCATCGGGGATGGATGGCAGCCCCAGCAGCAGGATCCCCCCTCCCAGGCATAAGGTAAGCAGGGAGGGGAGAAATAATCACCTAACTCACATCAGCCTCACAGACACCCCTAACACTCACAGCACCCTCACTCACATACACACACACTGCACCCCTAACACTCACACACTCACATAAACTGCACCCCTGACACAGCACACACACACACACACACACACTGCACCCCTAACACTCACAGCACCCTCACTCACATAAACTGCACCCCTGACACTCACAGCACACACACACACTGCACCCCTAACACTCACAGCACCCTCACTCACATACACACACACTGCACACCTAACACTTACAGCACCCTCACACACTCACATAAACTGCACCCCGACACTCACATACACACACACTGCACCCCTAACACTCACACACTCACATAAACTGCACCCCTGACACAGCACACACACACACACACACACTGCACCCCTAACACTCACAGCACCCTCACTCACATAAACTGCACCCCTGACACTCACAGCACACACACACACACACTGCACCCCTAACACTCACAGCACCCTCACTCACATACACACACACTGCACACCTAACACTTACAGCACCCTCACACACTCACATAAACTGCACCCCTAACACTCACACACTCACACAAACTGCACACCTGACACAGCACACACACACACACACACACACTGCACCCCTAACACTCACAGCACCCGCCCTCACTCCATGCCTGCCCTAACACGTGCAGCGCACACACGCTCCACATAGAGCTGCACTGACATCACATACACACACACACACTGCCTAACACTCACACACTCACATACACACACACACTGCACCCCTAACACTCCACACTCCACATAGAGCTGCGCCCCTTGACTACCCGGCGCGCACGCACACACACTGCGCCCCCTAACGCTCACAGCACCCCTCACGTTCCACATGCACTGCACCCCTAACGCTGACGCCCTCACGCACTCCGCAGAGCTGCACCCCTAACACTCACAGCACACACACTGCACCCCCAACACTCACAGCACCCTCACACACACACACACACTGTACCCCTAACACTTACAGCACACACACTGCACCCCTGACACTCACAGCACCCTCACACACACACACACTGCACCCCTAACACTCACAGCACACACACTGCACCCCTGACACTCACAGCACCCTCACACACACACACTGCACCTCTAACACTCACAGCACACACACTGCACCCCTGACATACAGCGCCTCCCGCACACACACACACGCTTGCTGCACAGCAGAGACGCAGCGCACACTCCTGCCCTGACGGCGCAGCACACTCCACCCCTAACGCCACAACACACACACTGCCCTGACACACACAGCTTCCTCATACGCACATGGCACCCTCACGCAAACACAGCACCCAATCACACACAGCACACACACACAGCACCCTTACCCACATAGCACCCTCACACAAACACAGCACCCATCACTAACACACTACACACCTCACACACACTGCACCCCTCACATACACACACAACACCCTCACATACACACACAACACCCTCACACACACTGCACAATATGCTTTCCTGGCATTTTTGTCTCCTGGTATCCCAACTATGGAGACACCAGAGACAAATTTCAAGCAAACACAGTGCAAGCATGTTATTGCATTTGCTTGTGCTGTGCAGAACAAATACAGGGTCTTTTTCTCATGCCAGAGCTCTTCAGCAGAGCTCTGCGCATGGTCTACCCTGGAAGAGCATTGAACCAAAATGCTCACTTTGGTGACGACAAAACACACCCTATCTGGCCCCACCCCCTTTGTAGTGGGCCGCTGTAATTAAAAAATGCCCGGGCCGAATTTTCTTCCCAGTCCGGCCCTGGTTAGCCACATCCAAGAGGGGTAAGAGCTGATAAGAGACACACTAAGAGTAGGGTGTTAGGACACAGACACAATAGGGTAAGAAGGGTTAGCCACATCCAAGAGGGTGAGGAGGTATAGAGACACACAATGGGGGTTGGGGGGTGGGAGAGGTAAGATACACAAAATGTATTGCAACTGTAAAGTGGGTGCCAGCAGGTTATGCCATCCTAGGCGTGAAATAATTTCAGCATGCCTCGGGATCCAATAATAATGACTGGCATTCAGAACTAGTCCCTCTCACTAGGTTTCACTAGTAATTCCTGAGATCATGTATAGACGAGTTAATATTTATAGTAGTATGTGTGGAACTGCACTCACTCCCATAAATCTGAGCCAGGGTGCTTGCTGAAGCAGAATCAAACACCAGATTTCCAAAAATTTATAAAATAATAGAGGTCCAGGCACTCCTTGGTTCAAGACAGGTACTTTATTAAGAACCACAACAGCAACGTTTCGACCCCAAAAGGTCTTTGTCAAGCTTGCTGTTGTGGTTCTTAATAAAGTACCTGTCTTGAACCAAGGAGTGCCTGGACCTCTATTATTGAGTTAATATTTATAGTGATGTCTAGTGAAGCCCAAAATAAGAATCAGGTTATTTTTTTATTACCTATTATCTTCAAGCTCTGCACATCACTATCTTAAAACAATTATTTTCCATAGGTTCTATCTAATCCAGAACCCTCAAAGCTATTTGTTATGTAATTAAAAAATTAACTAATTAATTCATTGTATGATTATTGATGCGCCTTATTTATGATGATAAAATATTAAAGTGTATTAAATTAACACATAATACATTACAAACATTCAATTTAAAAAAAAGCAATACATCAAACATTATTAATATGTTGTTTTGTGGTCCTTGGGAAAACCATTCCATTGAATGTCTTTACTCAACTAACCACACATAGACCAGGCAAGATCCAGATAACACTGGATATCTCTAAAAAAAACGAGTTTCAGAAGTGTTGATTATTTCTTTTTCATTTCACACCAGGAATTAATTACATTTACATAGCTCATACTGCAGCACTTTTAAACCCTACTCTACAGAAAATTGAATTAATTGGCTTTGTGCAATGTTTTACTCATTCTTCTTGGCGAAATTGCTCAAGCACGGTCAAGCTGAATGCGGACTATTGGCGATCAACATTTCTTTCTTAATAGTTTTTCCACAAATTGTCAATCAAATTAAGGTCTGGGCTTTTCTGACATGTAGACCCTTGGGTTTTAATATACCTCCCAACAACCCCAGATTTGGCAAGACTGTCTCGGTTTGGGGCACATATCCTGCCATCCTTGCTTAGCCCTCTGTTTTAATGTATCTGGAAACAACAGGGATCAGGCCTTCTGAAAGCATAGTGCTCACGTCATTAGACTCAAATATGTTCAAAGTAAGCTCAGGGCATTGTGTGCCTGCGCGAGAGGACTTCAGAAGCTGTCTTCATGCAAGGCCGACACAACTCCTTTTTGGGTGGCCATCCCTCATGTCAATTCCTTGGTCTTCATGATGCTATTTGTTTATGTCTGTTTCTAACAAACTCTGAGCCTTTCAGAATAATGTGTATTTATTCATTTATGGCAGACGTACTTCATACAATGAATTATATGATGTCTGAAGGTAACTTGTGGCACCAGATTGTATACAGGAGATTTCATAGCACCAGGGCTAAAAATATATTCAGCCATACCTTTTTTATGATTGAACCTTTGTATAACAAAAAATTATAATTTCTTACCTTCAGAGTGTTATGTAGGTCGTGTAAATCTAATAGTAAGTTTCAATCAATTCTACTTTGTATAACCGATTGTAAAACTACAAAATGGGAAAACGTCCAATGGGATAAGGGTGAGTATACTTATGCAAGAGACTGTCTGACCGGTTGCCTACCATTTGTCTTTGGATAATGAGCTTGTTACATGATATGCTTTATTTCACTCAAATTATATAAAAGGCGTCAGGAATAATTCCAGCTCCAGTTATTACCCCTTTCTTGGTGTTTGCAATATCAAAGGAGTGTCAGTTGTGGGTGTGTGGCATCCCTTTTTCTTCTCTGCTTCAGTACTAAAAAAACACACAATTTGTTATGTTTTTAACATGAAGAATTGGAACATTGTGGTCATGCTACCATCACCATCCACCCGTCGGCCCAATCCAGCTCAAGAAGTGGTGACAAAGACAAATTTTATTTCCATACATCAATATAAGATCGATGAGGTCCAGATCTATCCACTGGAGGTTATTATTTACAAAACTGAGGAAAGTCGCATAATCTGGAACATTATTGAACCTTTTTTCAGGTTAAGTTTAATAATGTTTCAAAATGATTTAATACTTTTCGGTATACTTTCCAAATGGTTTATCTACAAAAATCCCCATATATTTTAATAATGAGTTCTGTGGACAAGGCATTAGAAAAGTTTTTTTCTAAAAATATTGAATCATTTTAAGGATCCTGGTGTTTTAGATACTTAATTCTGCCACTATTTTGTATTGCCATTGCCAACACTAATTGAGCTTTTTTTTTAACTAAAATGTACATTATCCTACTAGTTAGCACTTTGCAAGTTTCAGTTTTAAGTACCTCATGGGATGGACCTGCAGCTGAGGACTTTAATACGCCAAATTATATGTGGATATAAACTGGAAATGGTTACCATAGAAAAACTCCACATCAGGTACTTACTAGATTAGAACTACCAGATCATCAGTTGATTGATTTGGGAAACTATAAAAAAATAATGTATACTTCATTGATGTATTTAAATCACTGGTACCTTAAAGTATGCATTTTTACAGACCTCACTATATCAAATCATGATCTGGCTACCCTAATCTAGGTGTAACAAGCATAAACATGCATATATTAAGTGGACAATGCAGCCATGTGTTAAATAATTTAATCATGCTTATATTAACTTGGCATTGCAGGGATTAGGCCGTTATTAGGTGCTGGTAAAAACAGGCTATTTCAACCATCTATAAAACCAAGTCCACATGCTTATTTAAACTGGTTGATGCAAGCATTCCGGAACTTTGTATTGTAGTCACATGTAAAATCTGATGGAACCAATCAGATACAGCTCAAAACGCAGCACACACAGTTGAGAATGCAGACAAATGTCTCATACACAACATTCAGTGTTGGCATGGTTAAGGAGAGATCTTCTGATATCCCCACCTGGCCCCTGATTTTGTGCCACTGGGGCGATACATGGCGCAGCACATTACACTCAAAGAAAAACACCATCTAAACTTAACTTTTAAAACACTAATTTACAAAATGAGGTATAAAGTACCAATATTATTTTTTTTTCTACAAAAGCAGTAGGATAACGCAGATTCACACAAAGATGCCCGTAGAGACCTAAACCCAGGAAAGGGAGCACAATTCATCTCTGCCTTATAATGTACCTAAGCACACCAAACATGTCCCTTGCGCACACATATGGCTGCAGACCAGCAGGAACGCTCATCTGAAGAGTTATCTCTCCCCTTCTCATAATGAAGTAGAGGAAATTGTGAAATGTTATCAGAGAACCAACTGACACATACATGTTGCAGTATACAGCCGCCCAGAAAATGTGCAACTAGCCAATGTACAACTAACACCCTCCATAATGTACAGTAGTGAAGCAGATATTATGATACAGGGTACAGTACATACTTTGATATTAGGGTAGGGTCTAAATGGGAATGGGAAGCATAAAAGTACAACCAGAGGACATAAATACAGTTAATGACAGCTCTGATAATGAATCCCATACTATGCATCTTTTCATGTAATTGTTTTAATTATGGAAGACTGAGACATAGTGAATGCTGAGTGCGAGGGTTTAATGAGGGATATAGCCTAAGATTTGGCCTAGTCAGCATAGGGGGCGAGCAGCTATTGTCCTGAATGAAACACAGGACGGAAGGGAGTTGGAGTTGGAGGTAAAAAAGGAAATGTTTAATAAATGCAGGACGATTTGGAAAGCAATGGGTAGATATTAGGGAAGCCATTATCGTGATGTAAGAAGTGCACAGATAATGTCTTTTATGGAAGACAGGAAGAGTGTTCTAGTGAGTGAGTAAAGAATGGATTGAAGAGGATACACATGAAAATCAGGTAAACAAAAAGTTAAAAAGATTCAGTACTCACAGGTTTGGCTTCAGAGCAAGAGGAAAATAGATTTAAAAAAAAAAATATTTTTTTTGCAATATTATATTTATTTATATTTTGCAACATATACAATATAGCAAAACTTTATTTTGCTAGTTCAGGGATACCAGTATTAAAAGAAATAAATTATTCCAGGTGTAGCCCTGGGTGCATAGTATAGACCAGGGATAGGCAACCTTCAGCACTCCAGATGTTGTGGACTACATCTTCCATAATGCTCTTACACCCATAATGCTGGCAAAGCATCATGGGAGGTGTAGTCCAAAACATCTGCAGTGCCGAAGGTTGCCTATGCCTGGTATAGACTTATCTCTGTTATAGTTTAATACTCTTGTCTGTTATACATAAAAACTCAAGCCATAGATAAAACATCTTGCAAAGATCTACATGTTCTGGGGGGGACCATTTTTCCTCCAGGTGTATAGAGATTGGCCTATTGAGTCATTAAGAATAAGCTTCGCTGGTAACCTTCCAGAACCAGATATTATAAGATTCCATTGGAATCTTATAATATCTGACTACACCTGACTACTGTATCTAGGTGGCAGCCAACCGGTCTGAAACAAATGCGGTTTCATTCCGTTCTTTATAAATAAATACAGACAGAAACACACCAGCAAGAATCCACTAATAAGTAAAACTAGAGGTGAATGGACTATGGGTGACTGTGGACCATGGATGGGAAAGGAGGCAGAGTTAGTATTTAGCATGGAGGTTATCTATCAGTACATTACATATCTGAAGGGAAGAGTAGGTATTTTAATGGCATAGTGGACTGTGTATAATTCGGTCTAGGTTACTCAATCACATGCCACCAAGCCACCATAAACTGAAAAACTTCAAACCGTTAATAAATACTCTACATACACTACAGAGTCCATAAAAACAAAACTAGGAAGAAAAACGTAGTCAAGGCAAGCAGGGTTGTAGTGCAATTTGTTAATCAGACTAAGGACAGGCTTAAAAGAAAGCAGAGTTACAAACAGGCAGCAAGTCAAGCAAATGTCAGAATCAAACTTGGACAAGCAGAATAATTAATAATTATTCATAATCAGGACCAGAGAGAAATAAATAGTAAACTATTGATAGGAATTAGCTCTAGTCAGGGTAATTATTCAACACCTACCTGACCAACTGGTTACCATATTTCCCTCTATCAGAACTTATCTGGAACTTAATGGTTGGAGACATTTTGCTTTCTGTTTGGTACACAGAGTCCATAGGAGCCATATCTCTTTCGGTGTCTATTTTGCCAAAGCGGCGTCCCTTGGGTTTTGGTGAGCTGAAGAAGGTATACTTGACATGTCGATGCTTTGAATATTGAGATCCTTCCAGAGTTCCCAGATTGTTGTCATCACTGTGTGAGTCATCAGCTGATACAGTCTCCTCAGTGGGATCAGTTTCATCAATCTCAGAGGAACTTCCCATCTTTTTCATTTTTTTGGTCTGTGGCAAGAGACAGTGGGGATAGCTAGCACATGTCAAGTAAAATAACTGTGTTAAATACATTTGGTACACTGAGGCATCAAAATTAATAACTTTACATTCACTAGAATGTTGGGGAACACGCATGTTCCATCTATCAACTTATACACACACTTCGACACAGAAAAACTAGACAAGGAGATCTGTGATCCTGTTTAAATTTACAGGGAAAATCACACCGATATTTTTATTTTATTTTATTTAATTTCATGGATCATAACACAGGATGGAAATTTGGTTCATGACCATTATTTGAATGATTGGGCATTCCCTTCTAGTTTTACGATAACGGCTGTAACTAAAATTGGGACACCAGAGAATCCCAATGTTTGTGTGGTGTGTCTATGTGAGTTTGTGTGTGTGTGTGTGTGTGTGTGTGTGTGTTATGGGATGAGAGGTGTTTTGTGTAAATCTCAAACAATGAATGCTTTACTGAAAAGCTGAGTTTATGTTTCCTATGCTATTGATTCCATGTCCATGTATATTTCAGCTGGAGCCATAGGAAATGTTGCAATTACCAGGTATGAGCTCTGTCAATATGGATTTGATTTTATGAAAGAACTTAAGCGCTTAAGGAATATGTACGTAGCATTTGCATTACTTTATTTTGATGGAGGGTTTTTTTCCTGTTGCCTTTTTTCTTTTCTTTAATGAGTGTACTGCTTGGTTTGCATCTGGTAATTGATGATTCCCAAAGCTTTGTCTACTATTCCCAAACATATTATTTCAAAAACAAGCGCTGCCGAACCATCCACCTATTGATCTGCAGCTAGATCAAACAATTCAGTTGGTCACATAACAATGTTTATCACCCTACACCTTGCTGCTAAGATATTTTCAGTTTTGCAGAGTGAGCACGCATTTCATGCCATGCCACGCAAGAACATATATGAATAATGTGATGGGGAGATTTCCTCATCATGATGGTGCAAGTAGAAGGTTTGTGCTTTGGAAGCCGGGGATTCCTCAATTCTGTCAATGTAAAACGAGTTTACAAAAACATGTGGACAGAACCTTAAGTTTCAAAGTACCATAAACCCTATATATATATGTCTTTCAAGAAGAAAAATAGTGGTTATGTTGTTTGAAGTATCCTTTAAAATAAAATAAAAAGTGACTTCTACAAGTACCTGGCTACTTTAATGCACCTTGGAACCTTTTTCTTGTGATTTGGTGGCAAAACTGTGTATTCCCCAGCCCATTACATCTGTGGGGTTCTCTTCCTAATTATGCTTACACAATATATGTACAGCATCAGCATACATTATATGCCCGTGTTTAAGAAGAAGTGAGCTCTGGGATATAAGAAAGTTTGCCACATCAAATCGGCACAGCCAAATTGTTGTTGACCTTTTCAAAGGGATCCCTTAGTTGAAAATGATTTCGTAAAAATACTGAACTTCACCTGTAGAATCTGAGCACCATTACAATTATATTAAGCTGTACTTGCCATTTTATTTGTATTTTCCATTTAACTATCTATTGAAGGGAATGGTGACATACATGTTCATTACAAGGGGCATTAAAGCTTTACTTTATAACTTTCAAAACATATACCCATGTTTGTCTTGAAATTAAAACATAAAAAAACAACCTGTAAAAAAAACATAGAATAATATATTTCATTAAATGTAAAGTACTCACAAACATCTGCCAAGTAATAGCACGTCCCCACATGTGACCCTCTGAGTAACACTAATCAAGATCCGTAGCTAAATTACGGGCTATGATTTGGCCATTGGAAGCAAATATTGAAGTCAGAGGTGGTACGGTTGGTTTAACCAAACTGAATCCAATGGATAAAAAGCAGAATCTGTAGGATATAAACAGAATCTGTTAGAAGAAAATGGTGGAAACAAATATAAGGGGACATTTATATTTCTTCACATTAAGTGCGTAGTTATGCAACATGCTTATTTGTAATTTGAGAATGGCTTTGTTATAAAGAGAAAAAAATCAAAACCAAAAAAAAAACTTTACTCAGTTTGCATAGAAACAATGAATCCAACACAGACTGGTCAACACGGTGCATAGAAACAATGTGTGCCTAATTTAACCCTGGACAATATATTTTTCTAAAGTATTTTCAATGTTTCAAGATCACTGCTCAAAGGGATTGTAGATTATTTATTTATTTATTTTCAAATATATTGAATTAAAGAGATATTGTTACAATAATAATAACTTTTACAATGAAAAAGAAAAAACCATATATGTTATACATAAAAAGAGTAAATATTAATGTATCCAGTCTATATGTAAATCAATGATGAAACTATTGAATAGGCACTTTATAGTCAATTTTCATTGTGATGACATATTGGTACGAATGAACTATTCAACTATGCAATTAAATTGCAATGTTAATAAGTAAAACAAAAAACAATTGGTGGTGTGGAGGGGGAGGGCGTAAGGAAGAAGACAAAAAAAGAAACAAAGAGGAAGGAGAGTGCATCCATCCACAATAGCTATTTTCAACTTAAATTCTAATGACTATAATTAATTCTTGTATACAGAACATGACACAACAATACCTAGTTCAGATAATCGCATAATACAATAAAATATTTTGTTGTCAAAGAATTTTCCAAATACATTTCTTTATAAAAGCAATCAAAACCTATATTCTCTTTTAATCTTTTTTTTCCCATTCGTCCCAGTAGTGTCTAAGGTTATCTAACTGCAAAGAAGGTTGTCTGAGATTTTTGATATTTGTCATCCATTTTGGAATTGATATCCCCTTTTGTGAGGAGGAGTATTTTGAGGTTAGTGGTGAGAATGAGTAAAAACAGGTGTGTGAAGGAGGAAAGGAGGCATCTACTTCACATACTTTTAAAGTTTTATTCCTACTGAGGAGTTCCTCACTGGACTACAAACATTAAATCAATATGGAGATGGAACTTTTGTAAGTAAAGAAAGACTTGAGGAATCATGGCTTGGAAAAAAAATGCATGCAGTGGGTAGTCAGCCATTTTAAATGATATGAAAATAGCCTGCTTATGTAGTAGACAGGGAAGAATGTGTAGATGCAGACTCTGTCTGTAGACTGAGTAACAGCAATGACAAACATCAGCAGGGATACATTTCACATTCCATAGAATATTGTATGAAATGTCTAAACATAATTATGGTCAGAGTGAGCATGTTCACGGTGAAGACATCTCTCAAATAAGCAAGCAAGCACCCAGGAATATGCACACTACTCTAGAATATTTAGAATTAAAAATCTGGCCTCTGAGAATATCACACCACCTTTACTGATGTCTGAATGGTACATAAGCTGTTCCAATTCCTCTAGTTTAAATACTACAAATATTGATTTGGTCTTTTATATATTGTGCGCACTGCAGATTTCAACTGTATCATGTAGGAAAGATCTGGAAAAGGAGACAATGAGCCAGCAGTCAGGTAAAGAGGTGAAATGTTTCCTGAGATCTATTATGGGTTACAGAGGTTTGAAACACACGAGTCTATTGTTGTGAATATTGGTATTATAGAATATATTATAATAATATTAAAATTTTATATTATTACTTGATAAATATAAGTCAATATTTATCAGAATGTGAACTACTTTAAAATCTGCTAAAAAGTTTTATGGTCTTTAGTAATTCAAAACACTTTGTAGAACACAAACTGTAAGGGTAAATACGTACAAAAGCAATACAATACGTTTGTGAATTTTTTTTATATCTGCGGTCCACTTGTGTGTTAATGTGTCCTATTCTCATATGAGCAGTGTTGTGTATTCATTAATGATGGCCATTGTATTGGGTATACCACATTCCTGGTGGATTTTGGCTTAACATCACCCTTCACTGTCATCCAGAATTTCTGCTACAAATCCCATGTTCCACCACACCCTGAAAGGTGAGATCTCTTGGATTGAGATCTAGAAACTGTGCTGTCCATTGACATGAACAAGTAACTATACTAATTATCAAACCTACTTGGGATAATGCTGTCTTTGGGATACATTGGCATCCTGTAAAGTGAGACGGCGGTAGTAGGGGTAAGATCACTTGTGCCACTCGATCGGGCAGACCTGCTCAGAAAGGGGACTGGTCTGTCTGAAGAAAAGATAGGCCAATCACGCACGTTGGACTATGAACTATCTCTGCAGAGTTCTAGTTCCCTGGACATAGTATGCGTCTATTGATGCATTCTCGCTAGGCTTTTTGAAGACTGTTCCCTGGTTGCCTGAAAATCAGGACAGCAGGGGAGAAAGTCAGGATGGGAAAACAGAACTCTGAAATAGGGACTGTCACACCAGATTTGGACAACTATGAAGCTTAGATATAGTGCATTATGCAGTAACCATTTAATTTTTGGATGGCAGGAACATGTATGGTTAGTAACAATGCTTTGTTATGAAATAATTCAAATAATGAATTCCTTGTTTTAAAGGGAATGGATTTCCCCAAACCATTACATAACCCAAACCAGCCTCTCCCGTAAGATGGATCCAAGGACAGTTTATTTCTGGGCATTTCTGTTGTTATGATTGGTTATTTAAGTGGTTGTGGCTTTTTTCAATTCAAACAAGTCATGCTATTATCTTGTGACTTCGTATCAACGAGATGTGTTTGCCATCAAACTTGCCAATGGGATTCACACGAAATCACTTATGTATACTTTATGTCTTCTCCTTTCTAGTTTGAACAACACTTCAAAGTCTTAACCATGCCGCCATTCTTCATATATTGTGCTAGAGTCACATGATTCACTAATTGCATATTTGCCTTAACACACAAGTACATCTAATAAAGTGGTAAAGGAGTTATGTATTATTTATCTATAGCTTGTACCTTTAAAAGGTTATTAGCCCACCCATTACTATGCATTATGTATGGCTTTGGATATACTTCCATGCTGGATGCATTATATGTCATGTAATAATAGAATTATAACAGAGTGCACTCCTTAAAATAGCTATTAGTACTATATAATGTATATGTGGAACATTATAAATATGTAATATTTTCAGTTTTCTCTGCAACTTAGACTTAATGCTCATGTTTATTACCAAATTATTTTATATAACTTTGGTTCAATTTAAAATACTTAAATTTACTTTCAGAATATATATTTTTTCTGTATTAATTATCAATAAATACAAGTTTTCACTCTACATATCAGATTTCACATTTATTCAGAATGATACCTAAAAGAACACCAGGTTGTGATTTATAAAATGCTATCCTCTCCAAACGTACATTAAAAAAAAAAAAAAAAAAAATATATATATATATATATATATATATATATATTTTTTTATTTTTTTTTTACTTAAAAGAACAATAATTGTACAGATTTTTGTGTTACAGACGAGGTCATCTAATCTATCATTTTACACTAAATTTCAGATTTGCTGGTGATGGAATGTTTGATAACCATTCATTTATTATTAATGCAGTAACCTTTATAAAAAAGTTTAAATATTATGTTACATACCATACATGTAATCAAAATGAATCACTGTGTTCTTGTATTTATCATACATTGTAATATCATCTGTATAGAATTGCATTTTAGTTTTTATTAATATAAAATACCTATATCTTAAAAGCCATAAACAGTCATATATTGCTCCTGTGTTCTATTAATTAAACAAATCACAGGCTTATGCAATAAAACATTTAAAGTATTTTAATAGTCTTTTAAAATCAAACACACAGACAAATATTGAACATTATAAAAACATTTCATAATATTTTTCTTTATACTGGTTTACTGTTTTCTTGTCTTCAAATAATATATTTCATATTTAACATATAACATAGGATTACTTTCAACCGATACAATCTGTATGTCTGACATATGGCAGTAATGTAATTCTTATTTCACAATTGTCATTTAAAAGTATGTGTTCTCAAATTAAATGTGCAAAAACTCTGAACGACAGTGGGTGATATTGTCTAAACAAACATGCGAATATAGAAATATATTTACCTTTTTTTAAAATTCTTCTCAGTTTTTCTCACAAGCAAAACCTTAGGATCCCAGATAGAAGTTAATGTAAGATGTTGACTATGATGTTTCAAAACCAACAGATTCTTGGCTGTATTCAAACAGTTTCAATAACAATTTTGCTATTTATCAATGGTCCAAGGCTGTATCAGTGATGCGGTTAGAGCTGATATCTAATGACTTTTTATTGCTCAGTCTGATTATAGAGGCAGGGCAGTGCTTGCCAGGATGACTTGTTAGCATATAAAGATGCTTGGCGTGAGCAGATATGCTCAGCAAACGAATAATATAATGAGTGAAGAATATCCTGGAGAGAATGGAATTCCCAGGGGTTATCAAAGCTTTTAGCTGGAGTTCTGTCCATGTGAAATCTACATTTAGTAACATGGGCCTCTGTTAAAACTCCATGTTTAGATGATTACAACAAAGAAGTATATTGTAAGCCTTATGGGAACTCTTCTACTGGTTTCACGCAAATTAAAAAAATTACCATCACCACTGAAGATCGCATGTCAATTACAGAACAAACATGATATTTAACACTTTCATTCTTCTACTAGAAGGGAGAAAAAGTGCTTCACGGAGCAAAAGGTTGAACAAATCCTGTTATAGGATATGAGAATATTTTTTTCTTGTTTTCTGTATTCTATTTTGCAGTTAATAAATGATTGGGTTATTAAACAACGAATGAGATGTGTGCTCATTAAAGTTAAAGGAGAAAAAACCCAGAAGTTAATAGTGGGAAATAAGTT